GAAATAATGAAGCTTTACGGAAACCTAAGTAACTCACTATACAGCATAGATTGACAGTCTGAAGTCCCAGGGATTTCAAAAGGGCGTGAATACTATAATCAAACAATTGCCTAAAATTCACTATCATTGCAGCTAGACACCATTATTTATTCATACTTGATAAGTCATTCCGTATACTTGTGACATACTTTTTATTCTTTTTATTTGTTTTAATTTTACTGACTCTCAAATTTTGTGAATTACATAACTCTGAATCCCAATATATGATTCTCTAGCCAGTATACTATACAAACCCCAGAATAAATTGATGTTCTTGGTCAGAGAATCAGAAGAATATTAAGGTACAAGCGCATACCCAGGAAACCAACTGTATTCACTTGCGGCTCGCCCTATAAGTGCCAAGCCATTTGCTTTGTAGAGAGTCATTATCTCATGTACATAACCATTTGGGTTCACATAGGCACCAAGAGGACCTTCACTTGACATTACCAGCATATCACTCCGCTTCGCGATGACAGTCTGCATTGTACAACATGTGTGCGCACACACATCCAAGTTAATAGAACTACATATAGGCAAATGATATGTATTTATGCATGCATGCACACACGGTTCCGAAGAAAGAACATTACCTGACAAGTTTTACACTGGATAAGATCAACACTCTGAAGCAGCTCAATTTCTCGACGCAGCCTATATGAAATGCCGTCAATCTCCAAAAGCTCCTGCCTTGTAGATTCAGATACAGGAATTTTACTAGCAATATAAAATGACAAAAGATCAGGTTTCTTCACAAGACTATCCATGCTTGGTGCCCCCACTATCTGTTTCCACATATCTGCAATACATCAAAAAAGAATTATATAACAAAGTTGACAGATGACACAACCCACTTGACCAGGATAACACATACAGGAAACTCACACTCTAAAAACTGAACCCTTAAATTCCTTTTTCACTCAATTTATAAAGGGTAATGATTTCCCCACTCCAATTTTATCCACTTACACTCCTTTTTTAGTTATAAAATGGAGTGTAAGTAGATAAAACTGGAGTGGGGAAATCACCACTCTTTATAAATGATTGGGCAGGATGTTGTATGTGAACCCAAAGCAAAGTAAATGTACCTGCAGCTCTTTCAGCAAGACAATAGGAGTCGTACATGCGATATACCCAATAGGGCCAGAATGCCCTTGGAGCTCTACGAAACTGTTTTAAGCCAGTATTTCTCCAACATCTATCTGGCTCTTTCTGTTTGCAGGATTGCACGTCCGACTTGGAACTGCTCCCCAAATCAACATTATTATTCTCAGGGCATGAATGTAATGAATATGTGGAATCAGAGTCTTTTGATTGTGATCCTTGAAGTTGGGATTGTGACTTCTCATCATCACTGCTTGTAGTTGTCGTTGATTCGTCCATTGTATCAGATCCATAATAGGAATCAACCACAGCTTGGTGAATTTCCCTTTCAGTCAATGAAAGTGCACTCTCAAAGCTTTCATCTGAATTTGCCTCAGAATCATTGTCCACGTCCATAGATTCATTTGACTTTGCATGAGAATTGTGTGAAGGTAGTATACGAGCGAAATGATGGCCTCCAGGTTTACTAAATGGTGCGACAGCTCCAAATGCATCCCGTGGGGCCCTCAATGGTATATCTTCCTGGATGATTTGGACTTCCCCACATGGCTGACAGATGAAAATTTTACACCAAATAAGCTACTACATAGATGAACAAAAAAAATAAAAGAGAGCGGCAATTGATCAATGTGTCTCAAACACAAATTATTCTAACCGCTCCTTCCACATCAATCCAACGGCGTCTTAGATGAAATCTCTGTTGGCCACGAGTTACCACATTCAGTGAGCCATCCTCTAATCGTCGATATTGCCGAATCTGTAAAAGAAAAATATAAATAGTAGTATAATCTTGTGCTTATAAATGAAATAGCATAGATTAAAACATAATAGTTTCTACAGATGAGCAGTATGACAAATTAAATATACCTCTGCAGTTGTCCCAATATTGGAAAACCTTATTCTTCCATTATCAGGATCTCTGTAAACCCGAATCTACACAAAATTTCAGGAAAAAGTTACAATGAAATACTACATAAAGAAATCCAATTCATAGTAAAAACAAGTCCTTAGCTGTCACCAGGAGTTCACCTACCACACCAATAGTATAAGGAGCATCAACTTGGGTTAGCGCTCTCTCAACAGCAACTACAAAATTGGGTTGAATTACTCTTAGGGGAAGTGTCGCCTCTGGGAACAGGACAACTCCTGCATATACCACGAATCAAAATCTAAGTTCTCTGAAGATATTAAATAATAAATGAATGAAAACATACGAGAATATGAGGATGAGAAAGAAGGCAATCTGAAAACAAGATTGACAAGAGATTTAACTTTGTTTCTTTTTACTCCTAAGCCATTCATCTTGGTCATTATCATTAGGACTAAAGCGTGCAGGGGCACCAGTTAGTTGATTCCATTAATTGTGAGGTAATGCTATTAAAGCAGCTAAAAACTTAGACACAATGATATTAAGAAAGATGGCAATAGTGAAATGCTGCTTGCATGGAATATTTTGACATATCTCTGAAAAGATTTGACTGACAGAGAGCATTCAAAAAACGCTAGATCATTTTGAATATCTAAAAGAACCGAATGCAATTGCTCAGAGATACCATCTCCACTTCCTGTTAATCCAGAATACTTTCAGATTAATAAAACATCATTTTTTTCTTTCTCGTCCACCAAGATGGGTATGACTTTACAGTTTGCACCAGACTACTCTGACCTGTGGCTAACACTAAAATACTAAATGTATTCGCTGCCAAGGTGAGAGACTGGAGCTGAAAATAACATCGATGATCAAATGTAAAACCATATAGATTAGTACCTTCAAGATAGAAAATAGGGAGATTCAAGATGGCCCCCCCATCTAGAAAAGCCACCCTATGATGAGTGTCTTCAACCTCTGTTGCAAGTAAGATACAACTAAACATCAATTCTTTGAATGTACTGTGTACAGTTGGACACAAACAAATATAATTTTTTCCTTATAAAAAAGAGCCAGTAAAAGACCAAAATTTCCTACCACCAAGATATGTATGCAATGAAGCCAAACAGTTGTTGAAGGTATATTCATCAGACGAGCCACGACCACTTCAGTTGAAATTTCCATACAAAAGTCAATAGCAAATGACACAATCAAATAACAGCAGTGATAAAAATAGCTTTAAAAAACATAAAATGTCAATTTGAGTGTGTTATTCCCCGTGGAAAATTCAAAAACCCTAGGCCCCAAATTAACTGTAAATGAATTGAAACGGTGATAAAGTTGGAGGAGAAGAGGAAAACGAGAATTACTTGAGGTCGCGTTCGTCGCCGGATGAGTCGTGGAGGTCATCGACCTCTTCGACCTGCAGTTCCTCGAGATCGAGCTCTCGAATCTCCTCCATCTGTTGCCTCTCTCTCGCTAGAATGCGATCATCTTCCATTTCTATCTTCACTGTGCGAATTGGCTTTGTTTCCTTTGGGTTTGGTTTGGAAGAAACAGAGAAATTTCAGGTGGTTGCTTACCCGCCACCGTGAACGCTTCCGCCACCAATTTTCCTTTTCTCCCGCTCTTACGAATTCTAGTTTAGCTTCTTCACTGACCAGGTGTTTAGTGTCTTTGTCATGCCGGTGCGGATCTGTCACACACCGAATTGGGTGAAAAAAAATTAATTAATTTGTTTTTAACCTTGAAATTTCTCTTTCCCCGTAAAAGTTATAAATTACTTTCTTTTTTGTCTTTTACGTCTAACTTACACAACCAAGGTTTTATCTATTTGAAAATTAAATCGCCTATGGTAATTATACTAATATTTTGACACATGACACTTTCTTGTTAATTATCGCAACTTACTGTTATATTTCACCAAAAATACATTGATATCAACTTATTTAATACAAAAGGACTAAATTATTTATTCAATTTACAAATGAATTTCCATTTGGTATTTGTAAGAATGTAGAACAATTGTTTAATTGCTTATGAAGGAAGATATGTATTCAATTAAGATTTCAATGAATTTTAAAGTAGTTAGGAATCTATGGATTTTATTGATTTTCATGAACTCCACATATGCTTTAATTGAATTTCATAAGGATTTTGAAGAAATTTGTTAGAATCTTATCATAGAGTTTGATGGATTTTTACAAATTTCTATAAATTCAAAATAGTGATGGGCTGTCATGTTTTATGTTGGTGGTGGTAGAGGCATCAATGATGATGGGGAGAGTGGTGGTAATAATCATGTCAAGTAGTGGTGGTTATGGGAATGGTTGCAATGGCAGTGGCAGTTATTATGGTGGAGGAGGAGTGGTAGGGGTGGTGGTGGCAATACCCATAACAAGATGGTGGTAGTAGATGTGGTGAAATTATATTTTGAGAATAAAAAATATATTTGATCAAAATTTATAGGGAAAACAAAGATTTGTTATGGCCTATAATGAAGTCTAAAATCAATTGAAATCTACCATTTTTTGTATTTTCTTTTAAAATCAATAATTTTTAATATGCCTAATTTTTTTAAATTATGATTGAATACCTCCAAATTTGAATGGACTTTAAATTGAATACATCTAAAATTTTATAGACTTACATTAGTCGTTTTTGAGTACCGTACACTTTTAAATTTATTTAAAACTTTTAAAATGAGACCCAAGTCAAACCAATCCCATTCGTACTGTTACACTTTTTCATTTGCGTGTGACATTTTGAGATGTAAAATTGGTTTAATTGCCTCCCTTTTATTTGGAGTCAAGTAACTGGCAAATCTTTACCGAATTACCGCTCATGAAAATTTTATGCTTTTACTTGCAGCACGCACCCGTTAATATCTCAAATTTGGTTTCCGCACCCGTCGTCATCAATAGCTCTTCGCCGTGGCATATATAAGAGCTTGGAGGATAAAATCTCCAAGCCGCGAAAAAGCAAGGCCATGGGTCGCTTGGTCTTCTCTCACTTCCTCACCATCTCCAACTCTTCTCCACGCTTAGCAACCTCACTGTACTCTCTCTCTCTCTCTCTAATGCTCTCTCACTGGCTTCAATTTCAAGTACAAGCTTCACATTTGTGCGTTTTTTAATTATTTTTTAATTTCCCGAAGCAGGTGCTATGGTGGATTTCAAATCAGGCGCTGGAAAAGACCTAGTTCAATTCCTCAACATCGGCTTCTAAGCGCGCGTAATGGCTCTGGTTTTCGGTGCTGCTGTAGCGCTTCGCTCTTGCAATCCGCTGGTCCAGAGACTTCTCCGAGCTCTGTAAAGTAATCCTTACCGTTACTAGATTCTTAGTCGTATATGTTCCATCGATTACTTGGCTGCATTGTGATTGATAGTGGCTAGGTTGAGTGTTCTAGCTCGGAAGGCTGTTACAGTTTTATGGCTCTTTGATTTAGACATTCTTGTAATTTTAAGTGTTTTTTTTTTATCTTTTGGCTTGCACAAGGGTCTGTCACACAGACATATGTGAATAGTAATTAGATTAGATTTATGGTCAATCTCATTGAGTTTTCCTTTTATAGAAAGAGGATAGTGTCTGGAGTCCAGCCGACGGGTTCTATTCACCTAGGGAATTATCTTGGAGCCATAAGAAACTGGATTCTGTTGCAGGTAGTACCAACTTGTTTGATTTGGAAAATAGACTTGCATATTATGTATTTACATGGTAATGCTAATTCGCAATGTGGCTTCTGTTGTTGCAGAATACATACGATACTTTCTTTTTCATTGTGGACCTCCATGCGGTATGGCTTTCCAGTTCTTTTAACTTTCTTCTTCTTCCATTTCGGTTGCTTCTTCATGTGGTGCCAGTGCCACAGGGATAGATTACAGCAGAATCATTCACTTATTATATCCTTTGGTTTGTTGTTTTTAACCTTTTATGTGGTATCCCTGAAAATAACTCGTGGATATTGATACAAGTTCTCTTTGAATAATAATTTATTTTGGAAACAATACTCTTTCATGTTAGAGGATTCATACTCGTCTATTTAAATAGATACAACAGCACATATTGTCTACCTTTTGTGTGGTGGGCGTGTAAACTGTAAAATTCTGTTTATTTTTTTCCTTTCTTTCTTTCCCTAAGGCATTCATGATGTTAAAACTTGAACTTTCAAATTCGATCTCCAAAGTATCCTGTTCTTGCGTCAACATTGTGGATATATGAATTTAAGGAGAAAGATTGAGGCTCAGGGTTTGTTTGGAAAATGGATCTTGGTGATGATTTTCAAAGTTTTTGCTTACAGATTACATTGCCGTATGATGCACAACAACTATCCAAGGCAACAAGGGATACCGCAGCTCTTTATTTGGCATGTGGAGTGGACACCTCCAAGGTGTAGTGCAAATATTGGTCCTTTGCATTGTTGTTTAGAAGATTGTACTTTTGCTGAATATCTTATATATGATTTTGCATGTGTAGGCATCTGTCTTTGTGCAGTCTCATGTTCGTGCCCATGCAGAGTTGATGTGGCTTTTAAGCTCTGTCACACCTGTTGGTTGGCTTAATAAAATGATTCAGTTTAAAGAGAAATCACGAAAGGCGGTGCGTTTTTAGCTGTATGACAGCTCTATTATTGTTCTGTATCTAATCTAAAATGTTCTCAATGAGGACATGTTATACTTAAAAGAAAAACTTACACTAGTCCATTTGATTCTGGTCAATGTGTTAAGAGTCCTTTATCGGTCTCACCCTGTCCCGAGGAGAAAGAATTGATTAACTTCTATTGATTATTGAATATTAAAATGAAATTTTCACTAAGCTAGCATTGATTATTTACGTTTCAGAAGCTACTGACTACACAACTTTGAACATCACCGGAAAACTTTCTAGTTTGACTTACGCCATGCTATGCGTATTGTAGTTTTCAACTATGCTGTGTAGATTATCATTTGTCACTGCTAATGTACATTTCCTAATGACATTCATATTTCAAATTAATTGTTGTATTTCTTCATAGAAATAGCTTTATATTGCCCATATTATTTGTTTGACAGTTTTTTACATCTTATTGTCTATGATTGAAGTTAATTGCCTTACTTTGGTTTTGCTATTGTAGGGGGATGAAAATGTGGGTGTTGGTCTGTTGACTTACCCTGTTTTGATGGCTTCTGATATTCTTTTATATCAGGTAATCCTCAAACTTTGCAGCTTTATTCAACAGGATGTGAGATTTTATATCAGGTAAGTATGGAGTGCAGAGTGAGATTTTGGGTTCATTTCCTGTTGGATGGAAGGCTTGAGTTGCAAGGAGGTGTGATAATCAAGTAGTATTAAAGCAATGGTTTTTTGTGTGCTTGTTTAAGTATGCATTGATAGCCTTGATATGTTAATCATTACTCTATGTTATTCTTATGTTTACCTGGATGCTTCTGTAGTCTGACTTTGTCCCAGTTGGTGAAGATCAAAAGCAGCATTTGGAGTTGACACGTGAGCTAGCGGAGCGTGTTAATCACTTATATGGCGGAAGGAAATGGAAAAAATTGGGAGGGTGAGAAGCTATATTACAACTTGAACATAAAAATATTTGTTTAACTGTTCACTCTTATCATTTTCTGGCCTCACTTTCTCTGTATAGAGCTTCCTTTTCTTTTTCTTTTTAAATAAAAATCCTCTGCATAGAACTTGACCTTTATATTTTATATGTTTTTGCAGGCGAGGTGGTTCAGTTTTTAAGGTGTATTTTCTTTTTTGGTTGATAACCCTTAACGTGGGCTCATCAATAACATAAGTAATGGAAATGTCTTTTCTTCTTTAGGTTCCTGAGCCTCTTATACCACCAGTTGGAGCACGAGTGATGTCCCTTACTGATGGTCTTTCCAAGGTTATTTATATTTCGTGTTCTCCTATAATTACACACTGTGAATAACGTATATCTCTTTTTCTGTTTAAATTATTATTCTCTACAGTGCTGACATCCTTCATTTTTATTTTATGGGCTTGTTATTACCTGAATTGGTATTACTTTTGAAATGTCTCCCAGAGTCTGTCCGTATCAGATGACCAAAATAATTATGTACTCAATCAAGTTTCTATAGCACTCCAAGCACTTGAGGATATGAATACTTTCTTCCTCTTACAAATTTTGTTGTCTAATATTGATACGATTATCATCATAGCATCTCAAAGTAGTGAGTATGAAATAAGATCCTTGGAAAACTTATTTACCAAATATAGGGTATACGTAACAATGATCAAAATTCCAGTTATTCCATAAATTTGAATTTTATGGCTAGTTCCCACCTATTTGTAGGCGTGCACCAAATGTATTTAATGTTTTTAAGGAAGTAATATCATCAATAACACAAAGAACAGACTTTTCTCATGCTTATTGACATTATTTTGGTTTCAATATTATAGATGTCCAAGTCTGCGCCTTCTGATCAGTCCCGGATCAATCTTCTTGACCCTAAAGATGTGAGAAACAGAAATTTTATCCACTTCTTGATTTTGATATGATTTGCGGCAAGTATGCTTGACCTGTTTTATTTTTAGTTGTTACTTTTCACATAACCAAAGTTAAGCATATTATGGGTGTTGAGTTGACTACCGCAAACTCGTCTAGCTTGCCTCAAGTCTATGCATTTCTTATGGAGAATCTATGTGACCTACCTATTTTGTTTTTTTCATTTTCCTTTTGCCAGTTTCATTTTGTTCCCCTCATCAACTTAATCTAAATGGCTTAATTGTTCTATAGGTAATAGCAAACAAAATAAAGAGGTGCAAAACTGACTCATTTCCAGGGTGAATACCTATCTTCCATTTGTAATCACTTAAAGCTTCCTCTCTTTTGATGTTCTGCTTTTTTAATTTTCTTCTGTCCATATTTAGTGTTGGAGTCATAATCCTATTTCTGGTCATAATACTAAAACTCTTCTGTGTTGTTGTTTGATAATCCTATTTCTTACAGCATGGAATTTGATAATCCTGAAAGGCCTGAGTGCAACAATCTTCTCTCAATATATCAGCTGATTTCGGGAAAGACGAAAGAGGTAATGATTCTATTTGTTTACTTTTTTAACTTCTTTATAGCCCATCCGTTTAGTGCTTTTCATTATATATAGATGCATGGACTTCAACTTTTACTGGTGAAGGATTTTGCATACCATATGAAGATGACTGACCATCTCCGGTACACCCTTATTATTGCAGGAAGTTGCAGAAGAATGCCGAGATATGAACTGGGGCACATTTAAGTCACTCCTAGCTGATGCGCTGATTGATCATCTGCAACCCATCCAGGTTTCAACATCTAAATATGATGCTTTTTCAATAGGTGATGTTTACAGGACAGTTAATATATGCGCTGGTTGGTTATGCCAATCGATCAAGAATTAAGTGCATATTTTATCCTTCAATACTGAAGAGATTATGCATGCTTACTTTTTTATGTAGTTTCTATGTTTCGGAGTTGTGATTGAGAATTTAGCTGCACTTTAGTCATTTTGGTAAAAATTCATGAACAGCACTAGCTGTCAGACTTTTCCTAAGATTTTAGGTTGGAACTGCCATCATATCTGTTGAACCTTTGTTTATATGTGAATCATCCGTTCAGGTATATAGGTTTCTGTTTTCCCATGTCTTCATCACAGTTTTGCTGAGATGATTGTTTTTAAGCTGTTAAATTGATTGTATTTGCTATGTACAACTGCACATTTATTTGAATGAATTGGTGGAGAATGAAGCTTTCTAAGTGATTTCTGGCAGTTGTTATGCTTCAAATCTGTGATTATATACCTATGATGTGTATATTTTTTGATCTGCTTTATGTGCATGCCTTTGTATTGTTCTGCCAAAGATATATTGATATTTTTTGCCCCATCAATTCATTGATTCGCTCCACTCTTCAATTTATGGAGATGGCCTTTTTTCACTTGCCAGAAAGTGTACCATTTTGTTCCATAATTCATTGTGGTATTCCCTGTCATCATTGCATTTTCTGCTTTTGCAGGTTCGCTACGAGGAAATCATTTCTGACTCAGCTTATTTGGATGGAATTTTGGCGGAAGGTGCTATGAAAGCTGCAGGTATAGCTGATGCTACACTCAATAATGTCTACCAGGCAATGGGATTCTTGCAGAGATGAGCAGAACCGATGCTGCAGGGTAGAATTCATGTGAAAAGACCAGTAAGACAGAAACTTTAAAGTTTACTTTGGATGATGGATCATCCGCCATAATTTTTCTTTTGGAGTATAACAACCATAAGCATATTCTTGATGAGTGAAAAGATATTTTAATGGGAAGGCCTCGAATCTTAGTTGTTGTAGTTGCCTCCATCCAAATAGGTGTTTTTTTTTGGGTATAAGCAGATAGGTGTATTTTTCATTCGTTATTATTCAGTGAATTGGTAGTCTGCTATGTATTATTATGTTACTATTTAATAAATTATTGTTTGCTCTGTTGGTGCTTACATTAGGATTTAATCTCTCTGAATCATTGAAATTAAGGACTGCAGCTTCATTGTTGAAGCAGTCTGTATAATAATTTACGACGTGTTTGTCATCTCGTCACTGTTGCCTCTTGTTTCTTGAAATATTTGTAGCAATATGATTATTAAGCAACTTTACTTGTAAAATTATGATCACATTGTTGAAGCAGTCTATAATAATTTACGACACGTTCGTCATCTTGTCACTGCTGCCTCTTGTTTCTTGAAATATTGTAGTAATGTGATAATTAAGCCACGTTTCCTGTGATTTTGGAGATTTGATTTTAGGAAGGCCGTGTTTGGTTAGAAGCTTAAGCCCTACGTGACATGTAGGGTTTATCATGTGTGTGGATGGATTCTTATCAACACAGAAGATAGTGATAGAAGGAGAGAATATAAATCCATCCAATGATTGGAAAGTAAAACAAAACATAATCTCATATTCCCTTCCCCTTCGGTCCACCATGGCCTTGTTTTCTTTACAAAAGAGGAGCCGTGACCACGCATCTGCAAAATTACGGACAAAGACGGTGAGAGGTCAATGCCACTCTTAAAATCTCTCTCTCTCTCTCTCTCTCTCTCTCTCTCTCTCTCTCTCTCTCTCTCTCTCTCTCTCTCTCTCAGAATAAAGGGTGCGTTTCCTCTCTGTTCTTCTTTCCTCCATTTCCTTTTAACATTTTTCTGAGAATTGCAGAGACAGAGAAAGACATGACAAGGACCACTGTGACACTGCTTTGCTATTCTAAAAGGTTTATATTCTCATCTCAATCATTATTTAGTATATACTACTCTAAGCATTATTATGGCTATATTCATTTATACTTTATCCCTATTTGTATACGTCAATAGAATAATAAAGATTTGATATTGAGTGCGTTGTAAAAGAAAGCTGGAGTTGATTCCCTTGGGTGGTTCAGTGAAAATCTGTGACCCTTCCCACACGTCATCTTTTGCAAAATTTCCCTTGAATCATTACTCAGTCATACTCATAACATTGAAAGACAAACTAGTTTGTATTATCAGTAAGGCTAGGGTTGGGAGCCAGTAAACCATACATGGACCCAATCTAGTGTCACGGTTCGTATTGGTTTGATTTAGACCTCAAACTAGTTGCATAACCGAACCAAACCAAACCAATGTGTTTGGTTTGGTTTGATTCCGCATTTCGTTGCGTACAGCGTATGCTCGATGATGATTTGCTTGACCTACTCTTTTGCTTCCTTTGAGTCCCAGTCCCAAGTCCCACCGAATGAAACAGAAAAAAAAATTCCACCCAAGCAAGAATGAGGATGAGAAGAGAGATGAGGGAGAGATGGAATAAGCACCTGGGAACTTTGGGAGTATTTTTGTGAATTTCTGAGACGTTCATGTGGCGATCCCAATCCACATCGTTGGGAGAAAAAAAGATTCTAGGATTTGTTCCAATCCAAAGTTGCGTTTACATGGCATGGGAAATCCTGCAGACATACAACAAAGCCAACTCAGGCTGGATGTGTGCGTGTGCTCTCTACCGCCCATTGTCTGTGCGACACGCTTCCTCAATGGGACATATATAGCTGTATTTATCATCACATTTCCCCAATAAAAAGAAAAAATATATATTTTAAAGACATTATTTGTAGTTTGTGATTATCATTGTTTTGGTTTTTTTTTTTTTGTTTCATGTGTCTATTATTTTGAGTTCATGTCCAAACTCAAGATCAAAAACTCAGGATTACACAAAGTATATACAAAAAAAAGAGGTACTATGATACAACGAACGAACAAAATTAATAACTTCATTTCATGCATATACACACGTGTAACCATTAGAGCTAATGAAAATGATAAAAAATTGGGAGTTTCACTAAAACACCCAAAATGGGGGTTGAAATTATAAAAAAACCCAAGCACTATTTAAACATATAAACACACCCAAAACCCATCATTACACACACTCAAAATCTATTTATAAACACACTCAAAAAGTTGACTTTGGGTGTGTTTCTATGTTTAAATAGTGCTTTGGTTTTTTTTTATAAATACATGTCTAGGATTGGGTTTATTTATAAATTTGTATAAAAAATTCTAGTAATTTAAATGATAAAGGTTTAATTCACAATCCAATAACGTTGAGAAGTTGTTATATAAGCGGCTTATAACTCAAGTGATTAAGAGCATTTACCCTTGCATCGATGTCTTTGATTCCCCTTCTTCCAATATTGTTGGTTACAATGAGTTTGACTGGAAATTATTTATTTTAATTTATATGGAAGTTATTTAAAAACATCTGAGGCATAAGTTCCCTTTACGTGATTTTCAGTCTTAATGTATTTAGGGTGTTTAGGATTTTACTTAAATAGGGGCAAGATTATCGAACTTGCCAATGCAGTGTTAGCTTTCTTTCCACAATTATGCGAGAAGGTTTCTTTTCTCCTAATCAGAAATTACATCTTAATTGAAATGAAGACATTAAATCATGCATATCTTCCAAAATCAAAACCAAAACCAAAATTTTCTATTAAAAATAAAAAAGCAAACAAAACCAAATTGGTCTAGCTGGGTTACCCAGTGATTGTGGCCCTCCCCCTTTACCTATGCTTGGCACCCATGATCGAAATTCCAGGGTTTCTTTCTTCCCAATGTAACCAAACAAAAAAAAAAAAAAACCAAAAAAAAAAAATAAAACAATGGGAAAAAAAAAAAAAAAAAAAGATATAGCCAGACATGTACACCCCCCAACCCCTACCCCTCCTTGATTTTTTTTGTGCCTTGTTCAGTCTCTACCCAAATATATATGTATATATACGTTGGCTTGCCATGTTTGCTAAATATAAGCCATTGTTGAGTTCTCTGCTCTACCCTACTTCTGAAAGGAGATATTTCACTTTGGGGTTTTCGAATTCATTGTCGTTGCCTCTTTTTCACGTTAAGATTTTCCCAAGAGAATGGACAGAAACCAATTGCAACGCCAGGTTGCCCTCAAGAGAAGCTCTCTGTTTGAGCAGGTTTTTATAATTTGCTTCTCCTTTTTTTTTTCTTTTATTCCCTGTTTCAGAACCATTCTGAGGCCATTAACATCTTGAAACTGCATGCCGTATGCTCTGCACGGATACTTTTCATGTTTTCACAAAATGTGGTTGGCTGACTTTGATATTTGTATTTCCACTCATAGGATTTTTATTTATTTATTTATTATTTTTTGGAATACAAGCGACAAGGTTTCTCACACAAACTATACTAAAGTGTCATAGGAGTTTGACACTTTTCTATTGAGTTAGACCTGTCGGCAGAATTTTCTATCTTTTTAAAGATTAAGAAATGGAATTAAACCAGCGGTGGTGTTGCAGAAAACAATCCAGGTAGGTATAGCTCTGTTTTAGTATACAGGTAGGGTTAGAAATGGGTCAGTAAAAACTAAGGCCCAAATTTAAATGTATAACATTAGCCACACGTTACCCATTTAGCCCATTTCAACGTTATGTTTTTGAAAAATATTAGAAACGAATAAAATTGGCGTAATAATTAAGCTGATGTTTTTGGTATTACTTCTTTTGAAATTGTTCAACTACTTCATCTTCTCAATGTGTTTGGTTCAAATGTTGCAGCAGTTCCTGGATTCACAGCAATTCGTACAGCTGGAGGATTTGGAAGACGATGCTAACCCAAATTTTGTGGAGGAAATTGTGACATTGTTCTACAAAGACTCAGCTAGACTGTTCCAAAAGATTGAACAAACCATGTAAGTAAAACAATAGTCTTAGTTATATATGTGTTGGCAGTCACTATTCATACTCCCAGTTTGTCGTCGTGCGGTGCGCTATGTTTCTATTGTCGATAATAAGTATGACGAGTACTAAAATGAACTTCATTTGTATATTGATTTATGCAGGCAAAGTAGACCAATTGATTTTGGCAAGCTGGATGATTACGTGCACCAGTTCAAGGGTAGTAGCTCAAGGTACCCAAAGGAAAAAAAAAACCCAGTACTACTTGCTTTCATTTTAACATCAACTTTAGTAAATATATTGCTCCTCCAATGTGCTCATTAAAGCTAGATTTCTAACAGCATTGGAGCTATAAAGGTGAAGAATGAATGCTCCCAATTTAAGGAATTTTGTTCGGCAGGAAATGCTGAAGGGTAAGATAAATCTGTCATGTATAAACATGTACCAATCAATGTTGTAGTTCCTTCTCTCCTTGATGCGACCTCATTATGAATTTATGTTTGATTTTGCAGCTGCTTCTGGGCTTTCCAGAGAGTGAAACAAGAGCACCACACCTTGAGGATCCAACTGGAATCTTACTTTCAGGTAACTGACTAGCAGATGCATTTGTTCTTTTTTTTTTTTTTTTTTTTTTTCTTTGCGTAAAAATTATGTCGGTTTCTTATGTGCCTTGTATATCTGCAATCTGTATAGTTGAGGAAACAAGCAGGACTGGTACGACGTGTCTGAGTGGCAACAGATTGCCTGAGGTGCCAAGTTGATAGCATGGAGAAAGAACTATCAGCGGCAGCACCATTTTGCCATTTTGTGGGCTCCTAGGGTTATAGAGGGCACCATTAAAATATCAAGTTAAGCAGAAGGAATATTATGCAGTTTTTCAATTTTGGTTGGGGCCATAGAAGTTATGTTCCAAAAAAATCCGAATCTTAGTGTACCAATAATGCAGATGCTACTCTTCTGAATTATATTAATAATACATCTATTATGTTGGCCTCTTTTGTTTGTTTTTTCAATGTCAGTCATTATAAAAAAAAAAAGCAAAATATTCGAGGCCTTCTATTTATCACAATCACCATGATAGAGAATTTGGTGCATATCATGAATCAAAAGGAACAAGAATAGGATGAAATGATATGCCCCAAAATCTGTAAGGCAATCAGTAACCCAAGAGCGTGTTTTGGTTTTTGTATTTGGTTGGTTTGTTTGGAGCGCAGAAAAACTTGTAATGATAACAACAATCAAAGAAGCGAAGAATAATGAAGGGGAACAAGAGAGGTAGGAAAGCAAAAAGGGTATAAAGTGAAGTTGGGATTTATCAGGATTTGATTGACTGATTGAGGGCAGTGATGATCAATCTCTTATATTAGTGGGATGTGGGGGCCCACCACTAGCCACTAGAGATGGCAATTGCAAAAGGGTGGCCTTGCCAATGATGATCATCATGACTTGCCTTATGTTCAATTCTATATTCATTGAACATGATATTGAACATTTCATGATCAGTTGCTTCTTTTTAAAAAAGAAAAGCGCATTCTTTTACAAATTAGTGGTCTTATGTTCGAACTCTTTTGACACTTTAGTAATGCGTGTGAGAGAAACCTCATTTTCCTGTAATTTAAACTGTCGCTTATATACAAAAAGAAAGAAATCAAAACCGAACTTCAAAACAATGAAGTTTCCTTAAAGCTAGGCTTCCCCCACCAACCCATCAAATGCAGAGCATGCCTAAAAGCTATTGCAAAACACAATTATGGCACTCTTAAATCACCTTAACCAGGTTGTTAGATCTCAGTGCATGCAAGGATATTTACAAGCAAATGTTTGCTTGACTTGGCTTTATGCTTCAGCTAGTGGGAGTGAAAGGACCACTACTTTTTAGTGACTAGGAAGTCTTCTCCATGAATTACAAGATAATGCTATGGCTGCACTTATTTGAATGTTGCTTCATTCTAATCTCAAGTCCACACTAGCCCTTTCTTTTAATGCAGTGTTAAACTGAGAGGTCTTTAAATTTGATAGGGACAACTTAAAATTTGATCAAATTTGAAGTGCATGTATTATTTTCATCTAATCAAGTGTTAACACTTAGTTTTTAACTCATCTGTGAAACACTAGTTTATGACATGTGGCATGCATTATCAGAAAAAATAGCAACAAAAAGAACCAAGGCCTTGGCCAAGTTGGGTGGCTCCCAGATGAAATTATAAGCATGTGTTTTTTCTTTCTTTTTCTTTTTTCAAGGAAAAGAATAATTCGCAGACTCTCTCTCTCTCTCTCAAACACCCACCACACATATAGGCACATTGAGTATTTTGAGCTGAAATGCTGTCTTGGTCATGTGTCACAGTGTCATGTCTATGTGACCGGCCACATATTCCACCTACACGGTTGTTACTTGGTTTTGAACATCTCTATATTTTTGTATTTTGAGTGTAAAATTTGAGACAAGGAATCTTCCCACCCAACCATTTTCCTTTTATTGCATGTGCTCTATACTCAATATTGGGTCTCCAAAAGAGGAGATGATTGGAAGAAAATAATTTGCTATATATCTCCACATACAAGCACTCTGGTCTGCAACTGATTTTTCCTTGGGGTTCATTCTTACATGCTGTTTTCCAAGTTTCAAGTGAACCCAAGTTTCTAATTTCTTGAGGCTTCTGTTGCATGCTTCGGAAATGGGTCAGTTGTATAATAAGAGAAGCTATGTTGCATCTGAAGACAAAAAGCTGGAGCTGAGGCTTGGTCCTCCAGGAGAAGACCAGTCTCTTCTCTCTCTTGGTTGCATCATCATCAACAACAATATTTCTCATGAACACAAAAGATTCTGCCATGAAACTTTTATAGAGAAAAAAGAAGGGAGAGAGAGCAAGTGGTTGACAAACTCTGCTCCCAGCAGTCAGTGCCAGCAAAACCCTAAGCCTTCCCATTTTCAGTGTCCAATGATTTCCAAACCCTGCACCCCTGGAGTGGCAGAGTTCCACAACTCAGATAAGAAGGCATGTTCAGATCCTGCTATTGCTTCAGAGTTTACAAATCCTGCTGCAGCTCATGGCTCTGATCAGAAAAGGTACTCTCAGCTTTTCTTGCTTTATTTGCTTCAATTAACCATAATTTAGATTAAGTAAAAGTTACAACCACCTACTTAATTTAGATTAAAATCTTTCTGTTGAGTTAATGAGTGTTTTAATAGAAATGTTTCAGTAAAAGCCATGTTCATATACATATATTTCTTTTGCTTTGCTTAATTCCAGTAAAACCAGAATTGCACAAGCTGCAGTTGTAGGGTGGCCTCCAGTACGTTCATCCAGGAAAAATCTTGCAAGCTGCAAATCAAGCTTTTCAAAGCCCCAGAATTCGGAGTCACCAAATGAAATTCTGCAGGAGGGGAGCAGTGGAAAATCTGATACTAATTCCAAGCCTCATATGTTTGTAAAGATCAACATGGAAGGGGTTCCCATTGGAAGAAAAATCAACCTCAAAGCCTATGACAGTTATGAGAAACTCTCCCTTGCCATAGATGAACTCTTCCAAGGTCTTCTTGCAGGTTAAATTCTGTTCAACAAACTCAGGCATCATGGAAAATTATTTTGCATTTATTTTGGTTTACATAAGCAATTTTTTATTTTTATTTTTTTAAATCTTTCAATTTTTAGCTCAAAGGGTTTGTTCTGATGTGGAAAAAGAAGACAAGAAGGGAGAGACCAAATCAATAACTCATGGCAATGGGGAATATACTCTGCTCTATGAGGATCATGAAGGAGACAGGATGCTTGTTGGTGATGTCCCATGGAAGTAAGCAATCATAATATTATTGTATACCTTGTAAAATTATAGCTGTTGCTGGAGATTTATTTTGTGATTTATGGTTCTCATTTTATTCTATTTAATTTATAATTGCAGCATGTTTGTATCCACCGCAAAAAGACTGCGCGTGCTGAATAGCTCAGAGCTTTCCACTCTAAAACGTGAGCCTACTTTTTTTATTTTTTTTAATCTCATAATTATTATTTTTGTTCCAAGTGTCAAATTAGTTTTCACGGCTAGAGCCTTTTTAGATTTATAGTTTATAATGGAAGTTTGCCTGTTTTCAGTTAGCAGCAGTCAACATGAAAAGACACCACTTGATGCTCCAATGGAAGTTGGGAAATGAGGCAGTTACCGAGGGGAGAGATTAAGTCCCATATGATATAATGGCATGAAGCTCTGCATAATTAAGGGGTTCCCCATTAAGTTTTATCTTTTTATTTCTAGTTAATGGCCTAATTAAATCTTGTATATTAAGGGTTTTTGAAGATCACTGTAATTTGAATTTGTGTTTTCTGTATCTCCTTTTTCTTGTTGAAATATCAGATTTATAGCCTTTTGGGATTCGTAAATAAGTTGGTTCATAAGTCATGCTATAACTCTCGAAACCCCCCTCCCCCCCAAAAAAAAACAAATAAAGAAGAAGATTGCCACTACACAGGACTCAATAGTGTAGTGGTTTGGAGCAATTATTCTCCTGAGATTATGGATTTGAGTCATAGTATCTGTATAATGTATATGAATTTAGCATATTATCGTCTCTCTTAATAAGAAAACATCCTCAACATAAAAAGAAAGAAAAAAGAAGATTGACACTCTCTGTCACATGCGATTAAACTATGTTTGTTTGAAGTGGCTTAGCAGGCTGGGCTGGGCTTAATTAAACATTAAGCTACTTCTGCGTTGAGCCTATTGTTAACTTGAATTTTGACATGTTTATTAACATGAAATTCGAGAATTTTTTCTCATGTTGAGATGAACTGGATTAAACATTGTGAGTCATTCCTAGCATTCACTAACACTTTGGGAATGAAAACCCACGAGGGATCTACTTAAGATCAAGAATGAGACTCCTTAGGGAAGGTGATATCGGTATTACGGGAGAAATGGTCAATTAGGAGTCCAATGAGAATGATTCCTTCTTATTCCCGACTCTTTCATACTCTCATTCATTTTTGTTTCAATTTTAAGTTGCATATGAAATTGTTGTTTTATTATAGAGATTTTTAGTTTATTGTATTTTAATTTTGCCATTGGTAGCATAAGGTAAAGGTAAAAGCGTCATGTAAAAAGTGAAATCATGAATTGTAGCTTTTGCCTTGTAAAATTATAAATTTCGCCTAACAAAAATAAGTGGCACGATACCGACCGAGCCACAATAATATAAGAAAATATAAACTACATTCACCACAGGACAACGTAGCTGTTGCTCTTTCTGGGGCCTTTGGGCTTGCTGTTCTGTCTTCCTATGTTTGGGCCTCTTGCTCTGTTTTTCCTCTGTTTTGATCATCAACTAGTTGGGCCTGTTTCTTCTCTTCGCCGAGTAGTAGCTAGCCTACTTAAGTTTTGACAAATTGTGACTAATAGTTCAAGCGGTTAAGACTTGCACGTCAACATGTGATATTCTCAGGTGTATGTACTCATTGTTTGAGAGCTGATGAAGATTTGGTGCTTGCGTTGTGGTCTTGTAAGTTTGCACGACGGGTTTGGAAGTGTTCCCCTTTCTGTAAACTAGTTGGAACACAATGAGTATGTTGTTTCATGGATCTCTTCTACCATGTTCGTACTACTTTTTAGGAGGAGGATTTATGTTTATTCGCGGTGATAGGTTGGATGATTTGGGCTGAAAGAAACAAGAGTCTCCATGGAGGCGTAATAAGAGACCATTTTGCAGTTTATGACGCATCACTAGTCTTTTATAAGGATTTTGTTGATCTATGTCTATCGCCTACGTTACCTCGCCATGTTGCTACTTTTTGTTGGAAACCTCCTGAGGGGGACTTGCTGAAATTAAATGTTGATGGGGCATGTTGTGTGCCTGATAGAAAAATGGGGCTAGGAGCAGTAGTCCGAAATGCCAATAGGGAATTAATGGGTGTCATGGCTAAACCGTTAATTAGGTGTCTTTCCCCTAAGGCTTTTGAAGCCTTGGCTATGATTGCAAGTTGTCAAATGGAAATTGATGTAGGATTCACAAGGATAATTATTGAAAGTGATTGCTTGGAGGTGATTAAGGCCATAAACCGAATTGAATTTGACATGAGCATAGAAGGAGAGTTGATAGAGGAACTGAAAGAGTTACTCTATCGTTTCGTATTTGTATCCGTGCAACACCAACCTCGTACATGTAATTTTGTGGCTCACCAATTAGCCAAATTTGCTTTATCTTGTAATGAGATATGTTATCGGATGGAAGAGGGGTCTAGCTGGCTTCACTCTTACCTTCAGAATGATTTGCGTTTTTTACATTGTATTGATGAATAAAATCATTAGCCTTTGGCCTTTAATAAAATAAAAAAATAAAAAAAGCTCAAGCGGTTAAGAATATACTATGCACTCGAGATTATGTGTTTGAATCTAGGGCTTCTTAGATTTAGGTCCAAAACTATTAGTTGTCATTGGGTTTAGTCCACGCGTTTTGGGTTTTAGATGTAGGTCCTTTGACATTTATTACTTTTTTTGCAGTGTCCATTCAACCCTTTAATGTAAATAAGGAAAACACATTGAAAATCTAAATTTAATGCATTATTTCCTTGTAATTGAATTTCAGAATTTAAATTTTGAATTATTTTCTTAATAATATTTACATAATATATGGATAAAATACAATTTAATCAATGAAAAGTAAAGTCCCACATATTATATCAATCGATTAGACAAGCACCCACATGAAATTATGTCCTTGACATACAAGTAAATAATGTTATTATTAGCAACGAAAAAAATTTAGTGATAAATAGTGTTACCTATAAGTTAGGAACATAAATTAGAAGACTATCTATAAGTTAGGAACATAATTTAGAAGACTACCTATAAGTCATATATAAAAAATAGACAAATAAAATTGTATGTTACCTATAAAAAAAAAGTACATAAAATACTATTACACATTGTCAAAAATTAGAAAATAACACATATAATAGGACAACATACCTACACCATAGGATAATATATCTACAAGAGTATATAATATACCATAAGAGATAAAAAAAAAAAAAAAAAAAAAAAAAAAAAATTAACTTAAACCTCCATATAAACAAAACTGAACCCTAAAACACAACTACTAAATACCTCCATAGTCGGGAGCATAGAAAAATATACATATGTCACCTTACCTACACAATAAGGTAAACTTAGGTACCTACAAAATGCCATAAGCATATAAAAAAATTTAGATTAAAAAAGAAAATATGATATACCTATTCTGATGAAAAAAAAAACAAACCCAACAAAGACAATGTTCTGTTAGTATTAGTACAACCTAAATTAACCCATATAATAGGTACAATATGGAATGCACCAATTATCTACCTAGGTACCTAGAAGAAGAAGATAGATACATTAACATAGCAAAAAATAGATGAAGAAAACAGAAGAAGAAGAATATGTATATTAACATAGCAAAAAATAGATAAAGAAAAGATGAAGATGGAGAACAGAGAAGGAGGAAGAAGAACAAGAAAGAATAAAATGGAGACAACGAGCAAGATAGAAAAACGTGCAATGGTTATGGGATTTATTAACCTATGTATATCACTATATTAAAATTATAATAAAATCTCGTCATTATTGTACTATAAATTAATTTCTTCACAATTTATACTTCAGGGGCATAATAGGAATAACAAGATAATTTAAAAATAAAAAAATAATCGATTTATATTAGAAAATTCAAAAAATAAATGTAATCCTATTTGGCAGAAAAGTCAAAGGACTTACATCAACTGTAGCAAATGCGAGGATTAAACCCAACTTATGTTCTCAATTTTTGACTTATCCCAAATTTTTCTATTGAATCTAACTTCTCCAATATCACTTATATAAAATAAAATAAAAATTAGTGGTCCAAAACAGCAAAGAACTGTAAAATGCGGTAAAACTGCACATAGACAGAATTTAGTGGCCTTACATGTGTCTTTGATAAGACTTGGCGATAGTCGAACTGTTTTCTCCATCTAGCCACCAAGGAGACATGAAATTTATGAAATCATTTCATGCATGCAAACACAGCAGCAGAAGCATGGTTGTTAATGGCTCTGCTCCAATAACACGATGCCACATCAGATGATTAAAAGATAAGAGAGGGGGAATTTGCATCTGTCCATAAAAGAAGGCCAAAAGCCATTCAACATTGTTGGGATTGGGAGAGTGGGGGAGGGTTTTGTGGTCTTGGAGATAATCATATCATTTTCCACAGACTTTTGTTTTTTTAGCCGCTGATCAAATTAACTTGGCTTACTTAGGCTTTGTTTAATTTGATTTGTTGTAGTGAGGAAGAGGAAGAGCTGTCTAGCTAGCTAGCCAGGGCAAACATGGTGAACACTGTGCTTGATCATCAAACTCAGATTGAGTTATGTGAGTCTGGTTCAGAATATCCTCCGAGAAACGTGGAAGATGGAGAAGTAGATGACGATGGCAAATCCAAAAGAACTGGTATGTGCTCTCCTTAATTCTCTCTTTAACACACACGAAAGCTTTTATTTTATTTTATTTTTTATTGTCTTTGGGCTGAGGAAGACTTGGGGAGACTTAACTGATTATAATCATTATCTTATATCATCTTTTCTCTATAATTTTTTTTTTATTCAAAACAAAAAATCGTGTACAATCTAGTTCCTTTTTCTTTTTGTTGGAGAATACTCTATTTCCATATCTTTGTCCTATTTTTTTACCTACTTTATTTTCTCACCCACCATATAAATTTGAAAAGCACAAACTTATCTTTCCACCGGTCATTATTCATAAAATACCTTTTAATCGTATTTTCATATTTGCCATTACCAAAAGAAAATTCTATTCCATCCCCCGCCCCAGTCACCCTCCCCCAACCCCCTCCTCTCACGAAAACCCAACAGTCAACACCATAACCATCACACCCACAACCACCTCTCCTCCCATCTGCAGCCACCCTCACCTCCCACCCCCACCTCTCCTCCCAATGCCTTTGCACTGGCTTCTTTCATTTTCTACTTTGTGCTGAGAAATTGTAGGGAGGGTGGGTGGGGGGTATGAGGGCTGGGACAATGGAGAAGGGAAGAAGGGATGGTGGGTTCTTCCAAATGGTTCTGAATATTGGGTAAAGGGACGGACAATGGGTTGTGCTAATGGCGGTTAGGTGTTTGGTGGGTTGGGTATGAAGATGGGTGTGGGTTTCAAAAAAAAATTATGGGTGTGGGAGTGTGTGAGAGAGACAGAGAGGGTTGTAAATTTGTCATTAGAAGTCATTTTACAAAGGGGTAAATTTATTTTTAAAAGTTTGAAGAGAAAGTAAGTGGAGAAATAAGACAGGTGGATGGAAATAGTAGCACTCTTATATAAAAGAAAGGGGGGGGAAAAAAAAAAAAAAAAAAAAAAAAAAAAAAAAAAAAAAATATAACCAAATTGGTCTTTGATGTTTAACCGAACGTGTGGTTCAAATTGGTCCATGAGCATGAAGAAAATATATGTTTTTTCTGTCTTTTACAAAGGGTTTTCTTCATGCTCATGGACAAATTTGAATTGAACTATCTTCACAGCGTCGCATAGAAATTAATATCCTACATCTTGAATGAAACTTTTTTTTTCTTTTTTTTGGTCTTGTTCTTTTTGTTTTTCCTTGGGCTTTTGCGATACAGCTATTAATGCATAAGAGAAAAGGAAGACACAAGCCCCAAAAGAAAAAAGAAAAAGCAATGCGTTTTGGCAATATTTTTTTCCCTCTGGAAAATGATAGTTAGTGGGCTACCACTTTGAGCCAGGTTCACTATTTACAGAAAGCTTTCTTCGGGAGGTACTTTACAAGACTCGAACCCCTGACCTCCTTAAGGATGGTACTTAGAAGCATTACCGAACTTGTGGACCTAGTCAGCTTTTATCCACTGGACCAAACCTCTTGGGTGTTTTGGCAATATTTTGAAAAGCAAAATTATAGACTTATATATATGAACTCAGAAAAAGAGAAAAATGAAAAACAAAACATGTTGAGGTTCAACATGTTGCAGATGAAATAAGTAATATTTATTCATTTTTGTCCGTTATATGTGTATATGTATATATTTGCAGGGACTGTGTGGACTGCATGTGCACATATAATCACAACATCAATAGGTGCTGGGGGTGCTTTCCCTTGCATGGGCAATGTCTCAGCTTGGTTGGGTTGCTGGCATTTGCACCATGTTGTTTTGCACCTTAGCTGCTCTTTATGCTGCCACTCTCTTAGCAGATTGCTATAGATTTCCAGACCCAGTTACAGGCAAGAGAAATTACTCTTACATGGAAGCTGTCAAAGCCTATTTAGGTAACTCATTTCGGATATATATGCTCGCTCTCTTATTTTCCAATGGTCAATTTTTGTTGACAGATTTTATGTTTTTATTTCGTTAATGTATAAGGTGGAACAATATTGTACAAGTTATGTGGATGGATGGTGTATTTAAATCTCGCTACAATTGGAGTCGGCTTTACCATCACTACAGCAAAAAGCATGGTGTAAGTAAACTTTCTCACAACAAAGAGAAGAGAAATATATATGATGCATTGTAATTAATTCGAGTTCTTGTGTGCATTTGAGTACTTAGGGCTATACAGAAATCGCATTGCCATCGCAAAAATGGGGGTGATGCCCCATGCATGTTTTCCAATATTCCACACGTGGTTGCCTTTGGAATTCTTGAAATTCTTTTATCTCAACTCCCAAACTTTCACAAGCTCTCTTGGCTCTCAAAGCTTGCAGCAATTACGTCCTTTGGGTATGCCTTTATCGGAATTGGACTTTCCCTTTCAAAAATCATAACGGGTAAGTCGTCCATCCACAAAATGTTAAAACCCTTCTCCCAAAAATGAAAAATGGAAACCAGAGAGAATAAAATTATAATAAAAAATTTGGTTGAGCAGGGCATGGAGGAAAACCCACTGTTGCAGGAGTGGACCTATCTTCATCTGAGAAAATTTGGAGGATGTTTGTAGCAGCTGGAGATATTGCATTTGCTTGCTCATATGCTCTGGTGCTTTTTGATATCCAAGTAAGACATGCCAATTTGCCAAGTCAGTTCTTGCCTTTTCTTCTATTCGGCATGCATTTGATTTATTTCAAAATTTTTTTTATCAGGACACACTAAAATCGTCGCCACCAGAAAACAAAGTGATGAAGAAGGCTGTCTCAATTGGGGGTTTGGTTATGATTGTAGTGTTCTTGATGTGTGGTTCCTTGGGTTATGCTGCCTTTGGAGATAAGACCCCAGAAAATCTTCTAGCTGGTTTTGGAGATGATATGGCCTTCTGGCTAGTTGATATGGCCAATGTTTTCATTGTGTTGCACATAGTTGGTGCATATCAGGTGCCTAAGATTTTTCTTCTAGTAGATAGTCGAACATGTTATGTTTTCAAACTGTCAATTCAAACCATCAATTAGGTGGAATCTTGTTTTAGTACATAGTCTAGATAGACAATTTAACAACCTAATATACAAAACAGCTATTGTACAAAATGTAACGTGGGTTGTTATTCCTAAACAGGTACTTTGCCAACCGGTGTTCCGAATTGTTGAATTATTAGCTAGAAGAAGGTGGAAAAGGTCCAAGTTCATAAACAGAGAGACCCCAATTAGAATTGGGAAGATGAGTTTCAACATCAACATGTTCAGGCTGTTATGGAGGACAGCCTATGGGGTGGTGGTCCCATTTGTTGCCATTGCTCTGCCTTTCTTCTCAGACATGCTTGCCCTTCTTGGAGCCGTTGGCTACTGGCCACTTATAATCTACATCCCATTGGAGATGCACATTGAGCAAAAGAAGATTGGGAAGCTAACAATTCGATGGTTTGGGCTCCACTTGTTGAGCTTTCTGTGCTTGCTTCTTTCCTTGGCTGCAGCATCTGGTGCCATTCATGGTCTTCGTAAGAGCCTCAATACTTACAAGCTCTTCCAATATAAAGAGTGAAGTGAAACCAAAATTAAACTAGGCTTGCTTGATGAGGCTGTAGACAATGATTTATTGGGTAGTTGATTTATGGGTGGACCATGGAACTCTGATATTTATTAAAGGAGTTGAATTTCAATTTCACCATTTGCACTATTGAGAGAAATACTTCATTATTTCCGTTTCATTGTCCATTTCTTTATATCTCTCTCCTCTTTTGACAAGTGACATGAGGAGAGAGATAAGAAGACAATGAAACGGGTGTAGGAAAGTTTTTCTCAACTATTGATGGGTTTGTCATTTTCATTGATTACAATTAGGTAAAAGTGTTATGTAAAAAATAGAATCAATACATGGTAGCTTTTGCCTTTCAAATAATGATTTACACCACCTTGTCTTAATCTCTTCAAGCTCATATTCATACCATTGCCAACCACCCATAAAATTAAGAAGTATAATTAGTTAAGCTACTGTTGGCTATTAATTTAATTTCCAGACCACTTCAAATATTTTTTATATACCATATATATATATATATTCCTTTATTTCCAATGATCCTTGCTGATGTAGAAATTTCGATCAACAAGTGACTTACGTGGTTGTTGTTCTGTCAGCCTTTGGGCTCGTTGTTCTGTTTCCTCTGTTTGGGCCTTGCTCTGTTTTTGATCCTCTGCTCGTTGGACCTGGTTTCTTTTTCTTGGCCGAGTGGCATGCTTGGGCTTGTTAAGGTTCGATGAAATATTAAAGGATCCTTAATTTCAAAATTAGAAATTCATGCCCAATTGATAGACTCCGACCTTGATTCAAGCAAAGGCAGTAATATTTTTATTTTTGAGTATAAGCGATTCAAGAGGATGGTTTCGAACTTCTGCCCACATAAGTGAAGATAGAAGAGCTCAACCAACTGAGCTATACCCACTTGCAAATAACTTTCTATTAACAAGTAACAACTCAATTACAACATGACCAATCCAATATTGACCCGATCTTATAAACTGGTTAGCTGGCCTAAGCAGCCGCTAACTAACTAATCAATCCTGGCGCCAATCAAACTATTTTTAACTAATTATCAACTCAGCTCCTCAACTAATCAATTACAAAATATAATTAAAATACAGATTAACATATTCCGATCACCGATTTGGATGGAGGAATTTGAATTTAACAAAATGCTAAATTTATTACAAAAATAAAAATCACATTACATTGGATCTATTTGAAATGACCATATGCAAGGAATCATTTGAAATTCATTTGTTTTCTTCATTCCTTTATTGTTCAAATCCTGACATATATGAATTATAACAGTCTAAACATTCTTACTTTATAATGTCATCTAAGTCCATAAATTTGTAATGGTCTAAGCAACTTTTCATAACTTACTCGATAAGTCATACTTTTTTTTTTCTTCCTAAAATATCCTCATTAATATTTTGTGTGATATAGGAAGGAAAATACTTTTTTTTTCTCTAACTCTTAGAGTAATTTAATGCTATTTTGTTTCTTTTATTACACTTTTGGACTGTTCTTTTTGCCGTGAGATTTGGAAATTGCTTCTTCTGTCTCTCACTTCTTACATGTGTCTGCAGTAAGTCTCAGCGTTACAACTACGCCTTTCTCCATCTGGCCACCATGGAGAGATGAAATTTATGATTCCATGCATTAAAAAGCAGCAAAAGTAGGGTTGTTAATCACTTTTGGTCGAATAACACGATGCCACCCCAGCTAATCAAAACATAAGGGAGGGGCTAATTAGGCTTTGCATCTGTTCATGAAAGAATATAAGGTAGTGTAGCATTGTGCCATTTTTGGGAGAGTGGCGGTTTTTTGGTCTTGGCTTAATTAGCTTTGCTCAATTTGATTTATTATAGGGAAGACGAAGACGAAGAGGTGCCTAGCTATCTAGGGCAAACATGGTGATCACTGTGCTTGATCATGAGTTTCAGAATGAATTATGTGAAAGTGACTCTGAATATCCCCCCAAAAAGGTGGAAGGTGGAGAAGTAGATGATGATGGCAAGCCCAAAAGAACTGGTATGTGCTCTCTTTTACAACACGAGCTTGAAGATTATATGATTTTTCTCCAGTTTCACAACATGGTTTTTCAGTTCAATTCAAGTTCTTTCTCCCTCTAATGTAGCAAAAATTCCAAACTTGGTTACATTCTTTTTCCTGTTTTCAAGTTTGACTTGTTCTCTTTTTCTTTTCTTCACTATATCCTTTGTTATCTTAAAAAAAGCATGGAATGTAGCCATTAATGTTATCTTCAAAAGCTTGGAATCCTTTGGATTTGGGATATAGCTACTATTAATGCATAAAGAACAGATAGACACAAGCCAAAAACCCAAACAAACCGAAAAAGAAAAGAAAAGAAAAAACCATTGCGTTCTGGCAATATGTTGAAAAGAAAATTATAGAATTCGCCTTGAGATGGCTCGAAAATTAAGCAAAGTTAGGATGGAATTATATGCATCTTGTGGACATACATAGGGTTTAGGGTTTAACATGTTGCAGATGAAATAATTAATATTTTTCCTTTTTTTTTCTCTCTAATATATTATATATATAGGGACAGTGTGGAATGCATGTGCACATATAATCACAACATCAATAGGTGCTGGGGTGCTTTCTCTGGCATGGGCAATGGCTCAACTTGGTTGGGTTGCTGGCATTTTCATTCTCTTATTTTGCACCTTAGCTGCCCTTTATGCTGCCACTCTCTTAGCAGATTGCTATAGATTTCCAGACCCAGTTACAGGCAAGAGAAATTACTCTTACATGGAAGCTGTCAAAGCCTATTTAGGTAACTCATTTCTTATGCACACTCTTATTTTTAATGGTCAAATTTTGTTGATAGATTTAGTTTTTTCTTTTCTTTTCATTTCCTTAATGTATAAGGTGGAAGAATGTACAAGTTCTGTGGATGGATGTTGTATTTAAATCTCGCTACAATCGGAGTCGGCTTTACTATTACTACAGCTAAAAGCATGGTGTAAGTCAATTTTCTCACAACAAAGTGAAGAGAAATATCGCTGTATCAATACTGTAATTCGAGTTCTTATATATATGTGTATATGAATGCTCAGGGCTATACAGAAATCGAATTGCCATCGAAAAAATGGTGGTGATGACCCATGCATGTTCTCCAATATTCCACACGTAGTTGGGTTTGGAATTGTTGAAATTCTCTTATCTCAACTCCCAAACTTTCACAAGATCTCTTGGCTCTCAAAGCTTGCAGCAATTACGTCTTTTGGTTACGCCTCTATCGGAATTGGACTTTCCCTATCCAAAATCATAACGGGTAAGTTCTCCATCAACAAAATGTTACAACCCATCTCCCGAAAATGAAAACTGGAAACCGAAAAAAAAATAAAAAAAATTTGCTTGAGCAGGGCATGGAGGAAAAACCTCTGTTGCAGGAGTGGACCCATCTTCATCCGATAAGATTTGGAGGATGTTTGCAGCAGCTGGAGATGTTGCATTTGCTTGTTCATATGCTCTGGTGCTTTTTGATATCCAAGTAAGACATGCCAATTGCCAAGACAATTCTCAGCCTTTTCTGTTTTGTTTCAGTTTTATACATTGAATTTGATTTGTTTTGATTTAGGACACGCTCAAGTCATTGCCACCAGAGAACAAAGTGATGAAGAAGGCTGTCTCAATTGGGGGGTTAATTATGATAATATTCTTCATCATGTGTAGTACCTCGGGTTATGCTGCATTTGGTGACAAGACCCCAGAAAATCTGCTGGCTGGTTTTGGAGACGATATGGCCTTTTGGCTAGTTGATTTGGCCAATGTTTTTATTGTGGTGCACATAGTTGGTGCATATCAGGTATATATGATCAGGTTCATAACATTGTCATTTTACAGATAATATGGCATGCTATGTTTTCATATTGTCAATCTAAACCATCAATTACGTGGAATCTTATTTCGATACGTGTCATTGACTGTTTGTCAACATAATATGCAATACTGCTATAATACAAATGTAACGTGTCATGTTATTCATGAGGCATGTAAAATCTTATTTTGATACGTGACATTGATAGTTTGGCAACATCATATGCAAGACTATTATTGTACTAATGTAACATGCCATGTTATTTATGAGAATGTAGAATCTTATTTCGATATGTGACATTGACAGTTTGACAACATAATATGCAAGACTGTTATTGTACAAATGTAACGTGCCATGTTATTCATGAGCAGGTACTTTGCCAACCGGTCTTCCGAATTGTTGAATTACTGGCTGGAAGAAGGTGGCCAAAGTCCAAGTTCATAAACAGAGAGAACCCAGTTAGATTTGGAAAGATCAGATTCAATATCAACATGTTTAGGCTGTCATGGAGAACAGCATATGGGGTGGTGGTCACAATTGTAGCCATTGCTCTGCCTTTCTTCTCAGACATGCTTGCCCTCCTTGGAGCCATTGGCTACTGGCCACTTATAGTCTACATCCCACTGGAGATGCACATTGCGCAGAAAAAGATTGGGAAGCTAACAATTCGATGGTTTGGGCTCCACTTGTTGAGCTTTCTGTGCTTGCTTCTTTCCTTGGCTGCAGCATCTGGTGCCATTCATGGTCTTTACAAGGGCCTCAATGCTTACAAGCTCTTCCAATTTAAAGAGTGAACTGAACCCAAAATCAGTATGCTATAAGGATCTAATTATGTAATAAAAACATGACTCTAATTATGTAACAAAACAATCCACTACCAGAAAAGCTCCATTTAAGCTACGAACACACCAATCTTAGACTTAACCACCGACAACTCTTGGCCAATGGATGTCCCATTATCCAAAAGAAGGGTAATTTGGTCCTCTCAATCAAATCACTTCTTTTTTGTGTTTTTTTTTCACCTCTCACTTTTTTTGGTCAGAGTTTTTCCTCTCACTTTTTTTAGCCTTTCCAAACTTCAAAGTAGAAGACTAGGGCACTTAATTTATTTATTTATAAATTCATAGTTCTGTCTCACTGATGGAGAAATTCTTGGTCACCTACCATGGATTTAAAAGTCGGACCACTTTCATCCTTGTAATATTATATAGTCTACAGAATAATGTGGAAGTCCACTTACTATATAAATCTAAAAATCTTTTGGAGCATGCAATAGTGAGGCCTGTATTAATGGAGCATTAGCACAAATACGAGCAAACAAAAAAAAAAAAAAAAAAAAAAAAAAAAGCTCTGGTCTAAGATTTTTCCCATCACTTGACAAAACCAGGTTAGCTAGAGCAAGCAATTGAAGGTGATGATGTAATTTTGCAACCAAACATGTAATGTTTAAATACAAGGGAACCTGTATATGATGCTCATGATTCTTTGTCTTACTTCACCAACTAAATTCAAGTGTCCCATTCCTTCTAGATGGCCCATGCATAATCACGTTTTAGCCGCTTTGTTCTAGAGTGAACGTAGTCATGGTTTTACTTACATTTTCAGCTATAGAAGAACATGGTTTTACTTAGAATAGAGAAAAAAAAAAGAAAAAAAAAAGGGGGTCGTACAAAATATACGATCTTCTGATTTCATATTAGTACTTATTATTATCACTTTAAACACTTTTAAACATAGTTAACTTCATATACATTGTTGACTTATTTCTTAACAGTTTAAACTCGGCTCGTAGCTTAAGGTTTTAGGTTTTAATTGTTGTTTAACATCAACTAGATCTTTTATATTATTATTTAATTTATTTTTAATTCTTGGTTGTGAAGTGATTGGTCCTGGATTTTTGCCACTCTAACTGTAAAGGGAGTAGCATTCTTGTGAGTTGAATAGCAACAGTGTATAGGCGGCCTGAAAAATGAGCAGTGTGTTCAAAAGTTAGTCGTTATGAAGCTTTTTTAGACTATATCATGCATATAGTCAATGCCATGACCAAACCATCGTGATTTAATAGGGACACAAACCAACTATGAAATTTCTGCTCACCTGCCATTATCTTCCATGGCATATGTACTAATTTGACTTCTAAGTTAACTGAACGCAGACATTATTTGAATATTATTTTTCTACTTCATTAAATTAAAGGCTTGAATGGATAATTGGATATATAAATGCATCTTTTCTGAACCTACAAAATCAAGTTACCGTCATTTAAAAAAAAATAATAATAAATTACTGTATATGACGTGGTCAAGTTATAAACATTGGATTGCTTGGACGATCCAGATGTTATGAAATACGTGTAAATGTATAAATTCTAAGATGCAGAGGCTCGGAATCCTACAAGAGGTTAAATGTTCAGAGAAAACGTCATCCTTTACACAAACAGGCTCCTCATTGATTGATGGCTAATTGGATATTTTCCTTAAGAACAGGGCACAGTGTAACAAGAAAGACTCCGCTTCTAGAAGAAGCCCCATTAACTCAGAGAAATGTACAAGCTATTTAAACAGCCACTTTTAATTCAACTAAACATTGAAGTATTAGGTTGTAAATCTAAGGAGATAAGGATCACCATCCCTAGATTTTGATTTACTATTGGTTTTTAAAAGTAACAAATGTTTATTGTATTTCTCCCTAAATAAATTATCATTATCACTCGTTGATCCGTGTCAAAATGAAACTCCATGCCATTGCCATCTCACTTTCAGTGGCATAAGTTGTAATTTAGTGAAACGTTGGGGTCATTTTAACCCGCTAACACGCATATAATGTCATGGCCCAAACCAACCAAGTTTGAATTGCCAGCCGTTACTTCTCCAGCTTTTTCCCGGTAAAAACACAGAACCGGAGCAACGAACTCAACCACATCAAATGTCGAAAACACACCAATCACTCTCCAGCATCCCATCCTCCTTTATCCTCCTCTGCATCCTCATCTCCCTGCCCTTCCAAGTAATTTCACAATCCACCGAGCAGTCGATCCTCCTCAAGCTCAAAGACCAATGGGGCAATCCGCCGTCCATCCATTCCTGGAACTCCTCATCCTCACCGTGCGATTGGCCAGAAGTCAACTGCACCAACGGCGCGGTCACCGGACTTTTCCTCAGCCAAAAAAACATCACGGAGAAAATTCCAGCGACCATTTGCTACCTGTCGAGCCTCGCTGAGCTCGACCTCGCATGGAATTTCATTCCAGGCGAGTTCCCCGACTCTCTCTATAACTGCTCGAAGCTCCAAGTCCTCGACCTCTCACAAAATTACTTTGTGGGCCGAATTCCAAACGACATCGACAGGATGTCGTCTCTCCGATACTTGGACCTTGGCGGGAACAACTTCTCCGGCGATATTCCGGCGGAAATTGGCCGGCTGCCGGTGCTACAGACCCTCCGGCTTTATCAAAACTTTTTCAACGGCAGTGTTCCGAGTGAGATTGGGAACCTGTCGAATCTCGAGATATTTGACATGCCTTTTAATGGAAATTTGGTGCCTGCCCAAATCCCAGCAGACTTTGGAAAGTTGAAGAAGCTCAAGCGTTTATGGATGAAGCAGACGAATTTGATTGGTGAGATTCCAGAAAGTTTTTCTGGTCTTCTGAGCCTCGAGACATTGGATCTTGCAAGAAACAATTTGGAAGGAAAAATTCCTGGTGGGTTGTTTTTGTTGAAGAATTTGAGCGAGTTGTTTCTTTTTCATAATAAATTGTCAGGGGAGATACCAAGTACTGTGGAGGCTTTGAATTTGGTTCAAATTGATCTCTCTATGAACAATTTGAGTGGTTTGATCCCACAAGATTTTGGCAAGTTGAAGAATCTGACTATTCTGAACCTGTTTTCGAATCAATTAACGGGTGGGATACCAGAGAGTTTAGGCTTAATTCCGGAGCTGAAGAACTTTCGGGTTTTTATGAACCAGTTGAATGGGACTTTGCCACCGGAACTAGGCCTTCACTCCGAGCTCGAAGCATTTGAGGTCTCGGAGAATCAGCTGAGTGGTTCACTACCGGAACATCTATGCAGCAGTGGCCTTTTGCAAGGAGCTATTGCATTCTCTAACAATCTCAGTGGAGAGTTGCCTAAAGGGCTTGGAAATTGTGGTTCTTTGCGGACACTTCAGGTCTACAACAACAATTTTTCGGGGGAGGTACCTCAGGGACTTTGGACTGGACTAAATCTGTCCAGTTTGATGTTGAGTAACAATTTGTTTTCTGGTCAGCTTCCCAGCAGCAATCTGGCTTTGAATCTATCTAGGCTGGAAATTAGCAACAACAGATTTTCTGGTGAAATCCCATTTCAAGTCTCTTCTTGGGAAAGTTTGGTTGTTTTTAAGGCTAGTGGGAATTTGTTTTCTGGGAAAATCCCAATAGAGTTGACCAGCCTTTCTCAGTTAAATACTCTGTTACTCGATGGCAATCGACTTTCAGGGGAATTACCATCGCGGATCATCTCATGGGGGTCCCTGGATACTTTGAATCTCTCAAGAAATGAGCTTTCAGGCCACATTCCAGCAGCTATTGGTTCTTTGCCTGACCTGCTTTACTTGGACCTGTCAGGAAACCAATTCTCAGGTGAAATCCCAGCTGAGTTTGGCCACTTGAGGCTCAATTCCCTCAACTTGTCTTCCAACAAGCTTTCTGGGAAAATCCCAGATGTGTTTGCTAACCGTGCATATGAAGACAGTTTCTTGAATAATTCCAATCTATGCGCCGGTACCCCAATTCTAAATCTTCCCAGATGTTACACCAACATCAGTGACTCTCACAAGCTGTCCTCTAAAGTCCTTGCCATGATTTTAGTGCTTTCTATTGCTGTGTCTCTAGTTACTGTTTTATTGACCTTTTTTATAGTCAGAGACTACCAGAGGAGAAAGCGCGGTCAAGACTTGGCAACATGGAAGCTCACCTCATTCCACCACAGATTGGATTTTACAGAGTTCATTGTGTTGGCCAATTTGACAGATAACAATCTCATTGGAAGTGGAGGGTCGGGGAAAGTTTATCAGGTTAGTACTAACTGCCCGGGTGAATTCGTGGCTGTGAAAAGGATTTGGAATACCAGCAAATTGGATGAGAGGCTCGAGAAAGAATTCATTGCTGAGGTTGAGATACTGGGCACAATCCGGCATTCGAACATTGTTAAGTTGCTGTGCTGCATTTCCAGCGAGAATTCGAAGCTTCTTGTATACGAATACATGGTGAATCAGAGCCTGGATAAGTGGCTACATGGAAAGAAGAGAAGGTTAGCATCAGGCATGGGAGTGGTTCACCATGTTGTTTTGGACTGGCCAACCAGGTTGCAGATTGCCATAGGGGCTGCTCAAGGCTTGTGCTACATGCACCATGACTGCTCTCCACCAATAATTCATAGAGATGTGAAGTCCAGCAATATCTTGTTGGATTCTGAATTCAAGGCTCGTATAGCAGATTTTGGGTTGGCCAAGATTTTGGAAAAGGATGGAGATCTCACAATGTCTGCTATTGCAGGCTCCTTTGGCTACATGGCACCAGGTAGGAGCTTCCATATATTCCATTGCACTCCCTATAATCTCTTAAATTGGTTTGTTTTCATTCAATTTTTCCAGATATCACTTTGACATTGTATGATACTTGCATTGCAGAGTACGCTTACACAACGAAAATCAACGAAAAGATCGACGTTTACAGCTTTGGTGTTGTGCTCTTAGAACTAACAACCGGGAGAGAACCCAACAGTGGGGATGAACATACGAGCCTAGCAGAATGGGCATGGCGGGTATATAGCGAAGGAAAGACCATCACCGATACCCTTGATGAGGAGATAATGAAACCGTGCTACTTGGAAGAGATGGCTACTGTGCTGAAACTAGGGCTCATTTGTACTAGTACATTACCTTCAACTCGGCCTTCCATGAAGGAAGTTCTGCACATTCTTCGTGGGTATGGTCCCTCAGAAGGCTTTGAAGTGAAGAAGATGGGAAGTGACTTTGATGTTTCTCCCCTCCTTAGCAGTGCCACCTACCTTTCCAGTTACAAACGCAGTAAAAAGGTGGACGATAGCTTAGTTTACAGTGTGTGATGTACTCAAGAAATCTCATGTTAGTCATATGCCGCCAAACCACTGGTAGGGCTGGCTTTTGACACCCCTTTAATGGAGAATTTTCCTATCACTGGTTGTATAGGGCCATGTATCTATCTCTCTTATCACGCACGTGGCTAGTTACGCAATATAATAAGAGAAATATATACATGCTTGTATAACCAATTACACGTAAGATATTCTTCACATTATGAGACTGGGTTAGCCATCCTCGAACTTAAGACTCGTTTAAAGATCAGTATAGCTTGCACATCGGTATTGACTATTTTTGAAGATGCAGCTCCGTAAGACCATACGGGAAGTATTGCATACACTCTTGTAGTTACAAAGGCTTTTTAGATTATCAGCTCTGTCAGACCATACGGGAAGTATTGTATACAGTTTTGTCGTTGCTTTTTAGTCTCAATTTTTACAGTCGATGTTTCTTCTCATGCCAAAATATTCTGATCAAAATGAACTTTTGTTGCCACCTTATTCATGAATTATCTACGGCTTAAGGCAGCCTGCCTTTATCAGAGTTTGAAGTATGAGAATCTCTCTACCAACAAGGATATACAAATCTGTTTGCAAGAGAGAGAGAGAGAGAGAGAGAGATGGCAAAAATGTATTGATTAAAAAACTGTATTTACAATGGTGAATTTACAAACTATAAAAGTTTGATGAGTGCTATACAGAACCAAAACAAGAAAGAAGACGCCTGCTCAATTCTTGAACTCTACTCTTTGGCCTGGTTAAAGTGACTTCCATTCAGAGATACGGAACTTCCCACACCCACAACGAAAAGTAGCAACAGCTCAAATAACAGGATCCTTGGAGACTACAAAGGACCAGCATACTTCCATGAAATTATAATGCTTACATTTTTACAGCCACAGTGAAGCCCCAAGACCATAAGCCCAGCCACATTGAAGCCCAAGACCATACGCTAAAGCACCAAGCTATGCAGAGTAGTTTGCATGGCTAAAGCTTCCCCAGCACTTCGCAAGACATAACACACACCCACACCTGGAAACCCTAATGAAAGCCAGCAAGTTAATATGGCGCTTACCATTGTGCTGGTTCTTTCCCTTACGGAAGTGAGACTCCACCTTCAACGACTCACCTCGAAAAGGTAATTGACCTCACACTCAACCTGTTACAAAAGAGCCAGAAACAAACAGGCCAGTATAAAGATATAATGATTTGCTTAAAAATCATAATGAGTTTCAAACACTTGCCTTACTGTTGGTCAATGCATAGATTCTGTCCTGGCTCCATTGTCCAAATTGACAGCAATCCAGATTGCAAGAGTTGGCTATACAATACAAAATCCAGGATCAGAAGACTTGTCAGGTTCCCAAAATGTATTGGAGAAGAGGGACGAGATAAACATGAAGGGTACACAAAACTAGTAAGGTTTTAAGCACAGTTGCTGGTAAAAAGCACGTATAGTGGTGCAGGACCTGCCACCACAATATGCACCAGTTAATACATTGTCTGTGCAAAAAAAGAAGATAAAAAACTTAACGTTATCAAATAATCACGGAAGATCTAACAATATTAACCTCACCAATGTCACACAAATTTTTTATATAAATAAAATACCAGCAAGTGAAGGAGCAGCACAGAACCAAAGATTACACTATTACAATAGAAAAAGTGGACCGGCAAAAAAAGAAGTTGCTGACCCAAAAAATAGTGAAAGACAGAGGAAGGGATATGAAGTACCTAGTTTTTGTTATTAAAGAAAGTGTAGAAAAATAAAAATAAAATAAAGCGAAAACAGAAAGAAACAGGTATGCAAACCAGCATGCACAAGAGAGTTTATGTTCAAAACCTCAAATTCTTCTGACATGGCATTTTGATATCTCCCATTCGCATTTATAGAGCCATTTTCCAAAAGCAACTCTGGTTCTACCAGAAGTGCATCATCCTGCAAATATCCCCTTCTCTCACTATTTCCTCCAGAAATGTCAGATTTCTCACTTCAATCCGGTACAAATTCGAATCCACAGTTTTCAAAAGAAACTCGCTCACAATTGAGGTTCTGAGTGCTGGAAGTTGATCCCGACACAAATTCAGCATGCTCCACTCCCATGAGTACATGGTTTGACTAGTTCTTGGTCGACTCCAATAGCATTCGCTGTCCAATTCAGAAGTCTCCTAGTACAGTTGGTCTCCACATTCTACATGTCAACCAATGCCACATTTCCTGCTCTGTCCTCAATTAGGCTAATGTTTCCTTGGACTCTGAGAAAGATACTGCACATGGAACAACCAATTCATTCCAGGAAAGAGGTTTCTCCAACTGTTCAGATGGCTTTACCGCACAACCCTCCTGTGAAGGCTTTACCTCATTTCTGACTCTTGGGAATTCAGAAACAAGCATTGATGTGCACTCATTTCTAGTGATTGATTCATGCATAACATCTTCAACCACCCGCATGTCTCCCACGCTATCCTTTTCACTCTCCAACTGTCTAACAGGCAATCTAACATCGGAATTCTTATCTGCATCTCCAGTTGCCCGACACTCTAATCTATTGCCATTACTGAAGCTGATATCAGGTGTTCCAACAGATCTACCTACATTTTTTGATGGGGATACAGACTCTGTACGTGGAGGACTAATAGTGGTCTGCTTGACTCGTTTGATTGGCCCGACATCCTCTGTTTTAGGATCAATTTTCCTCTTGATATGTCGTTCAGCAGACCCAGAACCAGATCCCACAGCATCTTCATCATTTCTTTCATCCTGCTGGCTTGCATGCCTCAAAGGTCGAGGACGTTTATACCCATCAGGGAAAACAAAGGGAGGAAGCTGCTTCCGGCGAACATGACAAACATATATGTCCATCCCAGGTTTCCAGAACATATACATGTTTATTTCTTGCCTGAACTCATCAACTGTTCCACGTATATCAAATTGCTGACCTTCTTGACCTCTCACTCCCTCTTTCCTCTGCAAACCCATAAAGAAAGCACAATGTGGGCATGGCTTGGATGTGTCTACATATTCCTTTGGATACGGATGGCACTGCAGCATCCCATTCGTGTCTCGCTCTATCTGCAGGAAGGCACATGCAAACCATTAATAGGAACAATACTATAATCTCCTCCATCTCGACTAATTGTCTAAACAGGCTCAACTATCAGAGATCCCATAAATGTGAACAAAACGCAATAGCCCGTATACTCCGTAAAGATTTACCAAAATAAAAATTTACCAAAACGAAAAACTTTACCTTCAGGGTAAGCTGTCTAAACCGGGATTCCACCCACCCCTTCCATGCCAGCAAATCATCAGAATCAGCTGCAACTATGTCCACCTGCAGATAATTTTTGTATGTCTCAAAAAAAAGATAAGGTTCAAAGAGAGCGCTCCACTGGGTCTTGTTCAGCTCAATCTCCTACAATAAACCAAAGGGGAAAGGACATCAGTGATGAAACATAGCCCTTAATGGAAGAAAAAACTCAATTCATGCACTCACCTCACATATCCTATTACCATGGTGGAACTGCTCTGTCATAACTCGTAGAGTACTTATTGAGACATTGTAACTAGAGTTCATGCAAGGATACGCAGGAGTTATTATTGGCATGTGATGATAGCGGTCACGAGGGTTTTTACGAGGATCCCATGTAGGGAAACCAAGTTCATTCTCTTCAATTGAACATAAAGTTACTGGATTTGGCCAACGCCACTGAGTGTATACTCTGAAAAATCTAGAAACCAACATGCTAGGAATTGCATTGGGATAAAGCTGACATATCCGAGCGACTAAAATAGCCCAATTTACACCACCCAGGAATCCAGTAACCTACACACAACAGAAAAAAGGAACGGACCATTGCATAAGTGTAAAACTAAAGAGTTAATACCAATGAAGATTCTGAGAACTTAGACCACTGCCCTTACATTTGAATAAACACCACGCCTTTTAGCCCAAAACTTCAAACATCTGAGTGTCGTGCGGAAATGCTACAGTTACATAGAGTGTCAAAGGTTGAGTCAATTCAAAATAGAAATAAACCAGGTAAGGGATAAGTTATGATCAACCTCAACATTGGGGACAAGTTTAAGAATTTGATCTGCAACCCTGCAGCCATTCAGACTTCGAACAGTTTGCTCATCGACATCAAATAGCACAGATTCATGTGAGATGTCCAGATCCTGTGGACAAGTATGTTCCAACACCACATCAATCTCGTAAACACCACTATTAGTACCAGAGCATGAGATGGCCCAGATGACCAAACAAGTGAGGAATAGCAAGATACTGTTTGCAGGGGCTTGGAAATAGTCCTTCTTATGGTCGCATGGTTATGAAGCACAATGGATAAAGGGAACAAAGAGCAAAAGATTTTAAGAAGGTGAATTCTGAACCCACCTCTGGAACAACCAAAAGAGATACACTTGCATACAAAAGATCTATTGATATTCCCCGGAGCTTGAATTTCATGACGGGTACATGAGCATCAGGAACTGGTTGAAGTTCAGTAACCTCTTCCATTTCAGCCAGCATATCATGCAAAATAATAAAAAAATCTTCCTGGAGAAAGAGTCAAATGTGAGGTAGAGCTGCGGGTAATAAATCAGACCGGATGCATTAAACAAGAACTGGTTCTATATATAGACAGATAAAGATATATACATCACCTCTCGATTCACATACGATGGCCCAACACACAAAGTGTCTATGTCAGCTCCAGGCCCATGAACCTGTCAAAATAATAAATTTGTTGCTACATCAAACACATAAAGAATGGTTATCATAAAAGAAACAAAAAACATGAAAAGTGGGCAACAAGTGGCATAAATAGTCTCTCACTCAGTAGTTGGACCGAATAACCAAAGCAAGAAAAAAATCTAGGGCTTCACATTAACATCTAATCCTTTATAAAACTACAGTTGGTTATACTCAAAACAGCAGCAAGTTGTACAGTAAGATTAATGATATAAGAGTGGTTCACCATTGTAGAACTAACTGTACTCACAGACTGAAGCATAGATCAATCCGCAGATGTTATACATGTTCACATCCACTGGTAATGACCTTTCATTGAATGAGATCCAAATAATATCTCATTATAAAATACTTCCGGTAGATTTTAACATTAGCAATGGTCTTTTGCATTTTGGCCATGTACCAGTTTCTTCATTATGAAGCATGGATCCTTGCTTGACAAATTTTAGAATGGCACATAAAATCACCAAAAATAGATAGCATACCGTTGTGGCTCATAACCCAAATCTATTTGTGAAACTCCTAATGATGAAATTGTACTCCACACCCAAATATGAATAACATCAATTAGAAGAAATCGTTGGGAACTTATATTTACCCCGAGACAATATGACCCAAAAGTAAAAATGACAGCATTTGCATCCTCCACCATCTGATCTGTGTAGCCTCTTTGGCTTGTCAATTGCTTCACCCAGTCTTTCACAATCTACAGTAAAATTCAAAGTATAACGATTAATTACTTCATTAAACATAAGCTGCATCCAATGGAAGCAAAATGCAAGACTTCAAATCAATGGGGTTGCCTGTAAATGAAGCATCGATGGTTCAATAAATTAGAGCCAAAAAGAACTCAATGACTGAAATTTATGCCTTAAACCACCCACCAACTGCGATAAAATGCCGCATTTCCCAAAATTTGCAAAAATGATAACTATAAGGGTGGATATAACTGATTCTTCTCAAAATCGACACTAGAACAGAGAATTATATACCCGATCAATGCGGCCAAGAACCTCTACTCTCTTTTCAGCTTCGTCTGTGCTCTCATAAAGCCCCGAATCAATCAAGAACTACCAAAATTAATAGTAAACAAATAAAGTCATCAACTTGCAAATCAAACCTAACCAAAATTAACCACTTTATATATAAATATGTGTGTGTGCACCTTTTCGAGTTCGGCATTTCGTTGAAGATCGGACTGGGTGGGCCCGGAAAGAAAGATCGTGGTGTCGTACTTCTTTGGCAGCTGTTGAGTCGGGGAAGAAGCGTTTGGACCCTCAGAACCCGCCATTTCAGCACCCGAAATCCCAAACCAGAATACAGCCTAACCAAAAATGGGAAAATATTCAAAACTAATCTTTTTTTTTTAAAGAAAAATATATCCTAGGAAAGATCGACTAAGATGAAACCTAATTTTAGCAAAATATTTGAAAAATGGGATCAGACGGCAATTCAAGTTGAGAGTGTCAGTTGCTGCAAAAGCACTCTTTGGAGAAGCTGAAATAATCAAAACCCTAATTTGTCGACGGAGAAGAATCGGAAACCTAATAAGCTCTAAAGCAATCAGACAAGGAAGTGAGAGAGGGAGAGATCTGAATTGGGCAATGAGAGCCAGAGAGAGACAGAAATGGAGGGAAAAAAGAAGAAGAGTCAAAGATCGAGAAGAGAGAGATGAAGATTTTGAGAGAGAAGAGGAGACAGAGTATAGAGAGAGAGAGAGAGAGGGTTAGTTGGGGTTGGTCTATGTTCGAATTCGGATTTGATCTGATGCGGACTTGATTAAATTAAAGACCCTGCGCACGTTACATACAGTTAAGCTCTTTTTTCCATTTGTATAATTACATAAAACTCCCCTGAATTTGGACTTATTTTCACTTTATAAATAAAAAGTTTTTTAAAACAAAAAAAATATATTTTTAGCCCGTAACGTCACTGTCATTGTGCGTTTGTTACTCCCAAAGCGCGAAGCAAGCAAGCAACCAATCAAAGCAAAACATTCACATTTTCCTTAAGAGCTCCGGTGGCCTACATGCTCCTCCTCCTCCACCTACCCTCCTCTCCCACCTCCGCCACTCAAATGGCGCGTTACATTCCACGCGCCGCCCTCATGTCCAACTCATCTGCGCCGCACCTAATCATCCCTCCCGGAACGCACAGTTTCGAGGCCTCAAAATCCCCGGTTTTTGGTCTGAGATTTCATGCGATGTGCGGAGAGAAATTGAGAGGTGCTGCGGGTGCGAGACCATTGCTAAGGGGACGAGCCTTCGCTGCTCAGAGAGACCTCAGAAAGGCGAGGCGGCGAGCCCCAAAGAGCAAGGAGAAGGAGCTGGAGCTCAGTGTCAGTGTTTCTATGGAAGAAGCTTTGCCTGAAAATCCTGAAATCTCGGTATGTAATCTCTGTACTGTGCAAGCTTAGAATGATGGCCACATGTTTGTATAAATGTTTCTCATATAATACGAGATTGAAAATTGCAGACTATTGCGGAATTGATTCGTGTAGATGCTCCAGCAGCAATGAAACTGGCGTTTGACGGTCTGAAAGATTCGGTGTATAAAACAAGGGATAATGCGGTCAGCAATGTTGGTGGATATGAAAGCACCGAGCTTTCCGTGCTTCTTTGCAATGACGAATTTATCCGAAAACTTAATAAAGAATGGAGAGGGGAGGACCATGCTACTGATGTTCTTTCCATGTCCCAGCATGTCCCTGATCTTAGGCTTCCCATTGTACTAGCTCATTTGCGTTTTTCTATCTTTTGTTTATTGTATAATAGGTAAAGGGTGTATTTTTTGTGATAAATGCTTGACTGGCATTTCGTATGATTTGCAGCTTATGTTGGGTGACATTGTGATTTCTGTTGAGACAGCTGCAAGACAAGCCGAGCAAAGAGGCCACACGCTCCTTGACGAGATGCGCATTCTCATGGTTGGTTTTAGAATATGATTATTACTGTTTAATATATTTTGAAGAGATGAGTGTTCTCTGGGAGGAATATTTGTTGTCGATAACGTTACACAGGAACATAACATGCAAAAAGGCAAAGTCAATAGAATGTGTCATTTGCACCTATTAAATAACTCGTATTAGAAACTTCTTAGTGTAATTTGATTAATTTAATCACTGAACTCTCCTGTAGGTACATGGTTTGTTACATCTATTAGGATTTGATCATGAGCTTAGCGAAGACGCTGAAGTGGAAATGGAGAAGGAGGAAGATCTTCTCTTAAAGAGTCTTGGGTGGAAGGGAAAGGGGTTAATTCAGAGTGTATATGATGCTGAAACCCATACCCAGGGGGACACACTAGATGGTAATTTTATATTTTTCCAGCTTCACTTTTGCATCCTTATTTTAATTTGTTAATTGTATAATTTCTCCATTGAATTCTGTCTCTGCAATTTTCTTGGTTAAATTTTGTGGTCAGATAATCTTACATCTGAGTTGTTAAAAGACAGTAAGAGAGAAGGCAGCCTTCAATATAATAAGCCAAAGTTCAGATATGTTTTCTGTGATATGGATGGTAAGTTTGGGCTTATATTGCCCCTCGCATTTATTGTATTTTATTTAACTTGTACCAATTGTTATTTATATTTATTTTTCTTCATATAAAGGCACCCTTCTCAACAGCAAAAGTCAACTGAGTTCAACAAATGTGAAGGCTCTGAAAGAGGCCTCATCAAGGGGTGTGAAAGTAGTGATAGCAACCGGAAAAGTAAGAACCTTTGTTGCTATTCATTATCAAGAGATACTATATTCAGAAATGTGATTTCATACTTCTTGGCCAGTATAGAGTTTACTTATTTTGAATGGTATATTAGTAACTTTGTGTTATTCTTGTTTTCTATTGTTGCTCAATATTACTTCTTACATGCTTTCCTTTTTTTATTGTTGAATAGTGTTGATTAAAAAAATCTTCTAATTGTTGACAGCTCTTTGGAACAGGCTCGTCCAGCTGTGATGCGCATTTTTAAGGAAGTTGATTTAGCTGGAGAAGATGGCATTGTTTCAGAATTTTCTCCTGGGGTTTTCTTGCAGGTTCTATATTTTCTCCTTTGAAATTTTATCTTAAGGTTGTTGCTAAGTTAAATGTGATGAACATCAAACTGCCTTCACTTGTTAGATGCATACTTACTCTTTTGTCCAGAGAGCTGTTATCTTAATATTTTCAAGTTTGCTCTAGTTATATACTGTGGAATGAAGTCCTTACTTTTATCTACCCATAATCTACATGTAGTACTTTCTGTTGTAAGATTGATAAGGACACTAGAGGGAAGTGCGGTATCCGTTCCTGTTCTCTCTTAAACATTTACATGTTTTTGGTCTGTCAATAAAGTTACATGGTTCCCAAGTATTTAACCGATGATTCATCTATAACACTTGGTCAAGATTTTAAGAAACAAAATGCTCATTGGTTGTTGCATATATTATTTCTCCCTCTTAGAACTATTTTTGTTTCTGTCTCGGATTGATAGCAGTATGTATTGCCCTTATTGTCTGCCTCTTCTTGATTCCAGGGATTGCTTGTTTATGGTAGGCAAGGTCGGGAAATTTTTAGAAGGAATTTGGATGCAAATGTATGCAGAGAGGTAATACCTTGGTGAGGCGTGCAAGAATTTATTGCTCTTTGGTTTGTAATAAAATAAAAGACCATATGGTTTTTATGTGCAGGCATGTCTTTACTCTTTGGAGACTGAGGTTCCTCTTATTGCATTTACCGAGGATCGTTGTTTAACTCTATTTGATCACCCACTTGTTGATTCCATGCATACTGTATATCAAGAGCAAAAGGTGCCAAAAGATTAGATTTAATCATGATCATAAATATTCTGTTATTGCCTGAGATTTCCTTTTCTCTCGTTTTATATACGATTTACATGGAATGTATTTACAGGCGGAGATCATGCCTTCAGTTGAGCATCTCGTGGCTGCTGCTGGAATACAGGTATGGTCCTCAAGGAGGTAGAATACCCTCCCCAACCCCATCCCCCTCTAAAAATAAATAAAAAAGCGCCGGTGAACTTTTTATAAGATACCTATATACAAGTTGTGTCCATTGCGAAGTTCCTTGTCGGACTTTTGGTTTGTTTTTTATTTTCATTCAAATCCATTTCAAGTCTTATGCATTATGAAATTATGTATGTTACTTTGCACTCAGTTTTGCTCCTTAGTTGTAACTTTGGGAGGTTCACATTTTTCTTCAACATACACTTTGCTCTGAATTTCTCTTGATTCTTACAACAGTTATTCTTGTGTAAGATTAAGGTTTTCATCAGAAGGTCATTGTTTAGCCTCTCCAATTCATTTTAACACATGATCGAACTAATATCTTATAGTTTTTCTGCTTTTGATTCATGTAATGACGCACACCTTATCAAATATACAGAAACTAGTCTTCATGGACACTCCTGAGGGAGTGACTACTGCTTTGAGGCCATACTGGTCAGAAGCAACTGGAGATTGTGCCAGAGTTGTTCAAACTGTGCCTGATATGCTTGAAATTGTTCCCCCCGGAACATCAAAAGGCAGTGGAGTAAACATGCTGCTTGGTCATTTGGGAATCACTCCAAAGGAGGTATGGGCCAGCAGAGTTATTCTTCCATGTTGTTGTTTTTGGCTCTTCTGTTTTAAGGGAGTTACGGTATATACCTCCTCTTGATCAGCACGAGGTTTATAAACACAGATCGGAAAAAGTATGTTAACCATCCAAATCCACAAGTTTAGCGATGTTAGTGGATGATAAAGCTACTGTTATTGACTTTTATATAGTTCCTTCTTAGTTGTACACCAAATTTGATGTTATTCCTGATCTATTCTCATGGCTTATTTTTTCAGATCATGGCTATTGGCGATGGAGAAAATGATATAGAGATGCTTGAGCTGGCTTCTTTAGGCATTGCTCTTAGTAATGGAGCAGAGAAGACAAAAGCTGTGGCTAATGTAGTTGGTCTCAGCAACGACGAAGATGGTGTAGCCGATGCGATCTACCGGTATGCATTGTGAGCTTCCCCTCATACAAAGAAGAACTGGAACAAATATAGCTTGAACAATTAGGAAGGATGAGTCATATCTCATATGCAACTTGTCAAATTCTTTACAATAATTTCCAGTATGAAGAACTGCTAGTGAGCCTAGCGATAAAGATGGAAATTGTCATTTTGTGCACTTTATACAGACATTTGTGGTAAATACATTTTTCTTGTATTTTTACATGGAGTCATCCTCCATGACACTAGTCAATAATATTGACCAAAAATGGGAAAGAAAAGGTTTTTTTATTTTATTTTAGTACATCGTAAATGAATGCAAAGTCATATCTTCTAGTATTTTAGAGATAGTGTATTAGAGAATTCAAATCAAAACTGAGCAATTCCCAGATTATATGAATCTGAAAATGTACTGATTTTGGTGACTTCCAATGTCACTTTTCTTGGCAACCAAACGGATTCCAAATCTATAATGTTAAAGAAGGTAGAACATGTGATTAATTAGAAAGTTTTTAAAGAAAAGTATATTAGAGAATCCAAATTGAACACAGCTATTTATTAAAAATAGTATAGCCGAGCGGGAGTTTTTCTTGTTTTAATTTTCTTAATGAATAGTATGGCCGAACGGCTATATTCTTTATATATATAGTGGCATCCTTTTTTTCTTTTAAATTTTTTTCCCCGGTTTTCATTTATCGATAAGAGTAGTTTAGAGCATTATTCATTACTATTAGGCAATACCTGAGTCTTTATTGTCTACTTTTGATTTTTTATTTTTCTAGAGTTATTACCCGTAAAAACAATTTAGCATTTTCACGTTTAATAATTTATTATACACGTACGTATATATTTTTCAATAATACATCCGTGCTCTGCACACGTCTTAAAGACTCAGTAAAGTTCATGTTTTTTAAAAAGCAAACATACAATACTCGTATTATACAAGTAAGTAAGTGTTTTTCATGATTAATACACGTATTGTTTACAAAAATTTCAATAAGACACACATAATTCTCACATATTATTGAATAAAAATAATTTATATTAAAAAATAATATAGTGGCAGAACATTTAAGTTGTAGTTTGCAAAAAAAAAATTACGGATAAAACACGTATGTATTTTATTCATATTTTTTCCCATTTTGTATTTTATTAACTATGAATGAATGTGCAGTCACGCGGCTACATTCGATTTTTTTTTCATCTATACTTGGATTTTTTTCAATAGCACAACTGACTAGCTATACTCGATTTTTTAATTATTTTCAAAAATATTGTAGCCAAACGACAGTTTATGCCTAAAAGCCGCCCCGTTTAAAGTCTTGTATTTCTTTTATGCCTGACAAATGGAGATGGAAATTGTTGTCTCTCTTTTTGGACATATGCAGAATGAATCTTCGTTTTTTTTTCCCATCTTGTTTGCGTTTTAATTGAAAATCCTAGAATTTTGGGGTTGTCTTGTCTGTCAACATGACCCTAAACTGCCACATTCAGTTGGTGAACTACCTAGTACCTCAATGACAGGGGTTCGAAATCCGTTGGAAGCACTTTTCCCAAGAGCAAGCCAAACTCCAAGTGGTTTAACTTTTGAGTGTTTTATGAAATATTATTATTTGACCAACTGAGAAATGATCCTTGGTGGGCACGGTACTCTTATGCCTGAAAGCTGCCCCATTTAAAGTCTTGTATTTCTTTTATGCCTGACAAATGGAGATGAAAATTGTTGTCTCTCTTTTTTGGACATATGCAAAATGAATCTTCGTTTTTTTTCCCCATTGTTAGAGCACTTCCAGCAGTTTGCCAATTGCCATGACAAGGGGGGGCTAGGGCAGCTACTATTCACGTGAATAGTGGCTACCCTTGCCATATTAAGCAATGTGTGTTTCCAGCAATTGCCCTTTGCCATGGCAAATACTATTCTCTTTTTTTTTTCACAACTTTTTTACCTAAACAATTAATTTGGATAATATTTTTGGATAAGATTTTATTTTATTAGTTGTATTGGTTGGTATTTACAAAAAAAAAAATTGTATGAAGATTTGGTGTTAAAAGTGAAGAGAGGTTGGTATTTATAGGCATTGGCGGGCCCATAATTTTTTTAGCAGAGGTGCAATATTGACTAAGTATGAAAAATGGTTTTTCGGAATAATCATTTTCTCAAGATAATTTTTGGCGGCTTTTATTCGTTACACATTAAATAAGAAAACTTGATTTTATGGGATTTTAGTATGAACTATATATTGACTTAATGAGCCATCATTTTTAGCCTAAATCGTATTTTGCACTAAAACCGATTTTTCATATTTTGATTTGGTGGGAATTTGATTTTCTAGTATTTTTATTTGAATCCAAATGAGTACTTCTTTAGTTACATTGTAAACTTAAGTAAATGAAGTAATATCAAAATAAATGAAAGTAAAAAATGGAAATAAGGTATAGAGAAAAAAAAACAGTAATTATTTGGTATTTTTAAAAAAAAATTCCCATTTTTTTATTGCACAAAAATTGGCTGTCATTGGATTGCTGGAAAAAATCTGATTGGAGAGCCCAGCGTGCGCCACGTGAAATAGGGCGTGTAGCGGCACGCTGACGTCAGCCTTGTGCTCAGGCCAGCCTTGCCCTCGGGCCAGCCCAATCTGCTGGGTCCCACCATCTGCCCGGGCTTGCTTTTGTTGCTGGAAACCACTTTCTGGAAACCAACCCCCCCTAAGCCCGCCTCAGCTGCTGGAAATGCTCTTAGGAGCACAACCCAACGAGGACAAAATGTTAGCAAAAGAAACCAAAACGTGTAAAAACACATTATAGCCTTGGGCCCAACCTCTAACAAGGATGACATGGGTGGAAGCTTAGTCAAACTTTACAAGAGCATTGAAAATCTCAGTGACTACAACCTGCTACTAACAAGGACGAGGCCTTGCTGAAACCTACAACACTTTCTGCTGGAGCTAATGTCCTTTGGATTTTGACCACCGATGATCCAAAGGCCCGCCGAACAGTTCTGTTGTGCAACCAGTTGCTGGTATGTCTCAGACAACCCTAGCTATTTGTCCACGCTGCAGAGGAACTATAGTCCCACAGGATGTATATTGCTTCACAAAAAGAAATTGGAAATGTGTGAAGACGGAGATCCTATTGGTCCTCAGGCTGAAGGAAACTCGATCCTCTACATTATTTATCCACAAGGTGTGAAGAAACTGCTGCAGTTCATGAATTAAAATTATTGGAATCCGATAATCTACATTACTGAAAATGGAATCACTGAGCCAAAGGATAATAAACGCGGACTTGATGCTGCACTGAAGGATCCACATAGAATTGAAAATAATCTGAGGCATTTGTACTCGATGAACAGGGCAATGAAGAATGGAGTGAACTTGAAAGGATATTTCCACTGGGCTCTGTTTGATGACTATACCACATTGATGGGAACAAAGAAATGATTGCCGTTGGGATGATGAACATTGCTGGTTCTTGCACTTCTTGTTACCTCACCACAGGTTAATCACTCATCGTACACATTTAATACTAATTAAATTAAGGGGTTTAATCTTAATTAGATTCATTTCATGTTGCTAAATAAGCAAAACTTTTTCATCAATTTTCAGGGCCGTTTTCCAGATCAGCAGTTAACTACAATGCAGGATGCAAGACGGCAATGTCAAACGTTGTCATGGCAATTGCGGTTATGTTCACATTGTTGTTCCTCACTCCTCTATTCCATTACACTGCCCTGGTTGTGCTGTCTGCTATTATAATAGCCGCCATGCTCGGCCTCATAGACTATGAAGCCGCAATTCACCTCTGGAAGGTTGACACGTTTGACTTTGTTGTCTGCATGAGTGCCTGTATCAGTGTCTTTTTTGGCAGCGTTGAAATCGGCCTAGTCTTAGCGGTACGTACGACTATATGTCATACCAGTAAAAAATTATTGTGTGTGACAATAACATCATATCAACAACTTAACATCACTTCTTAGAACTAATATTTCTTTTTTCTTGCGTGTAGGTTGCAATATCTGTTACCTCACCACAGGTTAATCACTCATCGTACACATTTAATACTAATTAAATTAAAGGGTTAATTAGATTCATTTCATGTTGCTAATTAAGCGAAAAAATTTCATCAATTTTCAGGGCCGCTTTCCAGATCAGCAGTTAACTACAATGCAGGATGCGAGACGGCAATGTCAAACATGGTCATGGCAATTGCGGTTATGTTCATGTTGTTGTTCCTCACTCCTCTGTTCCATTACACTGTCCTGGTTGTGCTGTCTACTATTATAATAGCCGCCATGCTTGGCCTCAGACTATGAAGCCGCAATTCACCTCTGGAAGGTTGACACATTTGACTTTGTTGTCTACATGAGTGCCTGTATTGGTGTCTTTTTTTGGCAGCGTTGAAATCAGCCTAGTCTTAGTGGTACGTACGACTATATGTCACACCAGTAAAAAATTATTGTGTGACAATAACACCATATCAACAACTTAACATTACTTATTAGAACTAATATTTCTTCTTTCTTGTGTGTAGGTTGCAATATCTGTGATCAGGGTACTTTTGTTTGTGGCAAGGCCAAGGACTTTTGTTCAAGGGAAACCTCCCGAATTCCATGGTTTACAGAAATGTTGAGCAGTATCCCAATGCAAGCAATGTTCCTGGAATTCTCATACTTGAGATTGATGCTCCCATTTACTTTGCAAATACCAACTACTTAAGAAAAAGGTGCTGATTAATTAAACCTGAACACACTCTTGCATGTTATAATCAAATTTAAAAATAATAATTTGGAAATTGACGCAAAGTCTTACTTGTTTTCAGGATTACAAGGTGGATAAATGTTTTGGAAGATAGGATCAAATCTGCAGGGGAAAGTAGCTTACAATATGTGATATTGGATATGACTGGTAATTAAGGGAAACAAATAGTGCATATATATATATATAAAGAAAATTAATGTGACATTTTTTACCTGAAATTAATTTGTTTTCTGGTTTAATTTGCAGCTGTTGGTAACATAGACACAAGTAGGAAAAGCATGTTTGAAGAGGTCAAAAAGCTTGTTGACAGAAGGGGGCTCCAGGTTCAAAAATCCGCAACAGTCTCTTTCAACTTATCAAGTTTAGCTTGTACTGGCGAACCCGGGAAGCGAGGTGATGAAGAAGATGAACAAGTCAGAGTTGATTGAGAAAACATGTCAAGAATGGATTTATCTCACAGTTGCAGAGGCTGTTGCAGCATGCAACTTCATGCTTCACTCCACCAAGCCCAACCCGGAAAATATCAAGAACCAGCTGCATGGAACAACGTTTGATGGCTTTGATTGGCTACAATGTGAATGTATGTATCAGAAAGCAATATCCACATAAATATGAAGACTCATTTGAATTAGGGAGAAATGATTGTTGCGATGGCGGATGAGTTTTCTTCAACCTCCATCAGTACAAAATTGGCTTCCTTATTTGTTCTGGATCAACGATAAAGCTGAATGATTGTTGCGATGGCGGATGATTTTTCTTGAGATATAATGAATGAAACCAATAGAATCAATGGACCAAAGTTTACATGATCTGAAGTAATAGAATAGAAATCCCAATCCACAAACCAAAATGAAACCCCAAAAGCTCAATGTCGCTAGAGGACCAAAGTTGAAAAGTTTGTGCGGTTTCTTTCCAAGGAAGACATTGGTAAGAGCGGTATTTGACTCCAACGATGCCATCACCAACTTCAAACCCTACAAGAGAGAGAAACATACACGTAAGACATTTAGCACTCTAAATAGATCAACAAGCCACTGATAAAGAGTTAGAGAAATGTGTAGGACATGAAACCTCTTGCATGCCAAGATCAACCTCCTTAACTTGAAGAGCATCAATCCCTTTCACATTGAACTTTTGAAGCACTGCCACACTTGATTCGGTGGTCATTGGCTTCACTTCCAAATTATCCATTATCATGTAAATAACACCACCCTTGACATAGCCTGCCTTAATATTGCTGTAGGTTGCTCCAGTAGGAGCAGATGGAGAAACATAAGACACCGGGGTGGAAATGTTACATGATCTGCACTGTGGACAAGGGATCCCATAGCTCTCAGAAATACGGTTACTGCACCTCACACAAATGTAGAACAATTTAGAAAGATTCGAGTCATTGTTGGTCGGCAATGGCAATTGAAGGATATTGGCCACAGAAATTGTTGTTTTGGGTTTGAGCAGGGTGTCCTTAAGATTGAGTGGCAAGTATGAGTTGACACTAAGACTTTTGGCACTCCGGTAAAGGTTGCCTAAGCAACCAACCATACCATCAGTTGAGAGGAGCCTAGTAACAGTTGCAACATGAAAAGACAGAAAACTGAAAAGGAAATCAACAACTTCCTTGCTTGCTTCAGAAAACAGAACTTTGTGGCTTGTTGTGTCAATCAGAAGCTTCAAACTCACGCTAGTGCTGTTGGTGGTAGCCATTGAGGGGATATTAAGGACAGAGAAGAGGGAGCATGTGCTTAAGCCTTCAAAAAGACCTATTTATAAGCTTCACAAAAAAAAGTATCCTAAATTCAAAATTATTCAAAATGGCAATGGTGAATGGATCAAGAAGGTGGAGGGTCACCTTGGAGTCTGCATCAACAGTCGACCACAAAGCAACTCTACATATACAAATCTGTCATTACCTATACATAGGGAATATAATCTACAGATGAGTGAATAAATATGTATTTATTTCCACTAGTTTGCATTCATTAACTAAACCAACAGCCAGATTTACAATTCGTTTTGTTTTGTGTTTGCTTTTTCATATTAGTTGTATTGTATCTTCAGACTTCACTAGTTTAGAGGCAAAAGACAGTGTCTAACATGCCCATGCTCCCTTCAGCAGCAGCAGAATTTTGTGGCTTTTTTACATGGACTAGGAGTTTCACCTTATTTTTGGTGATTGCCATTGATGACGTCAAGAAGACTGATCCATAATTACATGGACGAGTTTATTCTTTGGAATGGATGATGAACTTCATAGATCAAGTAAGAGGAGAGAAATTTGATAGATAAAGAGAGAGAGAAGATAATAGATCACTAGAACATGTAATTTTGTCACACGTACGCGTGAGTATGGATTAATCTGGTTTGAAAAATAGGAGGAGCTGTAATGCAAGGCATCAAAAAGCTTTTATAAGCTTGCAAACTGCCACTTTAGAAACAAAACTACATTTGATGTGTTTAGAAATTGAAGTAAGAATTTATGTGAGATGACAAGGGTTTGAGTTGCAAGGTGTCCGTGTTAGTTAACCATAGGTTTCATGCAAATGTTAACCACCAATGTGCAAAGACAGAAGAGTGAAAAGAAAATCCACAACTTCCTTGCTTGCTTCAGCAAATTGAACTTTGTTGCTTTTTGTGTCAATCAGGAGCTTCAAACTCACAGTAGCGCTGTTGGTGGTAGCCATTCAGGCAATATTGAGGACAGAGAAGGGCAGCATATGCTGAAGCGTTTAAAAAAAAGACCCATTTATAGGCTTGGATGGAATGGTGAATGGATCATGAAGTAGGAGGGTCACCTTGGACCCTGCATTAGTCGACCACAAAGCCAACCCTACAGGTACAAATCTGTCATTACCTATATATAGGGAATATAGTTTACAGATGGGTGAATAAATGTGTCTTTATTACCAATATAACATTTCCATCAACTAGGCTACATTTCCAATTTCTTTTTGTCATCTCAAGGGTCGCCTTATAGTTCTGGTGAAGCAATATACATCTTGCGGGACTAAAGTTCCTCTGCAGCGTGGACAAATAGCTTAGGGTTGTCTGAGACATATCAGCCTGGTCGCACAACTGTTCGGCGGACCTTTGGATCATCGTTGGTCAAAATCCAAAGGACATTAGCTCCAGCAGAAAGTGTCGTAGGTTTCAGCAAGGCCTCGTCCTTGTTAGTAGCAGGTTGTAGTATGTGTCACTGAGATTTTCAATGCTCTTGTAAAGTTTGACTAAGCTTCCACCCATGTCATCCACAAGTTTAGTGGCAATGCCTAGAGGCAAAAGACAAGACTAAAAAGCAAATCCACAAAAGTGCTTTCCCCCTTCAGCAAACAGAACTTTGTGGCCTTTTTACATGTACTTAATTTTGGCAATTGTCATTGATGCCGTCAAGAAGACTGATCAATAATTTTATTTGAAAAGCCTGAAGTGAACTGGTCGTGAATACCGGTTGATGGATAATATATTTACCCCACAACTAGGATTGTTGTTTTTATCTCATATCTTCAATAATTACATGATTAATAGATCATTATAAGGCTGCTTTTGAAGATGAGAATTCCTTATTTCACAAATGATAATCCGTATAGGCGGGAACAGCTAGTTGGCTTATAAGATTTATTTCATTCATATGACTGGGATTTTGATCTTGGACTGACTAAACATGGATATAGCTCAATTTAATTATAAATTGTATTGATCAAATCCATTCATGCATCCTAAACCAGACAAAACTGATGAATCAAATATTCTCCCTGATTTTGATGAGAGTGCTCAATGCAATCAAATTGTTACAACTTACAACCATTTTCACTTATCATTCTTTTTAAGTTGGGAATGCTATTGAAATCTAAGCCTGCGTACATCATGAGAGAGAGAGAGAGAGAGAGAGAGAGAGAGAGCGCATTAAGAATGGAACGTTTAATATAAATTGCTTGGCCTGAAAAGGCCTTCAGGAATTGGTCCTTGTATTAGTGAATATACAAGAAAAATCTGATTATGAGTTACCAGGGCGTTACAGCACTGTACAACCAGTTGATTAGCAACAAGGCAGTTAGAGACCAGCATCATCCTCCTCCTGTACACAGCAAAGTCCAAAACACATTATGTCAGGATTTGAAGAACACAGCATCATCATCCTCCTACTGCAGCTGGCCCAAAATAATAGCAAATAATGTGCATAAGCAAATGATTCAGCAACTTCAAAGATAAAAAGTGCATAAGCAAAAACATGTTAAAAAATGCAGGAGATGGAACAAAATCAAGTGAAATGGCCTAAGGTTGCATGCACCCTATTAGTTAGTATTTCAGTACAAGATCATCAGACTAGGAAGGTTGATTCACTAGTGACCTGCCACATGACTCTGAAAACAGTGTAATCCTAATTTCACGCCAACCAAAAGCTCATTATCTTTCAATTTTGAACCAACTTAAGTCAGTTCCGGTACACCAAGAGGTACCCTTCCAGGATGTGGCATCCAGGGGTAGGCGCCAGGGAGCTAGGCGGCGTCTGGGAGCCCGCCTAGGCGGCTCTAGGCTTCCTAGGCGGCCCTAGGAGGGTCTAGGCGGCTCTAGGCGGCCCTAGGCGGCTCTAGGAGGGTCTGGGCGGGCGTTTTGCCGTTGAGGCGTGGACGAAGGGCGGTTGAAGTGCGCAGGATCCGCTGCTTGTTAGGAAGAAAGACGAAGAGAGAGAGAGAGAGAGAGAGAGAGAGAGAGAGAGGAAGGAGAAGGCGACGCTGGGAAGAAGAAGATATCCGACCTAATTTTTATATTTGATAAGTATAGCCGCGCGGCTATACTATTAATTTGTAAAAAAAAGAAGAGAGTATAAAGGCGTGGCCATACTATTTTTATATATTATATTTAACCTGTATAGCCGCCTGGCTATACTATTCATTGGAATAAAATTTTTTTAAAAATGGATTATCGCCGCCCGGCTATACTATTAATTTCAGGAAAAATAAAATAAAAAATGGAGTATAACTGCTTGGCTGTACTCTTTTAAGATGGGTTTAGATATGCAATTATGAAGATCAATTAATTTGATATGGGTTTAATAGTCGGTATAGATATGCAATTATGAAGATCAATTAATTTGATGTTGCTCGAGAATTACTGTTCCCAAGTGATGACATCATTGCTTTTTTAAGTGAAAAGACGTACATCATTGTTTTTTTAAGAGAGAAGAAGAAAGTAGAAGAATCTAATCTCTTTGTATTAGTTTGAAGTCCAATACCTACCGAATCCAATTCATTCAGCCAATTAATTTTGTAAAACAAAGGATACATCATCCATATTCAAAAACAAACATTCCAAAAGAAGCTTCAAAATGTCAACTTGAAATGATGCTTAAAGGAACACATTCGTCAGAACTTCATTTGACTGCAACGATGCCTTTCAACAATTTCAAACCCTAACAAGGAAATCAAACAAAAATGCTCTTCATCATAAATTCTTATAGAATATCAAGTGCAATATTTAAATATATAGAATGGTAATTTATCATGTTAGAAAAACTTAATAAACACAAACCTTATCCTTATCGAGAGGAACCACAATCTCTTCAAGTGAACGAACATCCCTAACATCGAAGTTTTTAAGTAGAGCGATACTTGAAATGGCAGACATAGGCTTCACTTCCATATCATCCGTTATCATGTAAGTCATAGCCTCTCTCACAAAGCCACCTCCCTTGCCACCAGCTGCAACTGCCGACCGAGCAACATAAGTCATGGGTTTGGAAATTAAGTTATGGCACTTTGGACAAATGGCCTTAGGGTCGTCAGCCACATAGCATACCTCGCCAGAGTAGGAGTAGCTTGATGGCTGACATGACCGACACGTGTACAACTTTTTACCGTTTGATTCACCATCGGTCAAGCAGGAAGAAGTTGGTGGGCACCACCAATTGGGATTGGCAGCTTCTTAGGTTTTAGAAGGACATCTTTGTTGAGGTTGGGTTGCAAGTATGTGTCGTTTAAGTTTTCTAAGCTGTCGTAGAGTTTTCCTAAACAACCGACCATGTGTTTTCTAGAGAGGAGCCTGATCACAGTGCCGATGGGTAGAGACAGAAGGGTGAAGAGAAAGTCAACAAAATCCTTGCTAGCTTCGGCGAAGAGAACTTTTTTATGCATTTTGTTGATGAGGAGCTTCAAACTAACTGGAGAAATAGAGATTGAGTTTGGATTTGGAGGGGGCCATTGAGGCAGAGTGAGTGAGATGGAGGACATGCGCGGCGCATATATATATGATTTATGACATGCAAGTGAACCTAAGTTTCCCGATTATATGGTAAAGTAAAATTGACTAGTCAAAATTTTGTATATAGAGGAAATGTGGAAGGAATATTTCAGACCTCATCCATGCCAAGATCAACCACCGTCTCCTCAAGAGCACCAACCTCCTTCACATTGAACGTTCAGCATGGCAATACTTGAAATGGTGGACATTGGCTTCACATCCAAGTTATCCATGATCATGTATGTCACCACGCCCTTGCGTATTTTATGGACCTTAATTTGGGATTGACTGGAAAAGCAATATTCATGGATTCAATAAATTCAACACAAGCCCACTTGTTGAAGTTTTTTTTTCCCTTCCTGAAGCAGCTTGCAGTTATGCACAATAAAACAATTGAAAAGAAGCTGGTTGGTTCTTTCGGGTGTCTTCACGAACCCATGTTCTTGTCCTGTGGTTGCAGTGGTGATGAACTTGCGGCGACAATGATCAGGGCAACGGAAGTTGGTTTATAACCGTCTTTGGTAGGGTTGCTAGGTTTGTAGTAATATTGGGCTTTTGATTATGAGCTTAGTTCTTCTTCTTTTTTGGGTCAACAATTATGAGTTTAGTTCAGTTTATTTTATTTTGTTATGTTGTAATGACGTTGGACCTGAGCTGTTATGTATTGGTTTATTTGTGGCTATACTATTAATTTAGGAAAGATTTATAATAAAAAAGGGTATACCCGCGTGGCGATACTATTAATTTCAAAAGCAATTTAAATAAAAAACACCGAGTATAGCCGGACGGCTATACTCAATTAATATGAATTTACACAAACCAGGCCAAATTGTTTGTGTTCAATTCTAAATTATACGCAGTAGCTGCATTTGATATGTTGCGAAATTAAAGTAAAAAGGCAATCGTAGGGAAACAGCTGCACTCAAATGGCCCTTTGTGTCAATCAGGAGGATAGGCTTCGACAATTCATCAGTTTCTCACATGTTTTGAATCAGTATATACAGATGAGCTAGATTTCTTCAACCTCCCTCAGTACAAAATTGGCCTCCTTATTTGTTCTGGATCAACGATAAAGCTGAATGATTGTTGGGGCAGATGAGTTTTCTTGAGATATAATGAATGAAACCAATAGAATCAATGGACCAAAGTTTACAAGATCTAAAGTAATAGAATAGAAATCAAAATCCACAAACCAAAATGAAACCCCAAAAGCTCAATGTCGCTAGTGGACCAAAGTTGAAAAGTTTGTGCTGTTTCTTTCCAAGGAAGATATTGGTAAGAGCGGTATTTGACTCCAATGATGCCTTCACCAACTTCCAACCCTACAAGAGAGAGAAATATACACGTAAGAGATTTAGCTCTCTAAATAGATCAACAAGCCACTGGTAAGAGTTAGAGAAATATATAGGACATGAAACCTCCTTAACTTGAAGAGCATCAATCCCTTTCACATTGAGCTTTTGAAGCACTGCAACACTTGATTCGGTGGTCATTGGCTTCACTTCCAAATTATCCGTTATCATGTAAATAACACCACCCTTGACATAGCCTGCCTTAATATTGCTGGAGGTTGCTCCAGTAGGAGCAGATGGAGAAACATAAGACGCCGGGGTGGAAATGTTACATGATCTGCACTGTGGACAAGGGATTCCATAGCTCTCAGAAATACGGTTACTGCACCTCACACAAATGTAGAACGATTTAGAAAGATTCTAGTCATTGTTGGCCGGCAATGGCAATTGAAGGATATTGGCCGCAAAAATTTTTGTTTTGGGTTTGAGCAGGGTGCCCTTAAGATTGAGTGGCAAGTATGAGTTGACACTAAGACTTTCGGCACTCTGGTAAAGGTTGCCTAAGCAACCAACCATACCATCAGTTGAGAGGAGCCTAGTAACAGTTGCAACATGCAAAGACAGAAAACTGAAAAGGAAATCAACAACTTCCTTGCTTGCTTCAGAAAACAGAACTTTGTGGCTTTTTGTGTCAATCAGAAGCTTCAAACTCAAGCTAGCGCTGTTGGTGGTAGCCATTGAGGGATATTAAGGACAGACCTTCACAAAAAAAGTATCCTAAATTCAAAAATATTCAAAAATGGCAATGGTGAACGGATCAAGAAGGTGGAGGGTCACCTTGGACTCTGCATCATCAGTCGACCACAAAGCAACTCTACATATACAAATCTGTCATTACCTATACAGAGGGAATATAATCTACAACTACAGATGCATATTTATTTCCACCAAAAAACTGTAATCTTAAATAGGTTCAAAAAATCGGTCTAGGCGGCGCCTAGGCCCAGGAGGGAGGACACCGCTGCAATTTCACCCTAATAATCATTAGGGGAAGGCGCTAGGGAGTTAGGCGGCGCCTGGGCGCCCGCCTAGGCGGCCTAGGCGGCTCTAGGCGGTTCTAGGCGGGTCTGGGTGGCGCTTTGTTGTTGAGGCGTGGACGAAGGGCGGTTGAAGCGCGCATGATCCGCTTCTTGTTAGGAACAAAGACGGAGAGAGGGAGAGAGAGAGAGAGAGGAAGGAGAAGGCAACGCTGAGAAGAAAAAGATATTTGACCTACTTTTTAATATAACTAACGGGTTGGGTTTTGTAAAATGGCCTTAAACATTGTATTAAAATGGGCCTTTTTTTTTTGGCCCGGCGGCTATACTATTAATTTCTAAAACAATTTAAAAAAACACCGAGTACAGCCGTGCGGCTATACTATCGCAATATATTATATTTAAAAAGTATAGCTGCTCGGAAGTTCTAGCAAAAGTCAGTTCAGCTACCTTAACAGAAGAAACTATCCTCTGAAGGAGCATGGTGAAGTCGATTTCATCAATTTACAACTGATTGTTTACCGCAAAATAATAGTGTAAGACACTCTTTATGAATCCCTAGTCCGAAGTCAGACGCACAACAGTCAAACAAGCTCCCAAATTCCATTTCCAGAATTGATCAGGCGCAAAGTTGACATGTTTACTCCTCTTTCTTCCCAAGGAATACATTGGGGAGAACTGCGTTAGACTCCAATGATGCCTTGAGTAATTTCAGACCCTTAAAAATTAATGAAAAGAAAATTATCATTTTGAACAAAATAACAATTCCTCCAACCAAAACAAAAACAAAAGAATATAATAGCAGCTCAACTGTGGAAAATTAGCTTTGATTAAAAGCCTACATGATAATGTAGGATGGTTGTATCGTCTGTTGATAGAGTGTGTAGAGTAGAAATCAAAGCATAAAAAGTGTATCTATCCTATCCTTCCCAACTTGAATCAATTAAGAAAAGAATAAAGTGTATATATATACATGGAGAAGTAAACAAGATTATTAACGACCTATTTATTTGTAGGCCGCCCACTACTTTGAGAAACTGAAACGTTTTTTAATTGTCATTTGGATGGACCTTATCCAAATTATACGTTTTTTAATTGTCGTTTTGGGTGAAATCCTCTTCTTTTTTGGGATAGATTATTCAATTATCTTTATGAGATAACATAGCATGACATTTCATATTTTTATTCATGGGCTCACGAGATGTTGCAAGATATTTATTTGTACCATATTTGACCCTCCACTCACATTAATACACGTGGAAAGAGTACGAGGCTATGGAAAACCCTGTGGCCCATTGGTAGATCAATTAGGTATGGATCGGCGTCTGCAAAAACATGAGAGCATAGACTATTAAAGGTGAGACTGATAACATGAGTTCTACGACCATGTTTTTTGGTAAATACTATGAGGTGTCCCCACACTTGAAGGGTAGGATTAATCCCCGCTCGGAGTTTGGCTTGCTCTTGACCAAAGTGCTTCCAACGGATTTCGAACCCCTGTCATTGAGGCACTAGGTAGTTCGCCAGCTGAATGTGGCAGTTTAGGGTCATGTTCACAGACAAGACAACCCCAAAATTCTAAGATTCGCAATTAAAACGCAAACAAGACAGGGAAAAAAAAACGAAGATTCATTCTGCATATGTCCAAAAAAAGAGAACAATTTCCATCTCCATTTGTCAGGCATAAAAGAAATACAAGACTTTAAATGGGGTGGCTTTCAGGCATAAGAGTACCGTGCCCACCAAGGATCATTTCCAAATAATAATATTTCAGAAAATGCTCAAAAGTTAAAGCCAAACAGAATCCCATTCCATTCCACATTCCTGGATATGGTACCAAATTACCAATCATACCTCTACATAGCACCTTTTTTAAAATTTCTTTTAAAAAAACAGTACAGCCGACCGGCTATACTATGTTATTCCTAAATTTTTTTACCGGCTATACTCGTTTTCCATAATTTGTTTTCAAAATAGTATAGCCGTTCGGCTTTACTGTTTTAACACGTGGCACCTAGCTCCAAGCGGGTCCCTTGTTAGTATATATAAATAGTATAGCCGCCCGGCTATACTCGGTTTTATTAATGTTTCTAAAAATAATATAGCCGCACGGCTAAACATATTTTGACACTTATCAGCTAATCGCTGGGCGGCGCTTTTTTTTTTAGAATAAATAGTATAGCCGAACGGCTATACCCAATTTTTCCTAATTTTTTTGAAAATAGTATAGCCGTTCTTGTTTTAATTTTTTTAATAATTATTATAGCCGTTCGGCTATACCCTTTATTTATATAGTAGCATCCTTTTTTTCTTTTAAACTTTTTTCCCCGATTTTCATTTATTGATAAGAGTAGTTTAGAGCATTATCCATTACCATTAGGTCATTACCCAAATCTTTTTTGTCTACTTTTGGTTTTTTACTTTTCCAGAGTTGTTACCCTTATAAATAATTTAGTACTTTCACGTTTAATAATGTATTATACACATATGTATGTATTTTTCAATAAGACATTTGTATTCTGCACAAACCTTAAAGACTCGGTAAAGTTCACGTTTTTTAAGAAGTAAATATATAATACTCGTATTATACAAGTATGTACATATTTTTCATGTTTAATATTAATACACACAAAATTCACATATTATACACATAATTCTCATTTATTATTGAGTAAAAATAATCTATATTAAAAAATGTAAATAATTTATATTAAAAAATAATATAATGACCGAACATTTAAGTTGTAATTTGCAAAAATTATACCGAATAAAACACGTATGTATTTTATTCATATTTTTTCTGGTTTCGTATTTTACTAACTAGGAATGAATCTACAATTTCAAATGAATTTGACTTTAAAATAATAGTAATAATAAATAAATAGGGTTAACTACAGTAAACCCTCCAACCTATAGGGTCATTTACGAGTCTATACCCGATTTTAGGGACATTTATGGTACATACTCAACGTCGTGAAAACTTACAGATCGCCCCCTCCGTTAGCGAATCCGTTAGGAAATCTGTTATCTGCCTACGTGGAGTTCCACCTGGACAACAAAATAATAAAAATATTTATTTTTTGAATTATTTTAAGAAATTAAACATATTATATTAAAAAAAATTAAAAAAAAAAAAAAAATCCCAGGTTCTCTCTCTCTCTCTCTCTCTCTCTCTCTCTCTCCTAGCCCCCAGCCACACAAACCACCACCCAAACGCATTCATCCTCCTCGGAGGTTATCAACGCATTCACCCTACCGAGATTCACTCTCTCTCCCGATTTCTTCCCCATTCCTCCCAATTTCTTCCCCCATCCCAGATTTCTTCAACCCCATATCTCTCTCGATCTCTCCTCCCCTCCTAGCCCCTAGCCACCCAAACCACCACCCAAGCTTACTCAGGCCACACATCCCATCCTTAACACCTCTCTTGTTCCAGCCCAACCCATCACCTCCCCTATGCCACAGATCTGATCGTTTTCCCCAAACCATAGCTGAGTTCAACTTCAAATTTCACATCCCATCGTAACCCACAGAAATTAAGACAACATCATTGGAGTTAGCGAAATTCAAAAAATCCAAGAAACCCACCTCTCCCTCGCATCCACTATCTTCCCCACAGAAAGAAGCGAGATTTGAACTCTCACAAATAGCACAGTTACGTTATTTTTCAGAAAAAATAAAACCCAATCTCAAAGGATGTTTTGAAATCAGTCTTAAACAGCAAGCGAAGCAGATTTGAAGAATCCATATATATAATTTGCTTAAAGACGATAGAGATTATAAAGGATGAAACATTAGAAACAAAACCACATCTAAACATCTAAAAAGTCAATGCCTATGAAATAGAAAATGCTTGGCTGAGAAAAATATCAAAATTCGAATTCGTTCAGTATAATTCAAGGAATGGACTTCCCCAGGCTCAAATCACGACATGGCCTGCCTCACTCAACTCGCGAGGCTCCGACATAGCCAACCTAAACCCCACAGCATTATCCGGCACCGGTGGAGTCGTCGTCGTCACTCATAGGCCCTTGCGATTTTGCCGCTGCCCCTCTCAAATCTACCGTCCCTAGTCGGCAGCATGCGATACCGTCCACTCGTCATCTCTTCCTCCCCAGCAACTTAGGTTGGTTGCATAACTGGGTTGCTATGGCTCGGAGGTTGGGCTGGAAGGGAAGGGATGAAATAAGGCTATTTGCGTCTTTTTACCTTTTTCATTGATTTGATTTGATTTTTTTTTTTTTTTTTTTTTTTTTTTTTTTTTTTTAATTTTTAATTATTAAATTTTTTATTATTTTTTTGTTTTTACTTGTGGAACTCTACGTCAATTAAAAAATGAACCCCATAAATGCCACGTAGGCAGATAACGGATTTCCTGACGGATTCGCTAACGGAGGGGGCGATCTGTAAGTTTTCGCGACGTTGAGTATGTACCCATAAATGTCCTCAAAATCGGGTATGGACTTGTAAATGACCCTATAGGTTGGGGGTTTACTGTAGTTTACCCAAATAAATAAAAAGAAGACAGAACGCCGTTCTCTCATTTGTTGTGGTGTATGGAAACCTTCGTTTTCGTGACGTCTCATCACTTTGTCACTCACAGGGCGCGAAGCAGCCATTAACACACTGCCTTGCGAGCTCCAAAGGCCTGGCCTGTAAATGATTCTCCCTTCGTCTACTCTGCTTCGCACCCTCCTCCACCTTCCCTCCTCCTCCGCCACTCAAATGGGGCGTTACATTCCTCGCGCCACTCTCCTGTCCATCACCCCCATTCCCATTCGGCATACCGCCGCGTCATTTCCCGCTCTCCCGCATTCAATCTCCCCTCCCAAAACGCAGCGTTTCTACGCCTCCAAGTCTTCACTTTTCGGTTGGAAATTTCACTCTTTGTGCGGAGACGAATGGAGAGGAGCTGCGAGGCCACCGTTGTTAAGTGGGCCAATCTACAGTTCGCAGAGAGAGTACCGAAAGATGAGGCGGAGAACCACAAAAACCAAGGAGAAGGAGAAGGAGATAGAGCTCGATGTCAGCATTTGCATTGAGGAAGATTTGCCTGACGATCCTGAAGTCCTGGTAAGCTCAGTACGACCACCACGTGTTTGTGTAAATGTTTCTCGGTATACAAGCATAGCATATTAGCTGAAGTAAAGTGGAGTTTGAAATTTGCAGAGTATTGCGGAATTGCTTCGTCTCAACGTTCCATTGGCGATGAAGCTAGCGTTTGATGGTTTGAATGGTTCAGTGTACAAAACAAGGGACAATGCCATAAGCGACGTTGGTGGTTTTGAAAGCGTCGAGCTTTCAGTGCTTCTCTGCAACGATGAGTTTATCCGAAAACTTAACAAGGAATGGAGAAACGAGGACCATGCAACCGATGTTCTTTCGTTGTCGCAACATGTCCCTGATCTTAAGCTTCCCATTGTACTAGCTCGTTTGCTTTGTTCTCTTTGTTAAATCTTATCTGTTTTCTTATTACGTAACTTTAGTCACCGAGCATTTGTATCATTTGCAGCTTATGTTGGGTGACATTGTGATTTCTGTTGAGACAGCGGCAAGGCAAGCAGAGGAAAGAGGTCACTCACTTATAGACGAGATACGCATTCTCATGGTTGGTTGATTTAAGTATATGTATATATGTTTTGAAGTTTATACTTTGGGGTGACACTTTTTGGTGTAATTTGATAAATTTAATCACTGAATCCTCCTGTAGGTACATGGATTGTTACATTTATTAGGATTTGATCATGAGATTAGTGAAGAGGCCGAAGTGGAAATGGAGAAGGAGGAGGAGCTTCTATTAAAGAGTCTTGGGTGGAAGGGGAAAGGATTAATTCAGAGTGCACATGATGCTGAAACCCATGTTAATTCTCATGAGGAAAAACCAGATGGTAGTTTTATCTTTTTTCGGCTTCAGTTTCACATCCTTTTGTCATTGGACCTTATTCATTCTGTAGCTATGATTTTCTTATATAAATTTGTAGTGAGATAATCTTACAGGTGGATTGTTAAAAGACAGGAAGAGAGAAGGCAGCCTGCGATTTTATAAACCAAAGTTCAAATATATTTTCTGCGATATGGATGGTAAGTTCAAGGTTATTGTGCTCTTACACGTTCACTCTGCTGTTTATTAAGCTTATGATAAACTTTTTATATTTATTCTCTTGATATACAAGGCACACTTCTCAACAGCAAAAGTCAAATTAGTTCAACAACTGTGAAAGCTCTCAAAGAGGTCTCATCAAGGGGTGTGAAAGTAGTGATAGCTACCGGAAAAGTAATAACATCTTCTTTTTATTCATAATCAGGAGGATATTATACTCTAAATCTGTTTTCATTTATGTTCGCCAATATGAATTTTACTTATTTTGATTGGTCTATTTTGGTAAATTTGTTAATCTAATGTTTTATTGTTGGTTGAAAAATCTTCTAATTGTTCATAATTCTTTGGAACAGTCTCGTTCAGCCGTGATAAACATTTTTAAGGAGGTAGATTTAGCTGGAAAAGATGGCATTGTTTCAGAATTTTCTCCTGGGGTTTTCTTGCAGGTTTATCTTTTCTCCTTGCAAATTTCGTCCTCACCATGTTGCAAGTTGAATCTGATGAACAAAGCATTGTATTCACTTGTCAGATACATGCTCAGTCTTCTGTTGAATGTGATTGCATAATTTTCTCACTTGTATTTACCCAAATTGTACACAACAATCTGCATTTGGTTTAGACCTAGATGTTTTTCTTCCTTTTGTAAGCTTGATGAGGACACTATATTGAACTGTGCTAACCATTCCTGATCGGTCTTAAAAAATTTTCATGTTCTTTGTCTGTCACCAAACTTGTAAGGTAAATTCGTACTAAATTTTACTGACTTAATGGGTCATATTTATACCAAACAAACAGAATGCCTTACTGATTGTTGGGTATACTTCTCTTTCTTAGAAATATTTTTGCGTGAGTTGACATTAGTACTTTCTGTTCTTATTGTCTGCCTCTACTTGATTCTAGGGATTGCTTGTTTATGGTAAACAAGGTCGGGAAATCTTTAGAAAGAATTTAGATCCAAGTGTCTGCAGAGAGGTAATACATTGGTGGGGATTGCTAGACTTTCATTGTTCCATTGGAAATGCATTGAAACAAAAGACATATGCTCTTTTTGTGCAGGCATGTCTTTACTCATTGGAGAATAAGGTTCCTCTTATTGCGTTCGGCAAGGATCGTTGCTTATCTCTATTTGATCATCCATTTGTTGACTCACTGCATACAGTATATAATGAGCCAAAGGTGCCAAAAGATTACTGTTTCATCATGATAATAAATTTCTTTATTGCATGAGCTCCCCCCTCCCCTTTTCCCTTTTTATATAAGGTTTACATGAAAGATATTTACAGGCGGAAATCATGCCTTCAGTTGAGCATCTCTTGGCTGATGCTGACATACAGGTCTCCCTCCCTCCCTCTCTCTCTCTCTCTCTCTCTCTGACTTTTGAGTTCAATTGCCATTATGGCTGACTATTTACGTCCGGTTTGATTAACTCTAGGGATGTTTATTTTCAAGTTACATTCAAAACCATTCCAGGTTTATGCATTATGAAAATGTGCAAGCCACTCGCACTGAGCTTTGCTCTTAATTTCTCTTTATTCATAACACTTAAATCTTGTGGAAAATTGAAGTTCTGTCAGTCTCTAATCAACTGTAACACTATCATGAAACTAGTATATTGTTGCTCTTCTGGATATACAGAAAGTACTCTTCTTAGACACCGCTGAGGTAGTGGCTACTACTTTAAGGCCATACTGGTCACAAGCAACTGGAGATCGTGCGAAAGTTGTTCAAGCTGTACCAGGTCAACTTGAAATTGTTCCCGCGGGAACCTCAAAAGGGAGTGGAGTAAACATGCTACTTGATCATTTGGGAATCACTCCAAAGGAGGTATGTGCCAACAGAGTTATTTTCCTATCTTGTTGTTTTAGCCTCTAATGGGAGTTAGTCGTATACCTTTACTTGATCGCATTAGGGTTATTACCACCAGTTGGGAATATAGGCATCCCTAGTCAAGGTTACAAATGTATATGATCACCTCCAGAGATTATCACCGTCTTATCGAGTTTTACATATTTCCTTCTTAGTTATGTATCAGTTCTGATTTTATTCCTGATTGATCCTAACAATTTATTCTTTAGATCATGGCTATTGGCGATGGAGAGAATGATATAGAGATGCTTGAGCTGGCTTCTTTAGGCGTTGCTCTTAGTAACGGATCAGAGAAATCAAAAGCTGTGGCTAATGTAATTGGTGCAAGCAATGACGAAGATGGCGCAGCCGATGCCATCTACCGGTATGCATTTTGACCTACAGTTCAGACAAGGAAGAATTTAGCACAGCCCATAGCTTAATAATTGGATTGAGGCATGCAACCAGCCAGATGCTTCACGATGATTTTGTCTCCGTCATAAAGAACTGCTACTGAGACTAGTTCAAGAGATTATAAAATAAAAAAAATTGTCAATTTTTTACACTTACAAAGAGATTTTTACCATGTGTACATTGAATCGCCCTCTATCCTTAACACTTGCGAACGACATCATAGGAGATGGAAAAGACAAGTTCGACAATTTATCATGAATGCAAATTTAAATCTGTTCATACAGTCATCAATGCTTTTAACAGAAAGTCACATAGCTCGATTTAAACTTGTTTGAGTTCTGATATTTGCCGACTCAACTGGATTTTTAGGGGCCGTTTGGCTCCAATCCTACCAAAAGATAAAAGAACTGGGATTCTTTTTACGAGTATCTCATTTTCCCTGCCTTGCCTTTCTGATTTTTTTCGCAAGAGCTACATGGGATACGTATAGCTTAAATGAAATGAATAAAATACCAATCACAGTAGCAAACTGATAAAAAATAAATAAATAAAAATATATAAAAAAAAACTTGTAATTCTATGCAATCCAAAATACGTCACTTAACCCCAGCCTTATTAATGAAAAATCTCCTCCCTTGGCCAAAGAACAGAAACGGGGATAACGAAAGGGGAATACAATATAAACACACGAAACAGATTCATGAAATAAACAGCACAAGCTGCCCCAGCCATGTACCATAACTTAAAAAAAATTCTTGCATACAAACGAGGATGTAGCTGACGAGAACTAATCATACGATAAGCACATGATGGGTTTATTGTGGGAGTGTTCGATGCACCCATCAAATGCACTAATTTTTCAATGGCAATGCATTGAATGGTACTCATATCGCTTCAAGTTAGAGTTGCACGATATCACTGCTTCTGGCGTCTCAAGGAATCTTCCAACTGGGCATTTTTTCTGGCGCATGCTAAGATAGTTTTATCGGCAGTGATGAAGTACGAAGCAATTGATGCTGTTCATTAAGTAATAATACAAGTCAGATTTTCAGACCAAAAAAAAAATACAAGTCAGATTTCCCATGAAGACAAATTTTTCGTGGATATAGGGGCATTGAAAACTAAAGCTTTATGTGGGAGGATTAATAATTAAAGCTCTATATCCAGTAGAATTGCCCCACATCTCTGCACAAGGATAGCAATAAATTAATTTCAAATCATACCACCACATATGATGAGTGCTTGAGCAGTATAATTGAGGTTATGCTTTGCCCAAGGAATCATACGAACAGCAGCCAACTGGGAATATGAAGAACAAGTCAATAGTAGTCATCAAAAAGTAAACCAAGATGGCAAGATCTGCCTTGAATCCAGAAAGGCAAATATAGAGTTGCAACGAGAAAAATGAACATCCTAGTGCATGAGGCTCTCAATGCAAAATCTGGGGAGGACACGACATGACATCAACAGACATAGACATACCCCTTATTCCCAGAGGCTATTTCTGTGACTCAAGACTGCAACCACCCAAGTTTGGAGCAAGTCCGCCAAGGCGCAGCCTCCAAATATAATACAAAATGTTTGAACTTCATAGTCACAAATGACATAAAGACTTCAAAGAGAAGACAGAAGGACCGTTTTTCTTTTTCTCAGACAACCATGCAATTTGTTTGCACTCCATTTTTCAATTCAGATTAGACCCATCATATCAACATTATAATTCATAGATGTTCAATGGATCGTCTTTCACACGACTAAGAAGGCAATACCAACAAGCTAAAGAGCATAACCCACAAGGACACGAAGAAGATCAAACGTGCAGTAGCAGATGGTAGGAAATGAAAACTAGGATTCAGTCTTGTTGCTCATGCATAGTTATGCAAGCTGCCAATTTGTACCGAACAAATAAACTTATGGAAAATTTAGCAACATGACACATACTGTAGGCACGGTGGTGAGAGCACAAGCAATGGCAGCGGCCTTGAATCCCTCTTTTGCACCCTCTGCAAATTACGGAAATGTCAAGTGATATTTGACACTGTCTAACTGAAGAAAAACTTAGCTATCACAGGTTCATGAAACCTTTCTCTCTTTCTGACATGATGAACCGTGGTGACAGCTAAGTTTTTCCTGTCTACAAGTCAAATGCATTACTAAATTGTAAATCAATAAGAAAATACAAAGTTTCCACCATTGGGTTGCTGCCGAATTGATCGAACATAAACAGTCAACTCAATCAAACATGACCCAAGAAAATTTACCGCTCTTTTTTTATTTATTAAATTACAATTCAATTCAGGTCAGTATAAACAAAAAGTTAAAACAACAGATCCAATTTCTTTATTTCCTTTTCCTCGTTCTCGTTCTCGCCGATTCTCAGAACAGAACCGGACAGGAATTTTAAATTTTCCAAACATTACAAGTTAATTAACTAACTAATAACCTAGCAATCTAAACCAAACCAACCAGATGGTCGATCAATCAGACAAACTCAATTGAGTAGAGGATGAAAACAGAGCTTGCCCAAATTATAATCAGTGATTAACGAAAACAAACCTTGGGTGCACTTTGCGGATCTTAACTTCTTCTGTTCTTCAGCTGGCGAAGGAATGAGCAACCCTTTTCCGCGGTTCACCCACATGTCCCTCATTTCCGTTGGAATCCCCATTCTCTTTCTGCTAATCTCACTCGCTCCAAACACACACACAATTTTCTTCTCTAATCCAGATTCAGAACACAGACAGAGAGAGAGAGATAGAAAGACAGCGGCTTATCGGTGTTTATAGTTTCAGATTTCGAGTAATTTTGAGTGAAGTGAACCTGTGATTCTACCTCTGGAAAAAAAAATACATATATATATATATATAAATTAAAATGTAAATTTTTTTTTAAAAAAAAACCTGTGATTCTGCCACGTTTTTCTCATGTTCTTCTTTTTTTCAATAAAAATATAAATTTTTCGTACATTAACTTTTTTTTTGGGTCAATTTTTATACATTAACGTTTCTGTCGCTTTGTCCAGATTTGCCTCTCGGCTGCTTGAACAGTTCAAAGTAGCGGAAAAGAAAAAACTTATGTCCTCCCTTCACTTAAAGCATCTCCACCCACAAGGACTAAGTTTAGGGTAAGGGCAAGCAAATGCTGCCACTATTCACGTGAATTGTGTCAGCCACTATTCACGTGATTTGTGTCAGCCTTGCCATTTGTGGTTCCACCCATGAGGGCTAAGTCTAGGGCAAATCTAAGGCAAATACTATTTATTGTACTTTATTTCCTATTTTTTATACTTTAAACCATTAATTTTGATAAGCTTTTTAGATTATATTTTCAGTTGTCACGTGTCATTATTTATTATAAAATTTTCACTTAAAATTTAAGATAACATTTTTCTGATAAAATTTTCGGTTACCACGTGTCCATATTTATTATAAAATTCACATCTCACTCATCATACAATTGAAATACTTACTCACTCATCATACAATTGAAATATTCTTGGTCCTCATTGTCTAACACAATGGAATACAAGGACAACTCCATCATTGGCGGAGGCGGTTCTACTGGATCACCACGTGGGGGAGTATTTTCCTTCGGAGAATGTAATAGTGCCATTATTTCTGACACGGAACGCACCACTAGAACTGACTACCGGCATTGTTCACTTGAGGAGCCATGTGTAATGGTTTTCCTCTTTTTTGTTTTGCCTTGACTAATCTATTAAAAAAAAGAAATTGGAAATGCAAGAAATATATATATATAAAGACATTAAATTGAATAAAACAGAAATTAATTTTTTTTTATAACTCGTTGCCAAGATTTTGACCTCTTCAAACATTTGTCCAGGACCCTCTGGCTTCGATGGAAGATGACATTTGTATTTTTGCACAAATGAAATTTTGTAGTAAAAAATTTGGTGTGGAAAGTGAAAAATATTGGAAGGAAATGAGTTTGTATGAAGATTTGGTGTGGAAAGTGAATAAAATTGTTAGGTATTTATAGGGAAAAAATCCATAATTTTTTTGTTTTTTAAAAAAAAAAATTTTTGAATTTTTTTTTGCAATTTTTTAAGCCAAAAAAAATCAAGGCTGTCAGATTTCTAGAAAAAATTGCATCGGAGCGTCCAGGAAGAGCCATGCGGTATATTCCCGTTGGGGCCTATTAGCAGTGACGTCACGCTGACGTCAGTGAGCGAAAATCAAATTTATTTTAATGTTGGTGTGTGAAAATTTTGAATTACCGTGCTTTGACGTCAGTGCTGACGTCACAGCCCTTGGGCCTGCCCGGGCTGGTGGAACCCAGCTCTTGCCCATACTTCTTCTCTCGCGCTGGAGGGCGCTTGGGCTCGCCAGGGGGGCCTTTCCCCCGGTTTGGGTTTGGCGCTAGAGATGCTCTTAAATGTCTCATTTCTTCTAGTATAATGGTTCGAAGTAATTGCTCTTTAAGATTTTAAGTACAAATCTTAACATTTGTGTAATATGTGTGAGTTATCGACCCTTTCAATAATAAAAGTCCTATATAAAAAAAAGGACTCATTCCTTCCGAGTTGGACTCTCAATATTGTAAGGCACTTCTGTTTTCTTTCCCCCAAAATTCTATAGTAAGGATGTTATATATGGTCATTAGATGAGATCCTATCTCTTAACCGTTGAATCAAATTGGTTAGCTGTTAGATTAAATTGATCAATCTTATTCAAAGATTAAGAGATAGTACCTTAAACTCTTTCTTTCCCATTCCTTATGGGCCTTGATAAATAAATATATCATAAAAATACGAGACTTGGGCTTGAGGCCCAGGGGCTCCCCTGCGCTGGTTTAGTTCTGTGACATTTGAACTCGTCTCTCCGAGGTCGTCTTCTCTGTAAAACATTGCGTAGAGTAACCGAGTCAGCGACTCAGCCGAACCCATCCTGGCTCTTCTTTACCAGCACAACCACCCCAAGCTCACTCACCTCCTACTAAGATGCGCCGCCCAGCTTACCATGCGCCACCTCTACCAAATCCAAGCCCAAGCGACCATCAACCCATTACCCTCCATCGACCCAAACATCATCGCCGTCAAGCTCATCGGCGTCTGCGCCGACCACGCCAACATCCGCCACGTGGCGCTCGTATTCAACCACTTCATCACAGCCCCAAACATCTTCGTCTACAATGCCCTCCTCAAAGCCTTTGCTCAAAACAATGACTGGCAGCACACCATATATTACTTCAATCGGCAACTGGGTTCGCCAAATGCTCCGGCCCCAGATGAGTACACGTTCACTTCTGTGCTCAAGGCCTGCGCTGGCCTTGCCCAAGTGACGGAGGGAGAGAAAGTTCACTGCTTTGTTGCTAAATACGGGTGTGAGGGTAATTTATTTGTCAGAAATTCGCTTACTGATATGTATTTCAAGGTGGGTAATTTCGGGATTGCCCGTAAGCTGTTTGATGAAATGGGTGTGAGAGATGTTGTTTCATGGAACACTTTGGTTTCGGGGTATTGCTTGAGCGGGCAGGTTGATAAGGCCAGGTGGGTGTTTGATGGGATGGCAGAGAAGACTTTGTTTTCTTGGTCGACTATGATCACTGCGTATGCGAAGTTCGGTGAGTTGGGGGAAGCTCGCCGTCTTTTTGATGAGATGCCGGAGAGGAATGTGGTTTCATGGAATGCGATGATTGCCGGGTATGCGCAGAATGAGAAGTATGCTGAGGCCATTGGTTTGTTTAGGCAAATGCAACAGTATGGATTGGCGCCAAATGATGTCACGCTTGTTAGTGTGTTGTCTGCTTGCGCTCATCTTGGTGCACTTGACTTGGGGAAGTGGATTGATAAGTTTATAAGACAGCGTGGGATGGAGTTGGGTTTGTTTTTGGGGAATGCATTGGCAGATATGTATGCCAAGTGTGGCTCCATAGCTGAGGCTAAGCTGGTTTTTGGAAAGATGCATCAGAGGGATGTGATATCTTGGAGCATTATTATTACTGGGTTGGCCATGAATGGCCATGCCGATGAAGCTTTCGGGTGTTTCAACAAAATGATTGAGCATGAGGTGAAGCCAAATGACATTACTTTCATGGGCTTATTGACAGCGTGCACTCATGTTGGCTTGGTCGACAAGGGGCTTGAGTATTTCGATATGATGGACAAAATATATGGGATCTTCCCCAAGGTTGAGCATTATGGTTGTGTGGTTGATCTTCTCAGCCGCGCTGGCCGCCTTGTTGAAGCAGAAGATTTGATCAACTCCATGCCTGTGAAGCCCAATGTTATAGTCTGGGGTGCATTGCTTGGTGGTTGTCGGATTTATAAAGACACCGAGAGAGGCGAACGCGTTGTGCAGCACATTCTCGAGCTAGATTCCGATCATTCTGGAAGCTATGTCTATCTTGCCAATGTATATACTTCAATGGGTAGGCTGGATGATGCAGCAAACTGTAGGCTGAGGATGCGAGACAAAGGCGTAACGAAAACACCAGGCTGTAGTTGGATAGAGGTGGATAACATAGTCCATGAGTTCTTCATGGGAGGCCTGTCCCATCCTCAGCTGGACAAGATATACTGGATGATTAGAGAACTAAGGAGGAAAATGAAGCTAGCTGGGTACAAACCGAAGACCGATCTGGTCCTCCATACTATTGATGAAGAAGAGAAAGAGGATGCTCTGTCGGTTCATAGTGAGAAGCTGGCCATTGCATTTGGTCTTATCAGTACTAGTCCAGGAACCACCATCCGAATTGTGAAGAATTTGAGGGTTTGTAATGACTGCCATGATGCAACGAAAATAATCTCCAAAATCGTTGAGCGAGAGATTATCGTGCGAGACCGCAGTCGCTTCCATCATTTCAACAATGGGAAGTGTTCTTGCAATGACTACTGGTAACAAGTACTAAGTAGGAACTATTGTAGCAAGTACAAATTTTGTAGAGTAGGGGATGCAGCAACAGATGTTTGTTCCATCTATTTGGATGACCAAGGGTGAGATTTTGTTCTTATTTAATTTATACCATTTCGAATCTTGCGAGGAGAGATAAGAGAGCAGGGACACTAAAGGCAGGATAGCGAAGTACTTTCATGTTTATGGTTTCTCCAATCATGAAGCCAATGACGAGTCTATGAAGTACATTTGCCTAAAAACTTCTTAATTTGGATCATTGTGAAGATACCAAACTTATTGCTGACATACACAAATTAGCGGGCCAAATTGTTTGGCACTTCTCCAAATTCCACTCGTTATTTCAGTTAAATTGCGGAAATCCACAAGCTTTCTCAATGAAAGGGAAGGTAAGCAAAAATGTTTCATGTCTTTCACCCAACTCGTTTTCTGATAGAACAAAACTACTTGGTACATAACCCGTTTCATTCATGGCATTCCAGAGATGACAACTCCAATTACATACGCTTTCCCAGGCAAAAGGAAGAAAATAACTTAAGCAAAAATAATTGTAAAATTAAACCACTATCATTCACAAAGACAATCCATATCCAGAGGTCCCAGAATGCAAAGATAAATGGTTCATACATATACCCATCACATCCCGGGCAGAAAGCAACAACTTTGTTTTCAAACCAAGTTCACCATAACTTCAAATAAAATAGTCACTCTACACAAAAAGAGAGAAGAAAAAAAAATGTTAATTCCAGTTGGCCCATAAAAGTAAACTGCAAATTAGAGAGTGAAATCGGGGAAATAATAAACTTACCGGAGCAATTACAGACCCTGCTCGATAAGGTAATCGCCAAGCCTTTCGACAATCATGTTGCACTGCCCTGGAGTCAAAGGCTCATCATATATACCAATGATGAGGGCCTGATTGGTCTTCTTAACAGTAATGCCACCAGAGCCCTAATGTAATTTACACATTAAGTCAACAGAAATACATAGAGTTATATAAAACAATCAAACATCAGAAGCAGCAGCATTATATCCTTTCCCATTTCCCACCATATTTGACACAACGGCATGTAATATCTAAAATGATCATGACCAAGCAAAACGACAGCCATTAACAAAGCACTTCTGTAAGATACATCATTTCTGAATTAAGCCAAATGCATTACATGTATAAGATGCCAAAGCTCACCTTCTTTCCTCGAATGACAGCACCGGCTTCACCTTGGATCACCATATACTTTGTCCCACCAAGGAATAACCCAGTTGGGGCAAGCGTTCCGGGTTGGTCGAAATCTTTCAGAATGGCAGCTATCTCTTCAGGCTTAAACTATATCACCAACCAAACAACAATAAATTCAGCGCAAAAAAATAAAATGCACAACATATACAAGAACAAACGCATCCACAATTAAACCAATCAATTTGTTCCAAAAAATTTAATTTACATTCTAATCGCAACATAATACAGTAAAAAATCAAGTATCTGATTCAAATCAACAACCGATTGCTCCAATACTCAGATCAATAACCACAAAAACACTTCTATTAAGTTCATCTATTTTTTTTCCCAATAAAAAACATATGCATGGCGTTGATCAGATCACACACACAGATTGACCAAACAGTCACTGAACAAAGCTACTTTCAGAAATCGATCAGATCCAGAGGACGAAATAAATCTAGAACCCAAACCAAAACATAGACACGAAGAAAAAAGAGCGAACCGCAGGAAAGGTGGCACTCTGAGACCAAACGCTGCCGTCTTGGCCGAGGATTGCCGCGGCAGTGAGGCGGTTGCCATCAATATCGCACATCAAGTGGTCATCGACGTACTGCTGCCACGACATCGTTTCGTTGCTTCTGATTTCTTCTTCTTCTTGCTTGTTTTGGCTGATCTTCTGCTCTGGCGGTGAGTGCTTTTTGGGGAGAGAGGGGAAGGTTCTAGAGCTGAAACGAAAATGGAAGGTGCGAAGATGGATGGAGAGATAATTGCTTGAAATAATATCTCGGTGCCTGCCTCTTACTTTTCTAAGAATTGTCGCAGTAGGATACACGTGGCGTGCGGTGAGTTGTCTGTTTTTATATATTTAATGTTTTCTTTCCTTACCAAATCTGTCAATGGGTCCACGCCTTTTCTTAAGGAAGAAGAGCTACGCGTCTTTAGATCTATCATCTATTGGTCCACTTGGGTCAGTGGGCTAAACTAATTTAAACTTTGAAGTAATGAATTTGGGCCTTCAGATCAAATAAGTTCTTTAGAGAAAGCCCACAACATTTGCATAGAATCCACACAAAACTAAACAAAAAAACATAATTATTTTCTAAACACTTGAGTTGAGCGAGTTGGGTTGAAATCTTGTATCTCAAGTTTTAATTCGAATTTATAAAAAAATTCAGAATTGAAGACAAAGAGGAAAAAAGAACCCATATCCTTTGGCTCATTGCCACTACCATCACCACTACTCCTATCTATATCGTTACCACCATCACCGTCACTCAATCACTACTCACCTTGCTATTGCCATCCCTACTTGTCTACTGACATTGCCTCCGCCTCTACTGCCATCACTATCATCACGCAACGCTCTCACCTCCATTTAACCATACCACCATTAGCACCCCATCCATCGTCATTATTGCAACCACTATATCTATCGCCAACGTATTTCGTTGTAGTTAATAAGTTAGTCAAACTATAAATTTTAAACATTCTAGTGGTTTGCCCAATCATTTAAAAATTCGTTACCTTAAAACTTTTTGGTCTCAACGAAGTAATTCCACGAAGAAATTAATTTTTGTTGTCGACACACACTTTCCCTAGTGACAAATTGACATAATGTTCTAGGAATCTTATAGTTTTGTACTAATGTCGATGAACAAAACAAAACCCATGCGAAGGCCCATAATTTTATGGAGTAATTAAAAACCAGGGGCCGAAAGCGTTACTAGTAATCAAAACAGGCCACCTGTTTTTCGCGCAAAACCTCGTATGCGCCTCACAAAACCTCCGGCTCAAAAACAAAAGAAAATACAAAAAACACCAGAAACACGTCGCCTTTGACTAGAGGCTGCCTTTAATCTACCGCCGCTAAATCCCGCCACCTGTTTTCACTTACCAGAACTGTATTCTTTCAAACTGTGCCACTGATGTGGACCAGACACAAAAACTCAAAACACCCAACGACGTCGCTTTCCCCATATCACGTGTCCTCAACTTTGTTTACTATTTTACTACGCGTTCCAGGCCCTCGCGGGCCCAATCATTGCGGAGTATAAATACCCCTGCACCTTATCCAATTTACAATCAGCCCCTCCACCCCTGTCCGAGAACCGTACACTCCGATTTCGTTTCTGCTTCAATTACTTTCAATCGCAGATTATTCTTCTGGTTTTGTTATGAGTGATCAGAAATCCGCAAAAGCAATGGGGCCTACTGGAAACTTGCAGATGAAGGTCGTGAAAGGCGATTTTGGTTATGTGCTCGAAGACGTGCCTCATCTCTGCGACTACTTGTCCGATCTTCCTGTAATTTCCTCACTCGCCGTCTTTTGAATCGTTTGATCGATGTTTTTTTTCCTGCATTTTCGCTAATATGATATTTTTTCTGAATTTAATCGATTTTGAGGGGGTGTTTGGTTGTGTTGCAGACTTATCCCAATCCGTTGCAATTCAATCCGGCTTATTCAGTTGTAAAGTACGTACTAATTCTCGAGAAGAATGGTCTCTGCTTTTGCTTTGTTTAATCTCTCAATACATTACAATGACTGTTTATGATCTTACTTTTTTCAGGCAGTATTTTGTTAATGTGGACGATACTGTTGCTCAAAAGGTAACATTCCGATACTTGGCTTTTTTAAAATTCTCTTTTTATTTAAAAGTTTTTTTTTCCCCCAATAGAGGGTAGATCTCATTATTGTTAAATGATGCAATTTTGATGAATTATCTGTAAATTTAGCACCTTTTGTTTTTTGGCACTGGTTGTATATGTGAGCTTACAATGTGGTGGTTCCACTCTTTTTTTTAGATTGTTGTCCACACGGATAGTCCAAGAGGGACGCATTTTCGGCGAGCAGGACCACGCCAAAAGGTATGGAATTTATGCTGTCTGAATGCTGCTGAAGTTATGGTACTAAGAAATGTGCATTGTATGTAGTAGTGACATGCATTCATGTGCGTTGGTTCAGGTGTATTTTGACTCGGATGAAGTTCATGCTTGTATTGTAACATGTGGTGGTTTGTGCCCTGGACTCAACACGGTGATCAGGGAAATTGTGTGTGGACTTTATCACATGTATGGCGTCAACAAAGTTCTTGGGATAGATGTGAGTGGTTATACTGACATATGCTTGGGGTTCAATATGTTTTGTGATGTAGAGAAAGGAAATAGTCTGATATTACTTCTGTGAAATAGATATGAGTGGTTTATGTTGGCATTTCTTGAGGTTCAATATGTCTCGCTAACAAATTCTATATTGACATATATTAGGGAGGATACAAGGGTTTCTATGCCCGAAATACCATTGACTTAACACCCAAGGTTGTCAATGACATCCACAAACGTGGTGGTACTATCCTTGGTACATCACGAGGAGGACATGATACCTCAAAGATTGTTGACAGCATTCAGGATCGTGGAATTAATCAGGTAAGGATTAGTTTTTCTTAACTATTTTTCTGTATGATGTTAGCTATATTTGTAAATTCGAACATAATATCTCACAGCCAAGGCACAGAGACGGGACTCTCACGGCATGCTTTTTGTGAAACAGGTTTACATAATTGGAGGTGATGGAACTCAAAAAGGAGCAGCTGTCATCTATGAGGTAAAATGACTCTACACTAACTGATGAAAGTTTGATGCCTTCACATAAAGGTGGGATTTGTTATATTATATATGTGCATTGCTAGATGTAGACCTTACAGTTTATTATGGAGGCCACCTTAAAGTTATAACTGAGGCCAATGATAAAGGATCGTGGCTACTTTCTAGGTTTTTTGGACCCTACTAAAGAATAACTCCATGCTTAACTGTATCTGACTTGTCTTGATGAATTATATGTTGCAGTCTCATTCTTAAAACAGTTTACTTCTCACTGTGCAGGAAATTAGACGGCGCGGCCTCAAAGTTTCTGTTGCAGGAATTCCTAAAACCATAGACAATGACATTCCGGTTATAGACAGATCCTTTGGCTTTGATACTGCGGTTGAGGAGGCTCAACGTGCCATTAATGCAGCTCATGTTGAAGCTGAAAGTATTGAGAATGGTATTGGTGTTGTGAAGCTAATGGGACGCTACAGCGGTAAAGATTCTCATTTTGTGTCCACATTTTCTGTTTCAATGCCGCAAAAATACCCCTAATGGCTTAAATTTTTTGGAACGTAAATTACAACAGTTAATTTTTGTAATAGTTATGTTTGATATCAGCCTTGTACAACTTTTGACTTAGACTGGATTTCTTGATGCAGGTTTCATAGCTATGTATGCTACACTTGCCAGCCGAGATGTGGACTGCTGTTTGATTCCAGAGTCCCCCTTCTATCTTGAAGGAAGAGGTGGACTTTTTGAGTACATAGAAAAACGACTCAAAGAAAATGGGCATATGGTTATTGTGATAGCTGAGGGTGCGGGACAGGATCTTCTGTCAGAGAGCTTGCAATCCATGAACCAGCAGGATGCTTCAGGAAACAAGCTACTTAAAGATGTTGGCCTATGGATTTCTCAGAGGATAAAGGTATCGCTTGCAACCTTCTCTCTCTGTTTTTTAATTCTTCACATCACACGAAGCTTTTCTTGTTCATGTAAGAATCTACTGTCATAAAAGTTCCCTTTCACTCTTCAGGTCGGTGGAATAAGAATTGGAAATTGTATTATAATTTAAAAGTAGAGGAAATCGAACTCTGTTTCTCAATTTCCATAAAAAATCTCATCAACGCTGGCAACTGAGAAGTTATAGTTGATGCAGATATCTTACTGACGAATCTGTTTAAATTTCTTTTGTTTGGTTAACCATTGTTTGCTTCTGTTTCAGAATCATTTTGGGAGACAACAAAAGATTTCCATCAATCTCAAGTATATAGGTCAGTGGCCCCAGATTTTCCTCCTTTAATGGTTTCTTTTCCTCATTAAAAAATTCACCAAAATAAGAAGCAATAGCATCTAACCGATTAAATTGTTTGCCAGATCCTACATACATGATCCGTGCTATTCCGAGCAATGCAGCTGATAATGTCTACTGCACGCTCCTTGCTCAAAGTGCTGTTCATGGAGCAATGGCGGGGTACACAGGCTTCATATGTGGGCCTGTCAATGGAAGGCATTCTTATATTCCTTTTAATGTATGTATCACATCCCTTACATAGTTATCCTTTATTTTACAAGTTATTTTCTGGCATAAGTTATTTACATAGCTATCCATCAACTGCATCTTCTCTAATTTCATGCTAGATATCTTAAATTTAAATGTTGCAACGACCAGTAATTAATTTGTTTGATATTTTTTTTTATACAGCATATCACTGAGAAGCAAAACAAGGTTGTGATTACCGACAGGATGTGGGCACGACTTCTTTCTTCAACTAACCAGCCGAGCTTCTTGAACCCCAAAGACGTCATTGAAGTCCAAGAAGGGGAAGAGCCTCCAACTCAACTGCTAGAAGGGGAAAATTGTAAAGACAGCAAGTTTGCAACTAAAGATATTCCTAGCATGACATGAAAACACACGAGGCTCCCGCTTCTTTAGCACCTTAAGTTATGATCAGTGGTCAGATGTTATTGATGTACCATCCCCAGATTGTGGATGAGGGAAACTCAAATTTTGACTTCTAGTATCTATAGAGCATGATTGTTTTCTTGAATCGAAAGATTCTTTCTCAATTCAACAAGTTCTACGAAAACGATGTCATATGCCGACTGTTTCTACTTCCACAGATTTGCCTACATGAGAACTGCGTTCTGTTGATATTTCATTCGACTTTTCTTTGCTATGCTTCGATTTCCAAGAGGGTAGGGATTTTAACACTCCCATGTTACTCTATGTTAGTTTATGGCACTCTAAACTGACTATTCTTATTCTTATACGCTCAAATGGAAAGTGGAGTATCAAAAATTAAGAGTTTTTCTGTTTAAACCTTGCATTTCTCTTTGTTCACTCCAACTTCTAATTCAAATTTTCACAATTTCTAAGAAAATTTCACTATCTTCCCAAACTACCCCTAAATACATAACTAGTAGAGGAAGAAAAAAAAACTCATCAACCTCACACCCCACCCCAAATCCTAAGATCTTCAAGTCCATCTTGCAGTTTCATACCAACATTTTGCAAGCATTATTGCATCATTATTCTTTTGCACCCGAATATATATATTTTTTTAGAACAGGTTCTATAATTTTTCAATGTAACGTAGTGTGATAAATATTTTACAAGTGTAGTCGTTCTTCATCAAGAATTTTGTTCTGCTCTGGAAAACGGATCTGGCACATGCAATAAACATTACGTTTATATTATCGAGGGCATTATGTCAATTTAGGAGAGAAATAAAAACGGCAAGCAGAAGTGTTGGGCCGTAGGCATGGAAGAAATCTGTTAATAAAAGAAAGAGAGGGACAGAGAGGTGGGGAAGGAATGCAAAGTCGGGGAATTCGTAATATCCACTCCCTCCCTATCCACCTATATTACTCTCACAATCCTAATTTAGGGTTTGTGAAGAGAAGATGAGAGTGTAGTAGGTTTTTTGGATTGAAATAGGAATAATCTAGCAATTGGGTGCAAAGGAGTTTGTGTTTTTCTAAAACTTAAGGGTAATGATTTCCCCACTCTAATTTTATCCACTTACACTCTTTTTTTTAGTTATAAAATGGAGTGTAAGGGCCAGTTTGGCATTGCTGTGCTGTGAAAATAATTGTTGTCAAATTTGCTGTGAGAGAAATCAGCTGTGAGAAAAAGCAGTTTGGCGTTTGTTAAAATTTTTGTTAAAAGTAATGTTGGTATTTATTTTATGCATAATCAAAAAATGATTGCCGCACAATTATTAAACCCAACGCCTCTTCAAAATTGATTTCTGCATAATCAGATAATGAAAGCACCTCATTAGCTGCTTTCCCTTATAGCTTTCTCTCACAGCAATTTTTAACAATAAGTAATTTTCCCATAGTTTACCAAACGGGTTGGGCTCCTCAAAATTTTAAAAAAATCACTTATCACCCCAAATAAGCAATGTCAAACTGGCACTAGGTGGATAAAATTGGAGTGGAGAAATCACCACTCAAACTTAATATGAAGAGAGCGGTGGGGTGTGTGTATAAATGTACTAGGGTTTAGTATTAAGTTGAATGACCTTTTTTGTCTTTTTACACAATAATAAACTTAAGAGCTTAATAATTTAAGTATTGAGGTGAATAAAGACAAGTGTGGAGTTTAAATAGAAAAACTCAAAATTAAACTGGAGCTGGAGGTGTCAAAATCGCAACCATTTCCATAAATGTGCCCTGGCAGAAAATGGAAGGAAATTTTTCTTACATGTAGGAACTGAGAGGTCATGCATGAATGGGAGTTTGAAAGTTTACCAAATGCAAACATGGGAGAAACTAATACGAGTCACTGCTTAGCACGAAGAAAAAAGAATTTTTATTAACAAACATTTTTTTTATCAATAGATTCATACAAGGAAGTATTACATCACAAAGTTGGCTGAGGCCGGCTAGATATAAATTGTTCAGATGTTCATAGAAAATTAAATTCTACTGCCATTATCTCCTTCATTATATCTGGCTTGGCAAATTATATCCTATATACGCCAGAGGGCTCCGCGTTCTGAACAATCCATGGATGTTCTAGAAGCTTGTGCAATTGCAGGCGTTGAGAAGAGTCCTTCACAAGCATCTGCATTTAAAAAACAAAAAAATTCAGACATTACTAATAACCCTCTGTTTTGAAGCAATAATGAAATAGCAAATACTCGAACTGAAGTGCAAAAGCATGAGGACAAAAACCTGACTAATAAGGTCCTTTGCATGAGAAGAGACAATTGGTTTAGGAGGAAACTTTAGATCCACTTGAACAATCCTGTGAAGACAAATAGCAGAGCCATATTAGCCATGTCTAGAATTCCATACCTCCCATTAATCTTTTTTCATTCAGAGAAAACTTGTATCATAAGATTATTGTTTTAATAAAAAGTACTTTCCTCATCACACATACAAGTTACGTGATAATAGAATCTATTTTGTGAACTTTAATCATTTTGCAGGTCACACTTTACCTTCTATATGTATCTGAATGCTCTTTGGCCTCAAAAGGCGGGACTCCATAGAGAAACTCATAGCACAGGACACCAAGGCTCCAGATATCCACACTAGCATCATGCTCTACGCTCTCCACTGTTTCACAACCTCAAAAGAATTAGTAAGATACAGTAGTGGTTGTGTTTTTGCAGAAGAATGCTATAATGGTTTTTTGTAAAATTTCTCTTTAACACAGCGGTTTGAAATACATGTGAAGATGATCAGTTTGGATAGACACTGTTTCAAAAGAAGGAGAATATTTAGGGTTGTTAGCATACCCATCTCAGGAGGGAGGTAATCAAGAGTACCACACATGGTCCGCCTGCGGTTGAATGTATGCACTGACCACCCAAAATCTGCTATCTTGAGTTCACCCTGTCAAAGGAGATCCACCTTGATTTGATAAAGACCAAATATGTATCCTTAAAAAATAAAAGATATAATAGCAAGGACGGCAATCCAAACCTGTGCACCAATTAGAAGGTTCTCTGGCTTGATATCTCTGTGAATTACGTGCTTTCCATGGCAGTATATAAGGGCCCGTGCCAACGATGCAACATACTGGCCATGCAAGATACACACATTAGAATTTTTAGTCAAAGTTCTCAAAAATAAATTACCTAAATTGGTTTATGTCCCAAAGGAGTAGTCATTCTTGTTACTATAGGTGACATGGTACATGGTATAAGCGCAAAAGAAACTGAATTAGGAGACACTACATAAAAACAACTTACAGTGGCAGCACGTCTTTCACTGAAGTATTTACACTTCTGAAGTTCCTTGTATAGTTCACCTTTGGCAGCATATTCTAAAATCAAATAAACTCGTTTCTGCAATAAATAAATTTCCAAATGAATGGTAAAACACCTGTGTTTCTACTGAGTAAGACAAGTTTAAGGTGTTGAAATATTAGCAGCTTATGAGGCTATGAGCAATATACCTGATCGTAAAAGTACCCATAAAGGCGTAAGATATTGGGATGTCGAAGATGACTTTGTATTTCAACTTCCCGACGAAGCTGATGTTCAACCTGAGACTGTTGCAGCTGGCTCTTAAAGAGGACTTTAAGTGCCACAATGTGATTGCTCTGTTCCAGGAATAAAAAGATCAAGTTAGGTGCACAATTGAAAGTAGGCAAACAAAGAGACACCATTTAAATTCCACTTCATTTGATAAGAGAATGCATATTATAAACAAAATTTCTCACTCTCTCTCACACGCATTCATCCTTCATCTGCTTTCCATTTTTTTTTTTAAGTGAATAGAATATTGGCACTCCGGACTACATAAGTATAATTATAAGCCACAAAAACTGGCAGTTCTATTTGTGGTACATAAAACATGTTTTTCAAAATTTTATTTTCTTCTTCATTACAATCTTCGCAGATCAAGAATGAAACCCAAGTCGACAGCTATAGAAGATTAATTCCTTGACTAAACAAACCCCACAAGAAAACCCCATGAATGCTAGTACCAAAAATAATTGAAATAGCAGCTAAAGAAAGCCAAAATTTACAAAATGCATGGCCATGAAGAAGAAGAAAAAGAAGAACATACCCGTTTCTCTCTTGCCAAATAGACGTGACCAAACTTTCCTCGGCCAAGAGGCTTTCCAATGTCGAAGTCATTGAGCGTCCATCTTCTTGTCTCCGTCGCTGAAACCTCCGAAGAAGCCTGATGAAAGCAAACCCATATTTAAAAATCCTCATAGAATCTAAATATATAAAAATTTACCAATTAGCACTTTAAACCCTATTGAAGCTAATTAACCTACACCTCGAGCCCAAATTCCTAAATTTTCAATCAGAAAACCCTACAGTCAGAGGCTCGAATTCGAATTTTGATAATGCGATCTCAAAATTCACATATACCCAAAGAAACCATTATATTCATCATCAAGAAAAACTATTAAACATCTCATCTTCAGAGAAAAACAAAAGAACCGAAAAGAAATTAAAACCCTAGCATTTGAATTTGGGGACTCAAGATCCCAACGGCTACAACAAAAATTGAAACTTGAAAGTTTTTTCTTTAAATCTGACCTTCTCTTGGGCTTGGTTCTCGGCAGCGATCGCCATGAGAGAGAGAAGAGAGAGAAAGCGAGAGAGATAGACAGAGAAAGAGAAAGAGAGGGGCGAAAGATAGAAGGAAAGCGAAGGCTAAAGACGGGGCTTGAATAAGCACTTTGCAACGGTCGAATTCTGAGTTGTCGCCACGTGCTCCCTCCCGCTCTGGCATTGTCTAAAGATTTTCAAATTTTAGGGGTACTTGTCTGTTGTCGTGTAGATTTACCAAATTCTTGAGTCTCGTGGGGCCCACGAGATCAACGGTAGTAAACGCAGACGATTTTACCCGGTTTCTTTATTTGGATGAGGAGCGTCCTCGGGGTTGTTTAATATGAGCAGCGCTAATGTCACCGAGACATCAAAGTCACAGCCACAACAACATCCCCAGTCATTGCCAGCTGGCCTTGGATTCAGTTCACACTACTGAAATACAGCCATGCTGTATAATTTGTCCACGTAATTAATATAATTTAGATTTCTCCACTATATAACATCAATAAATATACATTTATATTATAATACATGAATAAATTATATCATGTAGTCATACTCTTTACCACACTATAATTACTCAACACTCAACATGAACACGTCGAGACAGTGAGGAATCTTACGTATCTCAACTTCACGAACTCAAACTCATGCAACAAACCACTTGGCACACCCAAATGACATCTTGCACCCAGTGGCAGACCTGTGCACCTCTAGTCGCCGGAAAACTCCATAAGAGTTGTTGGAGTTGCACTTCTGCTCAGACTAGAGACGCATGCAACATGTTCGATGAAATGCGCAAGAGACCTGGCGCTGAGTTGCTGTTTGCTGTGCGCAACGCATGCTCTTCTTTTTTTTTAGGCTTTTTATCACAAAACATCTTTGACGTTTGTGAAATTATCATATTGCATCCTTAAAGTTTTTTTGTATCACTCATGGTCCTTAATGTTAATATAGGTGCTCTTAAATAGTTATTCTGTTAAAAAAAAATGTTAAATTCAGGGATATAATCGTCAAATCAATCTAAAATTATATAATATATATATATATATATATAAGTCTTCTCTCTCCCTTCTTTCTTTTCTGTTTCCTTTCCTTCTCTCTTCTTTCTTTTCTATATCCAAACACTCACCAATTCCCCGGCAACACCTTCGTTCGACATGAGCTTCGTAACACAAATCAGAGTGCGAAACCCAAACTGGGGTCCTTTAAAGTTTCGTGACTGCATCATCGTGTTTACATACCAAGGTGTGGTTGTTGGGCAAGTTTATATTCCAAATGGCAAAGTCGGATCGTGATCCACCAAAAAAATCACTGTGCTTGTGAAAGTGAATTCTAATGTGTTGCCAAGCAAGTCTGCTCTTGGAAATGAGGTCAACAGTGGCTTGCTGTTGCTGACCAGCACAATCGATTTGAAGGGAAAGGTTGAGTTGATGCTGATCATGAAGACAACGAAGACAGCTGAATTGAGCTGCTCTATGGTGTTCAATTTGGCAGCAAGGTCTCTTCAGAATTTGGATTGCAACTGAGAATCGAGCCAATTTTAGTTTTATGTTTACAAATTTTGAATGTTATATTGTTTACAAATTCTATTGGGATTATATATATAATATACAGATTATAGTACAAACTCCAATTCTACTTTAAATACTTTTCCCCATGCGTTTTTATATATCCCAAAAGGCAACAGAGAAGAAAGAGGGGAGAGAGAAGACTTATATATATTAATTTTGGATTGATTTGACGATTATATCCTTAGATTTAACAGTTTTTTTGACAGATAGACTATTTAAGAGCACTTATATTAATGTTAAGGACCATGAGTGATACAAAAAAACTTTAAGGATGCAATTTGATAGTTTCGCAAACATTAGGGACGTTTTGTGATAAAAAACCTTTTTTTTTAATGAAGCCTGGCCAAAACGACATCGTTTTTTACTAGGGTTTTATAAAATTTTAAAAAATAAATAAATAAAAAAGCACAGAAACAGCTGGGCCATTTCTTGGGCTTCTATAGGGTTTTAGTTTGGTTTTATAATTCTTGGGTTTTTATAATTCCTTACTTAATTGGATTTTTATAATTCCTTACTTAATTGGGTTTTAATTAAAAGTTTTCTTTATATAATTGGGTTTTGGGAATTCCTTAACATCACCCAATTTCATCAAAGTGTGTATGCATCAAGTCGGATGCATATATTTTTTTTCTTAAGCAAACGCCAATTTTGTTTATTTTTTTTTTTTTTGAGCTCTTAGCTTTTAAAAATTGCACCTCGCTGAAAAATTCATGGGTCCGCCACTGCTTGCACCACCTGTCTGTTCAACCCTTTCCTTAAATAGATTCCCATGTTGTCTTCACATCAGTGTGAATCACAACCATTGATCATGGCCAATTAGTCAAGTCAAGCGACCTGAAAGCTCCAAGACCAAGACCAGTCAACATTATCGTCGCGCCAGGCTGGCAAGGTTTTGACAGCAAGCGTAATTGGGGCAACCCTCTTATTCTTGTCCAAGTTATCGTTCACCGGGACAGTGATGGGCCTGATCCTATTGGTGTTTAGTCCAATCCTAGTACCACCCCAATCTCATTGGTGTTTAGTCCGACCCTAGTACCGACTGGTTTAGACGTATTCATGACAACAACCAGTCTTGTTTCTTCGGCGATTGCAACGTGGCGGCTGTAACAACGTTAACATGGATGTATAATTACATATCCAATTAAGCTTTTAAAAGAGTTTAAAAGTTTAAGTGTATTTAATTAAGATTTTAAAAGAGTTTGTAAAAATTTGGGTGTATTCAATTCAGATGCCTATTGACTTTTGAAAAATGTATCGAAATTTAGGTGTATTCAAAAAGTTATTTATTTTGAAAGAATTAATGAGTTGTCCGATTTTGTTAGAATTTAAAATGGTAAGTATAAATACCAAAGGCCCTGACAAATCTTATGTCAATCTTGGAAACTTTGAACATGCTCTATGTTTTCCATAATCTTTAAACGTGTGTGCTTGTCTAAGGTAAAAAAATCTCATCTCTTATTTTTCTACGTATGTTTTCATATATATATATATATGTGATCTTCTTGCAATTCATATATCGTGTGCGTTTTTGTTGTTGTACCCTCGTGTATGCTTCTCAAGTGGAGGTAAAAAGTTTCTTATCTTCTCTTCTTAGCAATTGTATGGTGTGCAATTTTCTTTTGTTATGTTATTTTTTATTTGTTGTTGTACATCATATATAATTTAGTCAAACTCTATTTGGAATATATTAAACTTTATAACTCCATTGAACTCTTTTAAAATCTTAATTGAATACACCCTCCCAAATTACTCGGTGTGAAATTCCAACTTAACTTATAAAATTCTATCACAAAAGTCATAACTTAGGGTTTTATCTGTATAGTGTGAGAGATTTTATTGCAAACGATTTTGGTGCTTTTTGATACATGGCAAAAAGTCACTTTATGTTCTATGTAGTTGGACAAAAAATTTGTCCCTATGATTTTAATTTTGGCAATTTAACTCATGTGTAGTTTAATTTTATTGCAATTTAAAGATACATTTAAATTTCCATCTAATTTCTTGACGAATGATATTTTGGACAGAATTTTGGGTGAATTCAAGAATAAAATACTAAATTGGTAAAATTAAAATTACAGAGATTAAAAATGGAAAAATGGACAAACTACGTAGACTAAAAGTGACTTTTAGCCTTGATATATTGTATTTTATTGTATTTACTTCTCATGCTCTTTGAGCAACTAATGACGTACATAGCAGAGGTAACAGAAGCAAGTAATTGACAGCAGAGCAGTTACAGTAAGAGCTACAGAAGCTCGCGGTAAATCCATCAACAGGAGAGCAACCACCTCATAAAAAACGATTGATTTTTGTAGTTCAGATTCAGATAGTGCCAGAAATAAGAACTGCCACGTAAAGCATTCATTCTATTGCCACGTAGCACATGCATGTTTCCCATTTGTAAACGCAAAACTCATGCAACCCACCACGTGCCACGCCACATCCCCGTCATCACATGATCACATCTATATATCGTCACCTCCTGCAGCACTGACTCTTTGTATCACTGATCACTATGGCTGATCAATCAAGACACGTCACCTTGAAGCTCCAGGACCACGACCAGTCAGCAGCCCAACCATCCTCCCTTCGCCTGACTGGCAAGTTCTTGACAGCAGGCGCAGCTGGTACAACCCTTTTAGTCCTGTCCGGGTTAACTTTAACTGGGACAGTGATGGCCCTGATCATGGCCACACCAGTGCTGGTGGTGTTTAGTCCAATCCTAGTCCCAGCTGGGATAGTCCTGTTCCTGACAGCAGCCGGCCTTGTTTTCTCTGGCGGGTGCGGCGTGGCGGCAGTAACAACATTGACATTGATGTACAAGTACATATCTAGCTACGTGGCTACAAAGAAAAGAGCTTACTCGTATGGGCAGTACTTCTGCCCTTTTTGAATTTCAGGGTGGGTTTATGTATCGAGAAAATAAAATATCCTGTTGGTTTGGTGTTTTAGCTTTTTGTTGATGAAAATAAAAACTCGTTTGATTTCTGCTTTTCATAGCCCTGCCATGTACGCATGTCTTGGGTTCATTTGCAAGTTGATGGTCAATTCCCAGAGAAGTTGCTCCTCATGAACTGCAGCATCTGTACTTTTAAAACACTGATGATCATATACTAAATTTGAGTGAAAAATTTAAGAAGCGTTTCAAGCATTTTGATAAGCTGAAAACTAGATTAATAATAAAACAGTAACTTCGGTGCAAGACCATGTTTCTGAGGATCTATATTGACATCAAAGCAAAAGCAGACTAGAATGTGCAAATTGGGTAAGTTGGGTTGTTTGGATAATACATTCTTTTAAAAAAAAATTTAGGACGTTTCTGAGAGGGGTATATACTAAACTCAGAAACACTACAAGGATACTAGGATTACTAGGACTCGAATCGAATTCAGAATTTGCTTGAATTTGTTTGGGAAGCAATTGCCCCAAATCCTATTAGTCTTATAAACGCTACATGCTAGAAACATTATACGAATTGCTCCAAAGCAGTTATTCCATTTGCCGGATACACTAAATTTAAACAATAACCACAAGTCGTTTCATTGGTATTAGGCTTTCTGGACAACCCAGTTGCAGAGGAAAACAGAGCAGCCACCTCATCAACACATGGTGGTCTCCTTGTTGCTCACAAATTGCCACGCAAATTCACTTCTTTTGACATGTTTCCAGTTCACAAAACTCAATCCCATGCAGCCCGCCACGTACCACACGACATCACGTTTTATAAACCCCATAATTTCCACAGCATCCACAGGGTCTCACGGAGATTTCTTGATCAAACATGGCGAATCAATCAAAAGAAATTACCCAGAACCTCTACGGCCGGTTAGCTTCGCCCTCACACCAAGCAGTCAAGCTCTTGACCGCAGCCACAGTTGGTGCCACGCTGTTATTCTTGTCCGGGTTAACTCTGACCGGGACGGTGATTGCCCTGATCATGGCTACCCCGGTCCTGGTGCTGTTTAGTCCAATTCTAGTCCCGGCTGGGATAGTCATGCTCCTCATAGCAGCCGGCTTTGTTTTCTCCGGCGGTTGTGGCATGGCAGCAATGACGGTGATGGCATGGTTATATAACTATGTATCTAACTATGCGGCTGCGAAGCAAAGGGCTAATGCGTAGGGAGTTCGTGATGCTTGATATATAGAAATGGTGGGCGTGAGTTGGTTTATGGAGGAGTGTAAATTGTCAAATGCTGTTGGTGTTTTTGTTTGCTTGTGAAGCTAATATTTGTTCTGCTATAAATCCCCTAACAATTCACCATTCTCAATCACATTACATTCATTGATTGATGTGGAAGACAAACAAAAATAGACAAGAAAAATGGAAAACTTAGGGGAAAGAATGTGCTAATCCATATATCTACATCTGCTCAAGTGGTTTCATTGCCTGAGTGCATAACAAATTTGAGATAATGTGCTTATCTGTCTACAGTTGTAAGATCCAATGCGCACAGGAAAATTAAAAAGCATAAAATTTTGATGCTAATAGGACTTTATCTCATCTACTCTTCTTTGAGAGAACAAGCAAAAAAAGAAACTAGAAAACGCACCATTCGAATTGCAAGCCAATCATGAAGGTCAGGTCAATGCCCAGAAGTTACTTCAAAATGTACTGCGGGACCAAACTGAAATCTTAGATACTCCAATGCCTCAATTGGTCCAAAATGGAGCTGCGTGATCATACTGAATAACCAAAACTTGATGAAGCCAACCACTTTTATGAGTCAGATATTCAAGAATCTTTAGAAGCATTTTGATCCACTGGCCGTAACAGAAAGGGTGGAAGAAATGCTGGGATGGTGAACGCCAAAACCAAGCACACCAACACAAAGCCTACAACCCACCAAGCTTTGTACGGAATTCCCAATAGCAGTTCATCACAAACTGCCACCAACATGTAAGAGATAAGCTTTGTTATACAAACAAATTGTAATGTGCCTAGCATTAAACAGCAAAAATTATAGTAAAAAATACATGTTAATTTCTCGTGCCAAATTTGATTGATATTACATTACCTATATTGAAAATGATGTGTTCCCTCTCCTGCACATTTGGTATTGCAACAACTCCTTCTGGCTCCACACTCACCAACACGTACATGCCACCCTAAGTAGTCAGCAGAGTCCAAAACTCACTGGGCATCTCATGAAATTCAAATTAATGAAACTAAGTATTCAAAGATTCAGCAGCAAAAATCGAACCTGATCGTTCGAGCCAAGACTTTCAGTCTTGAAAATCAGCTTTTCTGTATTTAGTAATCTTCTGTTCCCGGTCAGTGCAGAGTCCAAGTCCCATCTCTTGAGTTGTATGGAAAATCTAGCAGGTATCTGTGACCACACAAATGCAAGTTAAGGAACCCATAAAGGGATTGCTGAGCAACATAAAGAAACTCCATTGAAAGTTTTAGAAACACATACAGAAGCTGGATACGATATTTTCACTTCGTACCACGTATCAGGCTTCAGTCCTTGAATCTGGTAAAGGCGCGAACCCATTTTTAGTGGCAGAGTTTCCTTCCACAGCTCTTCACCAACATTCAAAACTTTGCCGTCTGTCCTGTAAAAAGGTACAGAGTAGTGAATTGGGTTTAAGACAATGTGCCCAGAGATTAACATCAAAGCAGAAAAATGTGCAAATTGGGTTTCATTTGGATATACTAACGTGTTCCCATGGCTTGAATTTGAGCAGCTGATAACGATGCAGATGATGTAGAGTGTGATCATAAGACTACGAGTACGCATCTGACGCATTGTGGTTGTGGACGAATGTGGCACGCTGCTTTCTTACTTCTTCAACCTAACCAATCACAAGTACACATTCCAGTGGATTTGTTTCTTCATGTGTACATTTCATCAAATACTTGGTGGGTAATAAAAACTGCAGAGCAATCAAGTGAACAACCTTATTTTCAGCGAGTGGGTGTTGAAGATTTGGATTTACAAAATAATACAAACCCTTCAGTCTTCTGAATCAAGTCAAAACATGAACGACTAGTCGTTTTGCATGTAGGCTAGTTTTCATTACCTTTCTCAGGCTTTCTCGGCAACCAAACAGACCAATAATCGATCAGCGGTTGCAATAACAGCTACAGGAACTCACAATGCCCGAGTCCATATTTTCTCAGGAATCTATCAGTGAGCCATCAGCTCAACCAAAAACGAATGATCCAAAAAACAAAACAGCAAAAATCTCGTGAAAGGAAATAACAAACGGTTGACCGGAAAACGATCTCTAATAAGATTATAAAACGGTGGCACGTTTAAACGCAGCGTTTTAGTCCTTCTTGCTTGATAAAACCGCTAAAACGACGCGCAGTGTTTTGGCGTTTTAATCGTTTTCCTAATGAAATCTCCCTCGCTTAGCAACAGCAAGTGAGCTACAAACAATTTCTAAGGGGATTTTAAAACGACCGTGCGGCTTTACTATGGTCTTTTTTTATACCCCCTGTTAATAATATAGCCGCGCGGCTATACTATGGTTCTTTTTTACCGAAATAGTATAACCGGGCGGCTATACTCCGGATTTTCTTTAAAGAGTGTAGCGGGCAGGGCCTTTTTTTTTTTTTTTTTTTTTTTTTTTTTTTAAAAAAATATAGCTGAATGGCTATACGCTTTACATAACACTCTGATCTTTTGTTTAAAAATTATTTTTCCTCGATTTTTATTTATCGCTAAGAGTAGTTTATAGCATTATCAATTATTATTAGGTCATTACCTAAGTCTCTACTGTACACATAAATACGTATTTTTCTTGTTTAAAATATTATATAGTGGCCAAACTTTTCAGTCGTAACTTACCAAAACTTTGCCGAATAAAACACGTACATATTTTATTCATATTTTTCCCGTTACATATTTTACTAACTATGAAACAATTTGAGAGGCTAAGATTATTTCTTACTTGTTGTAAGAAAAATGCAAGATATTGATTTTGCAATCTCTTTGCCAACAAGAACAACAATTTCAAGCAAAGTTTTATGCGTATAGTGGTAGTATTTTTCATGTAAAGTGTTGTTTGAAAAGTGAAGCAATTACCAAGACCACTATAACTCAACATGCAATTCTCAACGACAAATAATGCGTGCAGTAACATAATTTACTGGCACTAGAGAAAATGAGGTAGATCAAAGGTAAACATTCCCACGAAAAAAAAAGAATAATTGAACTCTCAAATTGATTTAGTGTGAAATTTCTCTCTTTTCAATATATGTTTTGGATATGTTGAAACTAGCAAATTAATAACTATAAGGTATAAACTAATGAAAGTAGGCCACAAAATTTCAAAATTGCTAGGGCACCCTTCTTTGCAAACTCTCAAACTAGAAAGCTTAAGTTTTGCTTCCAGTATAACCTTTCTTTGTTTGAGTAGAAGGGTAATTGCAACACACTTATAGTGGGGACCTAAGAGGGGCAAAGTAAAGGTTTATTAGTCTAATGATTTTCGAAATCACATCAATTTCAAGTAAAGATACCATTGTATACAATGAGTCCTAAAACTCCAACAGACAACGTTATTGCAAAAGGAACTATCCCGGTCAGGGCTGATCAAGTTGAGCAATGGTGCTTTTTATGTTGTTAATTCTTATTGTGGATTTATTTATTTATAAATTTTATGCTCTTTAAAAAATTTTGAAAAAAAAAGGGGCCATTGAGGAGCTATTAGGTCTTTTTTTTTTTTTTTTTTTTTGTAAATTTTTTTTTTTTTTTAAAAAATAAGAGAGCCGCATGTAGGGTTTAGGGTTTTTATTTTTTTTTAAAACTAACTAGTATGGCCGTTGAAGTACTTCCCCCCTAAGACTCACCATAACTAAAATACTTTAATTTTGGTAGAAAATTTATCCCTTTCTTTATCAAGTGCACAAACTATATGCAATACAAATAAGAGCACTGAAAGCAAACTTGCTTTTGAATGTGTCAGTGAAAAAGAAATCACAGAATCTAAGTGAAGTTTTATATTGATGCACATCTAATTACTTTGGGAACATTTAACAGCAAACATCATCAAAACACGAACGGCTAGTCGTTTTGCATGCATGATAGTTTTCATTACCTTTCTCAGGCTTTCTCGGCAACCAAACAGACCAAATAATCGATCAGCGGTTGCAATAACAGCTACAGAAACTCGCATTGCCCGAGTCCATATTTTCTCAGGATTCTATCAGTGAGCCATCATCTCAACAAAAAACGAATGATCCAATAAATAAATAAAAAAAAGTGCAAAAAAACCCGTAAAAGGAAATAACAAACGCTTGACCAAAAAACGAGCTCTAAAACGGTGGCACGTTTAAACGCCGCGTTTTAGTCTTTCTTGCTTGATAAAACCGCTAAAACGACGCACTGTGTTTTGGCGTTTTTATCGTTTTCCTAATGAAATCTCCCTCGCTTAATAACAGCAAGTGAGCTACAAACAATTTCTTGTTTTCAATTCCTAAAGGGATTTCAAAACCCTAAAAATCCCCTTAGAAAGTAGTCGTAGTGAGCATTAGTATTAGCTGAAAGCCCAGATTCTCTGCGAAGCTGCTTCATTGCCGCATTCGAATTGTCGACAATGGTGAGCTAATTTACGTTGCTTTTACTCGATTGAATTTCCTTAGTAATTTTTTTTTTTGGGTTTTCCAATTCTGAATTTCTATGCTTCTTCAGTTCTCAATTGCAGCTATCAATGATACTGAATCCAAAGGCAAATGGGAACCTTTAGCTCCCACCAAAGAAGCTCAGGCATGCCTCTCTCTCTCTCTCTCTCTCTCATATTTTTTGTATTTGTAATTTTCTTCTACATTTAGCTGCTTTTTGCTGGAGTTAGGTCAAGAATGCGTCATATTTTTGTTATGTCAATGAATTGGGATTTTCTGGACTTGTAGTGAGTGTTGTGAATTTGAGTATTGTTTGCAAACCAGAAAAAAAGAAAAAAAGTATTGTTCACATTTCACTAGAAGTTACGGAAAAGGAGAGAGTACTAAACTCGCTGTTTCGACAAATTGAATGCATCATAAAATGCGAATTGAACACGGGTTTCTTTCTGTATTGTAGCCCAATTCCAAAGCTTTTAGATATTCTGAGCTGAAATGCTTTCTTTTTTGGTTAGATATCTGTCCAAGAATAGAATTCATACTGCTTAGCTTGGTTATGGCAGGAATTTCATCTTTCACAAACTTATCATGAAGGACTTCACAAGTTACAAGCTAAAGAATACAAAAAGGCCACCGAGCTGTTAGAATCTGTCCTACAAGATCCTCTTATAGCAAACGCTCAGGTGAGCGTTAGACTTTCAACAAACAGTTTTAAGACGGCAGTCTTGTTGGTTGCCTCTGAATGAAGTGTCTATTGCCATGCAGGTGGATGGTAATGTCAGCGATTGCCATCTATTGCAACTCAGGTTTGGATATATCCAGTACCCATAGTCTATTGTAGGTCTTGGCCAACTTTATGAAAAATATCTATTATTTTGTGCAATGCTCTGAGTGGATTTACAATTTTCTAATTCACATAGGATGAATCAGTCTCCAGTAGAATGTTAGTTTTGCAAATTTTATCTTATTAATATTGTTGTGACAATAGAAAGGAAAGGAAAGAAAATGAACAAGATGTTCTTAAATATCTTCTCCATTATATTTTTCTTGCTGATGCAGATTCTTGGCACTGAAGAACCTTGCTAATGTTTACCTTCAACAAGGTTCGGCATATTATGAGAGTGCTCTACGATGTTATCTTCAAGCTGTAGAGATTGATACCAAAGATTCTGTTGTCTGGAACCAGCTGGGAACATTGTCATGCTCAATGGGCTCTCTGAGTATATCCCGTTGGGCATTTGAGCAAGGGCTTTTATGCAGCCCTAGTAATTGTGAGCAATTTATGGTGTTTAAATATGTACTATACGTCCATGCCAAAATAACTGCTCTATAATCCATAATGATGGACTCAGCACCGTATTTGTGACAGATTATGTCTCTCTCTGATCTTTTTATGCAGGGAACTGCATGGAGAAATTATTGGAAGTTCTTATTGCTATTGGTGATGAGGTTGCATGCCTTTCTGTTGCAGAGTTAATTTTGAGGCATTGGCCATCACATTCTCGTGCTTTGCATGTCAAGGAAACCATTGAAGAATCCGAGCCAGTTCCATATGCTCCTAGAGGTATAGATAAGCTGGAACCTAAACATGTCCGTCTAAAATTTGTTGACAAGAGAAAAGCAAGTGATGAAAATATAGAGGAGGGCGTTGCATCAAAGAAGCTGAAGCAGAGCATAGATCTGAACCTGGCAGAAGCTTCTTGGGCTGCTCTTGTTGATGCACTCATGGATATCTTACTTCCACTGAATGGGAGTCAATCTGAGATGGGGGCTGCAAAATCACACCAATCTGGGGATGTAAGATTGATTTTACACTTACCTTCTAGTTCAGAAAGTACCATAGGATTTGAGGAAAGGAAAGGGTTTAACTTATCCCCAATTGGTGGAAATGCTGTATTTGGTGATTGTAACTCTGAAAAAACTGGTACTTTTAAAGAAAAAGCCACAAATCTTCTAGAATTACAGCCACAAGAGAGGCGGAGTACTCGTCTCGAAAGGCTTAGAAGTCGTAAACCGGGGAAAGAAGATCTTGACTTTGGTAACGGTAAGGATCAGGCCAAGGTTGTAGTTCAATATCTAGAACCTTTTATTGCTGGTGGATCAGGAATCAAAGATTCTGGTCATTCTGGTAATTGTGTTGTTTCATGTCCTGATCAAACTAATCCATGGGATACTGAATATGGCGATGTTTCCAGATTTGTCGAAAAAACTTCAAATAATTATGGTGCTTTCCATTTGGCCCATTTGCTTTTAGAGGAGGCTGCAAGTAGAGGTCTTTTGTATCAGGATGCATTTATTAAGATCCTGGAGTTGGAAAAGATGACAAGGAATTGGGGGAAGGATAGGAGCCGTGAGTGTTGCCTTTTTCTTGCTGAGCTTTATTATGACCTTGGGTCATTGTCTTCTGATGTTTCCAGGCTATCTGAGTTCATGTCTGAGGCATCTTATCATCTTTGTAAAATTATTGAATCTGTAGCTGTGGAAGATGAAAGTATCTCTGGGCTTAAGAGATTCTTTGGTACTAGTGGATTATCAGCGAATACTTCTGTTTGCCCGGATGTACCATTAGATGGTTCGTCTTTAACAAGTAACAGTTCCTTCTGGGTTCGGTTTTTCTGGTTAAGCGGACGGTTATGTATTTTGGATGGCAACAAGGAAAAAGCCCACCAAGAATTCTGTATTTCCTTGTCACTTTTGGCAAAGAAGGAAAATACGACTGATTCCCAATGTGTGATCCGCCTCCCTTATTGCAAGGTTGTTAAAGAGTTAACCATTCATAGAATTCTCCATGAAATCAACATTTTAAAGGTTGATTTCTTGATGGAGAAGACTTTAGGTGAGATGATTGAGAAAGAAATGTATATGGAGTGCATGTCCTTGCTTGTTCCACTTCTATTTGCAACAAAAAATGTTCCCCCTGATGCATTACCCTTGCGCTTAGCTGATAAAGGGGGAGAAGGAATTACTTCTGTTGAACTATCAGCACTAGATATTTTAATCAAAGCATGTGAGAAGACAAAACCTATGGATGTTGATGTTTATTTGAGTTGCCATCGGCGGAAACTGCAAATTCTTATGGCAGCAGCAGGAATCAATGAATGCCTTGCTTCTTGTAAATCCTTCCTATTGAAATCCGGGTCAAACCCTCGCTATGCTTCTGATGTAGATACAAAAGAAAGTTCAAGCAAGCATTGCTGGAATTTCTTGGTTGCAGAGGAAGTGAAGGCTATTTCTCAATGTGTGTCCCAAGTGAAGAACTTTATTGATCAATCTGGAGCTTCCGTAAGTCAATCAGTATTTATGTATAAATAGCTGTGATATTTGGTCATGCTTACCTCAAACTGTAAAATTTCAGTACATTCGTTCCATTCAAACGTAGAATTATGTTTTCAGAAGTGAATAACCTTATGGATCAGTCTGTGTAGGTTCATGTTTTATGCACTACATAATTATATCTTATGCTTGCAGGACACTATTCCAATGAGCAGCATAGGTGATATGCAATGCTTGCTCTTGTCAGTCATGTGCAACGTTGCAAGCATATTCCTCTCTAAGAAGTCTTCTGATCTAGTAATTACTGATCAAATTGAAAGAAGTTGCTTTATTGAAGCTTCCATTGCATTTTGCAAGCTCCAACACCTCAACATCACGATAACTGTTAAAACCCAAGTGAGTCTTGTCTCCTCAAGTTGTTCATACAATGAATCCTTTCATGATGATATATATTTGTTTCACTCTTTCTTGCCTTTTTCTAATTTTCCCAACTTTGCGTCGTAGGTTGACTTAATTGTCACAATGCATGATTTGCTGGCTGAGTATGGGCTCTGCTGTGCTGGTCTCGGTGGTGAAGGGGAGGAAGGAACATTTCTTAAGTTTGCAATTAAGCATCTATTGGCCTTGGATATGAAGTTTAAATCTAATTCATTAAACAAGGAAACAGCTCAATACAAAGAGCAACTTTGCCTAAACAGTCATGCCAAATCAGATACTGATTTGGAAATGGTTCACGCAGGAATAGATGAGACCAGTGCTGCAGGAAAGGATGCTTCTGAAAGGACACCTTCCAAAAGCACTCCATTTGATAATACCCTAGATAAAGACAGCGTGGGATTGGAAGGTGGAAAGCAAGGTGTAGATGGGTCTGGTGGCAAGTTCAATGGATGTGAAAAAGAAAATTTTCAATTGAACGAAGCCGGAGCTGAGCTCCTTGAAGATGAAAGGGAGGAACTTGAGTTGAAAATTGATTATGCATTGGATCAGTGTTTCTTCTGCTTATATGGTCTAAATATAAGATCTGATTCATCATACGAAGATGATTTAGTTGTGCACAAAAATACTAGCCCTGGTGATTACCAGACAAAGGAACAGTGTGCTGATGTTTTTCAGTACATACTACCTTATGCAAAGGCTTCTTCTGTGAGCTCCCTCTCTCTCTCTCTCTCCCCTTTTTTTTTCCATGTGTGTGCATCATAACAATTTATTACAAGGGTTCTAATGAAAAGACGTTGTAGCACCTGCAGCTATTTAGTTTCCCAACATTTGTTTTTCTAAGCTTATACATGTATGTTACAGAGGACAGGATTAGTTAAAGTTCGAAGAGTACTCAGAGCCATACGCAAACATTTTCCACAACCACCAGACGATGTTTTGGCTGGAAATGCAATAGATAAGTTCTTAGATGATCCTCATTTGTGCGAAGATAAGCTCTCAGAGGAGGCTGGATCTGATGGGTTTCTTGAAACCATAACAAAAATTATACTCCCTGATGCAAGAAGCCTTAAACAACAGAAGACATCATCCGTTGGGAGGTATACATAAATATAAGTTCTAATTTGTATTTTAATTTTAAAATGTAATTGTTATCATTTGATGGTTAAATTCATAAGTTTTCTAATTTGAAGAAGTGAGCTTTCTACATGTATGATTGCAGCTCTGAACCGTATCTGGATGTCTATTGCAACTTATATTATTTCCTTGCCCTATCTGAGGAAATGAGTGCTACTGATAAGTGGCCTGGCTTTGTGCTTACCAAGGAAGGGGAAGAATTTGTACAGCATAACGCAAAACTCTTCAAATATGATTTACTCTACAATCCTCTACGTTTCGAAAGTTGGCAAAGACTCGGAAATATCTATGATGAGGTAATGTTTGTTGTTTATCATTCTGATTTGTGAATGCTGTAGAAACCAAAACAGAGCACAATTCTGGTGTGGAAAAGTTTCAATTTCTAATGATCCTTTTTTACAGGAAGTAGACTTGTTGCTAAATGATGGCAGTAAGCACATCAATGTGGCAGGATGGAGGAAGAGTGCTACTTTACCTCAGAGAGTTGAGACAAGTCGACGGAGGAGTAGACGGTGTCTATTAATGAGTTTGGCTTTGGCAAAGACATCAGTTCAGCAGGTTAGACCCCTTTCTTTCCTATATATTATTGTATTGGTGGGGAGTAGGGTCTTTCCTTCCCTCTTTCTTGGTCATGCATGGCATATAGATCCTTTGACATTTTTACTAATCTTTTTTCAAGCAGAGCATCAGATCAAATAAAATGGCTGGAATGGTTTTGTTGCTGAAATTATACAGTAGGGGCCATCTTGCAGTGGATCCTGAATAAAAATATTTTACATGCTATACATGCCATTAAGGCCAAAATTTTCTGCTTGAGTTCGAAATTAGAATGTCTTTGGGACGTTACTGAGAATGTACTGATTTGTTTTCTCTTTTTATGGCCCAGTCTGAGATACACGAGCTATTGGCATTGGTGTACTATGATAGCCTTCAAATGTGGTGCCATTTTATGATCAGCGAACTGTTGTACCCTTGAAGGATGCAGCATGGATGATGTTTTGTGAGAACTCGATGAGACATTTTAAAAAAGCTTTCGCTCACAAGTATGTCCTCTTTTCTTCATAGTTTCATTTTCCAGTTAACTACTCAAACCAACCACCTGATGTGTCAAATTAAAATGGTGATTTGTCTGTGCTGTCTTCTGTATCAGGCAAGATTGGTCCCATGCTTACTATATTGGGAAGCTCTGTGAAAAGCTAGGATTCTCTTATGAGACATCATTGTCATATTATGATAAAGCTATTGCTCTAAATCCAACAGCTGTAGATCCAGTCTACAGGATGCATGCTTCGCGTTTGAAGATGCTTTGTACATGTGGAAAACAAAATATAGATGCTTTAAAGGTTTTTTCTTCTTCGGTCTTGCTTCTCCAAATCACCAGCCCCCCTCTTTTTTCTTTGAATTTTTTTATTTTTTTTCAATCCAAATAATATATTCCTTAATAGGTATTATATTTGTCTTAATAATGAAGTCAAACTGGTCGGAAAAATCTATTTAAGTCCATAAGATGGATGCTTGCTTGACAGCTTCCTGTTTTACAATTAATTTTTTACCATTGCAGGTTCTTTCATCATATGCCTTTAATCAATCGAGAAAGGATGCTATCATGACAATCTTAGGTAACATGGCTTCTGAAAACTCAAACTCGCCTAAGGATAGAAGCACACAAGCAAACACTGGGGAGCAGAAGCATGAAGATTCACTCAAATTAGAGGTGTGGAACATGCTTTACAGTGACTGTCTTTCTGCCCTTGAAACTTGTGTTGAAGGAGAGCTTAAACATTTCATAAAGCCAGATATATGCTTGCTCAAGGTCTGTATAGAAGTGGGGAAAGTGGTGCGTTGGAGAGGGCAAAGGAAGAACTCTCCTTTTGCTTCAAATCATCTCGCTCATCTTTTACGATAAATATGTGGGAGATTGATAGCATGGTCAAAAAAGGAAGGTGCAACTATAATTCTATGCAACAATTATGTTTTTTTATTATATATTTCAGAATCTAAGGAATTTGACACCACAAGGAATATACAGAAAATTTCTTTCGCTGGTTTTTTCTCTGAAAAAGAAACAGAATGCAAATTCCTTTAAACTAATTTCATATGTTTAAACACACACACACCAAAAAAAATTTCAAACAAAGATTTTTCCACGTTGACATGCTACCCAAACGCCCCCTTTCAATATTTTCAGTTTGTTTGCTGTCCATGTTGTTAAGTAGCTTAAAATTATAATTCCATATGAAACTAATTGGATATATCTTCTCTGTATATCAGGCGGAAAACTCCTGGTTTCTCTGGGAGTAAAAAATCCCTTGAAGTTAACTTACCTGAAAGTTCTCGAAAGTTTATTACTTGCATCCGGAAATATCTGTTGTTCTATTTGGAACTGTTGGAGAAGACTGGAGACATCTGTACTCTTGACCGTGCTTATATATCTCTGCGAGCTGATAAGAGGGTAATATTTTAACCTCTAGTGCCATTACTTTATTGACTGCCATAGCTGAAGTAATTTCTTGATGAGTTCTATGACTTGTGGAACAAAATATTTTATGTTTCAGTGCATTTTTCTTAATTCACTCGTCATGTATGCCTCTATAATAGCAGTTCAAATTTACGCGTCATTGTTACTGTCAAAATATCATGTTCTTGTCTAGCCCATCTTATTCTATTTCTGATTTTTTTTTCTCTACCGATTTAAGTGGGATCTAACTTGATTAGAAAATCCAGTTTTCACTATGCATTGAAGATCTTGTTCCAGTAGCACTTGGGAGGTACGTTAAGGCCTTGGTTTCATCCATGCGACAAGCTGAGACTGTTGGCTCTGGTGCTACAAGTAATTCTGAGCATATATTGGAGAAAGTGTTTGTTTTGTTCATGGAGCAGGGGAACTTATGGCCAGAAATATGTGGTTTGCCTGAGATTAAGGTCACAGAAACATCAGAAAGCAGTTTATATGGGTAATTTAAATTGCACAGAAAAATTTATGTTTACTTTATTTCTCAATTTCTAATTAAATTCGAGTGTTTAACTCCAGAGTCCCGATCCATCTTTGTTTATTAATCTTGAACAAGATAGTTCTCCTTCCAGAGTCTAATGCACTACTCATACTTCTGCAGATATCTTCATGAACACATAATAACATTGGAGAAAAATGGCAAGCTGGAGACACTTGAAGCCATAAATGAGAAGATACGAAAGAGGTTTAAGAATCCAAAATTATCAAACAGTAACTGTGCAAAAGTTTGTAGGCATGCTTCCATTGCTTGGTGTCGATCTCTTATACTAAGCTTGGCAAAGATCACTCCGTCACAGTCTGAAATCACCAGTGAGATGCAGGTCCTTAATCCAACAGAGATGTCGGAAAACAGCCAGCTGCTTTGTGTTGATCTGCAAACAGACGAATTATGGAGTTCAGCATTCGAGGACCCAACCCATTTTAAAAATCTTGAAGCAAAACGGAATCCTATTTTGTCTAAAATAAAGAATTTAACAGTTAAGAAAGCTTCAGATGAAAATTTGGAGGCTGCCAGTGCTCTGCTTCGATCTTCTTACAATTTTTATCGTGAGAGCTCCTGTGTGATGCCCTCATCTGGTGTCAACCTGTATTTGGTTCTGTCTTGGTTAGCAAAGGATACACAGTTCAAGCCGACCATGGATGGGGCTGAAATCCTTGACCTTAGCATTCCGAGAAAGCTTCTCTTGTGGGCTTACACGCTATTGCATGGCCGTTACACAAACATATCTTTTGTCGTAAAGCATTGTGAAGAGAATGCAAAGGTATGGAAAATCAACAGCTGCAGTCCTTTAAGCATTCACAAGGGCATGATGACACCATAAAATGCGCTTCTCTTAGTTCTGATATGTTAAGAAACATGAACATAACTGCATTTAGCATATGATGTCCACATCAAAGCAAACGATCTTCTGCACAAGTTTGAGGTAGTTAAGGAAATGAAATTGACTAATGCATTACGAATTTGTGGTTGTATTTTGCAGTCTAAAATGAAAAAAGGAGCTGGAACCTTATTTGCGCCCTCAAACACAAGCACACCCAACACCAGCACTATGCAAGCAGGTTATTCAACTTCTTCCCTTCATCTCTTTTGTTAAACCTTATTGGGACCATGTACGGAGAGGAGAAAAGGCATGGTAAACCAGAGCTGAAGCAATTTACCCCTTTTAAAAGTTTGCTTGTCTGCTTGTGGGGTTAAAAAAAGCACTGTTATCCGCAGATTGTCTTTTCACTCACACACACACACTGATGGTTGTAGCTGCATTACTGGTTGCAGGTTGTGGGAGAGATGGAGCCGGCCATGCTGGAACCAGTGATGCAGAGGCCACTCTAGTGACAACAGTTGTATCCGCTTCATTACTTGAGGACTCCATGCAATGTGCCAATCCACCACCTTCCGGCGTCTATCAAAGGAGTTTATTTGCTGCTCCCCAACTGCACCATTGCAGCAACACCGTTGCAGAGAGGAGCAATACAACGGCAGATGGAGGTGGTTTAGACAAAAGTTGAATTACAATTAGTTAATTGTATCGGTATTCTTGTAAATATTTTCTCCCAGTTAATCTAACGTATCTTCAGGCTAACCGGATGCTGATGTGATGTGATACCGAACTAGATGCGGTTTGGATTTAAGGGCTTAAGAAAACAGGCCGTTGTCAAGATCATTTATACTGTGAAAGCAACACAGTACTTAGTAGTGTCAAAGATCATTTGTAGGCAAATGGTTGATAATATATACAACTGGTTTGAAATTGGGGTTTTGGAGTGTAAAATTTAATAGCACAAGAACTCAGAAAATGACATCCCAAACTCTAAAATGTCACATTACATGCGTTGATGCTCTTTTTCGGAGAGGGTCAACTTAGAAAAAAAGGGTTTGTCTTCAGCAGTGGAGAAGGTGAGAAGCTTCAGCAAGGGAAGAACTTGTAGAAGATAAAGTGGGAGAAGCAGTCGTTAAGTTTCGGACACCGGTGTGGTGCCGGCCGAAGGTTCTCCGATGCTTAAGTCAGCTAAGAGTAGTAACTTTGGCAGAGTAACAATAAAAGTGAGAAAGTAGTTACTCTTTTTACTAGGGTACTGTTCCCTATTTATAGGAAAGTGAAAGTGTGAGGTTTGTGTAGAATTTCGATGTGGGACTTTATGCAAGTCACTGTGGTGGTGACACGTGTCCTGGAGATTAGGTTCGGCAGTTTGAGAGCTTCGGCAGTCAGGAGCTTCGGCAGGTGTTTGGCACCTTGGAAGAGTATTCCTTCGGCAAGGGAGAAGACGTGTCTACCTTAGTTCTAGTTGTTTTGAGACTGGATATGCTCGGTTGATTATGGTGTAAGCAGTAGTCCCCCAAGTTCGCGGTCAAGAAGTAACTTTTGGGTTGGGAACTTATTAGATTTTGTGTAATCATGACCAAGCATTCTAGCTTCAGCAAGAGCCGTAGGGCATTCCCTAGTCCCCCAAGTTGGCAAGCTAGAAGTTGCGTCACCACTTGGAAAGTATGGTAAAGCTGTGTGAGCCTCCAGAACTGTAGGTAGCTGAGTACTTGGGTTTTTAGCAGAGAGGCCGGGACTACGCTCTGTGGAGCTGAGCTTCGGTAGGGGCCGGGGCCTTGAAGCTTCAGCAATAACACTTTGGTGAGCAAGAATTGTGTGTGAGCCTCTGGAACACGAGGCATGACCCTTGCCGTTTAGCAAGGGCTTAAGAGCATCGGGCTAAAGAGCATCGAGCTAAGGCCTTGGGCGAGATTCCTTGGTGAGCCCAAGGTTTGGGCAAGGGTAAGGCTTTCGGCAAAGGGGCTAGCCCTCGGGGGTCCTAAGGCAAGAACCATTTTTCCTTTGCCAAAATCTTGTCGTTCGGCAAGGGTTTTCTTCCCTTTTTTTTTATTTTGAAAGCTAGACCTTTGGTGAGCTGAATTTTGCATGTGAGCCTCCCATGAAATCAGCATGACCCTTGCCGTTCGGCAAGGAGTTGAGAATCATGGGCTTGGGATTTATTTTCGGCAAAGAGGCTTGGATTTCCAAGCCTTGGCAAGTGCTGGGTTTTCCATAATGGGCCTGCTCTTCTTGGGCCTTCGACAAGTTACAAAAAGTAGAGGAATAAGGGCTAGAGTTTTAGCATTGTGGGGGGTATAAATAAACCCTCATGGCTCTTGCCATTCAACATATGAACTTTCGGCAAAGTCTTGGTGCGTCTTGGTTTAGCTTGAGCTTCAGACAAATAATAGTGTTCCACCCTATGTGGGCTTGAGGTTACCCACCGCAGCTGATGTGGTAAGATACCATCCGAAGGGTTCAGTTATGGTTTTCACGAATATGTACCAGCATGGCTTCAGACTACTGTTACATCCCTGGGTGCAGATGATGTTGGCCAAGCTGAGGTATGCACCAGGGCAATACAATCCCAACTTTTGGCTTCTTTGGCATGAGGTTTACATTGCTTGGTGGTTGGCTGGGTTGGAGGAGCCAACATTTGAGTAGTTTATGTATCTCTACTCGATTTCCAAGCAACAGAGAAGTTTTGGCTGGGTACAAGCCAATTGCCGAAAGGCAAAGGAGATAGGTTACTTTATTGGTCACAAGCCTTCTACTCAGAATCTTGGAGAAACAGGTGGTGCCTAGCTTATGGTGATTGGGAGTGTCCGTAGGGAAGATCGTCTCCAAACATATTCCTACCCACTTCCAGTATATAAGTCCTTGGCCCCATTCTTTGTTTTGTAGTGTTTATACCTGCTTTGATTCTTGGTTCTCCAGTTTTTGCTTGTGCAAGTGTAAATGGCTGAGCAATATCTAACCTTTGGTGCAGGTTCGGTGAAGTGTTGGTCGATCTCCAAGGAGCAAGAAGACGAGGTTGAGAGGGTGAGGTTATTGTTGTCAGAGACCGAGCGTGAGTGTAAAAACTTAGTCACCCAGAAGAATCTGCTTGAGTCCGGCCTTTTGCAAGGGAGTAAGTACTTGGGTCACCTTTGTTGTTTGTCTTCCGATTCCCTTTTTGTAGTTATGACTAACTTAGCTTTGATGTGCAGTGGCAGGTATCATAAAGGGAAGCACTAAGGTGGCTGTGAATCTGAATGATGTCGAGATGCAGAAACGGCTTAGGGAGTCTCGGGCGCGGATGGCTGGGAAGGGGGTTGCCAGGCAAGCGACTGGTAAGCGTCCTAGAGATGATGATGAAGGTTTGGTTGCTGATGTGCTGGGAAAGAATAGAGTGCTGGAGGAAGCTCACCAAAGTGTGATGGGAACAGGGCCGAAACTTCCTCACTTTGACCTGCAGGCACCGCCGAAGCTCCCCTTCGGTATGGAGGACGTTTATGCCGAGGGGGTGGAGAAGATGGACTTCTCCAGGCTGCGTCGGCAGAAGAAGGAGGTGAACCTTGCCATGCATCAGCAGGAGGTTCCCTTGGTGAACGTCTTCTTAGAAGGCGTGAAGTGTGACCCCGAGGTTTTGGCCAGGACACCGACCACTTCCTATGCAGATCGGGCCCAGAAGACGTTTCTTACCCATGCCTATGTAAGTTGTCTTGCTTTATGAATTTGTTTTTATCATTATAGTTTGCCTTCGATTTATGATGCTTTGTGTTGCAGGTCAATGGCGAGATGTACGTGAACATGGCCAAGGCAGATAAAGAGATCCAGAGATTGAAGATGAGCAATGAGATGACCAAGGACAAGATAGCGGAGGAGCATGAGGCCATCCTGGAAAAGAACGCCCTGCTGTTGCAGAAGGCGGCGTTGGCCAGAGAGGTGAAGGAGCTGAAGCGGTCGAGGGCCGAGGAGGTAGCTGCTGCTCGGGCCAAAGTGGAGCAGAAGAAGGTCGAAGAGATAGCTGCTACCCGAGCTGAAGCGATCGAGTCGTTTCAGAGTTCAGAGGAGCTGAGGAGCTACATCATGGATCGGATGGTGGCAATGCAGCTGTATTGGGATGAGAGGTTGGCGAGGTTCAACCCTTCGGTTGAGATTAACTTTGATACGAGTGGCAAGCCTCCTTCACCTAGTTCTACTACTGATGCCACTCCAGAGCCAGAGCCAGAGCCAGCTACCACAGATGCCCCGTCCACCGAGTTTTGAAGGCGTTGCCTTCGTTATGTATTATAGTTATTTGTTTGGAACATTTTATGTTGATTTCTGTTTTGTATGAACATTTTGCCTTGCCTGGGGCAAGGTTATTTTGATTTGCTATGATATTAGACTTGTGTTGTCATTTGATATTAGTTGTGCTAGCAAAATGATATCATGTGATTGATGAGAAGTAGCCAGAGTCAGGCATTTCATTAAGTAGATGCCAAAAGGCAGAAGGTACAGAATCATGGCTCAAAACCAAAGTATAAAAAAAACATAATGTCCTAGGGTCTAGGTATGTTTACTTATAGAAGTACTTGAGATGATAAGCGTTCCAAGGATATGGCAAGGTCTTGCCCTTGGAATCGCGAAGCTGATACGTGCCAGGTCGGCAGACTTTGGTAACCTCATAAGGAATTTCCCGTGTAGGGCCTAAGGTACCTTCAGTAGGATTCTTGGTGACCAAGGAAACCTTGCGCATGACCTAGTCCCTAAGTTTGAAAGGATGGGGTTTAACTCAGGAGTCGTAGTACTTAGTGATGCGCTGTTTGTACGCGACGTTGCGCATGTTAGATTGGTCACGAAGCTCATCAATGAAGTCGAGGTTCAGGGCTAACTGCCCGTCATTGGCTTCGGCCTCGTAAGTAGAGGTTCGGTATGTGGGCTGGCCAATTTCCACTGGTGCCCCGGCTTCAGTACCAAAGGAAAGAGAGAACGGTGTTTCTCTTATAGAGATACGGAAGGTGGTGCGGTAGGATCAGAGAACTTCGGGGAGTAGCTATGGCCAGTAACCCATGTCAAGCTTTGTCTTCAAGGTTTTCTTGATAATTTTGTTCACGGCTTTGACCTGGCCATTGGACTGAGGATGGGTTGGGGAGGCAAAGCAAAGACGGATCTTGAGGTTGGAACAAATTGTTTGAACTTGGTATTGTCAAATTGCCGGCCATTGTCTGTGATGATAGTGTTAGGGACGCCGAAGCGACCTACGATGTTCTGCCAGACGAATGTCTCGATGCGAGTTGCAATGATGATGGCTAGGGCTTCAGCCTCAGCCCACTTGGTGAAGTAGTTTACAGCTATAACTGCATACTTGACTTGGCCTTTGCCCACAAGCATAGGTCGAATGAGGTCGAGTCCCGATTGGGCAAATGGCCAAGGGCTGACCATGGCTGCCAATGGTTCGGCTGCAAGTTGTGGGATGTTGGCAAATCGTTGACACTTATCGTACTTCTAGGTGAAAGCCTGGGCATCAGTGTCAAGTGAAGGCTAGAAAAATCATTGCCTAATAACCTTATGCGCTAGTGGGCGAGCGCCTGAGCGATTGTCGCAGATGCCTTCATGGATTTCCCGGATTACATAATTACCTTCCTCTGGGGTCAAGCACCGAAGGTAGGGAAGGCTGAAGCCACGCTTGTATGAGGCGCCATTGATGATTAGGTATCGGGTGGAGCGATAGCGAAATGCTTCAGCAGGATCAGCATATAGTGTTTGGTTTTGCAAGAACTGAATGATGGGGTCCATCCACGTAGGGCTGTGATCAATGGTACAGATAAGTGGTGCTTGTGTAAATGGCAGGTATGCTGGAGGTAGGCTGTCATAGAGATGTCCTTGGCCGTGAAGTCATAGTTGACTTGATGGACAACGAGCTGTGAGTCGTTGAATATCTGAATTTGCTTGGCACCCATCTCCTTGGCTAGCCGAAGGCCAGCTAAAAGTGCTTCGTATTCGGCCTCATTGTTGGAGGCGTGGAATTTGAAGAGGATGGCGTACTAAAGGACAACCTTGTCTGGGGAGATGAGAACGAGGTCGGCCCCACATCCTTGGGCATTGGATGAGTCATCCTCATATAAGGTCCACAAGGGCTAGGTCAAGTTGAGGTTGCCATTGCTGGCGACGTGAAACTGGCCTAAAGGAAGATTGGGTTTGGTTATGATCTGGGTAGCGGCCGAAGCCTGAGGTTCTGTGAATTCTGATATGAAGTCAGCAACAGCCTGGCCTTTTGTAGCTGGGTGGGGTTTGTAGTGATATTAAATTCGCCCAGCTCAATGGCCTACTTAACCAACCTCTCAGAAGTCTCTGGCTTCTGCAACACTTGCCTAAGTGGTTGGTTAGATGGTGTGAGCTTGGAAGTATGGTCGGAGGCGTCGAGCCGAGACTACTAGTGCGTGGGCCAACTTCTCAATGTCTGGGTACCGAACCTTGGCATCTTGTAACGCTTTGCTAACATAATGCACTGGGTGCTCAACATTTTCCTTTGGTCGGATGAGCACAGAGCTAACCGTTGCAGCCGAGACAGAGAGATACATCATAATGATGTCTCCAGGCTCAGGGGTTGACAATAAAAGGGCCCGGCTCATATACTCATTGAGCTCGCTGAATGCCTTGTCACAATCGGCAGTCCAGGTAATGCTTCGTTTACTACCCTTAAGTGCCTTGAAGAATGGGGCACATCGATCAGTAGCCTTGAAGATGAATCTGGTTAGGGTTGTGACACGCTTGGTAAGGCTCTGGATGTCCTTAATCGTCTTGGGTATCATCATGTCTAAAATGGCTTGGATCTTCTCTGGATTGGCCTCAATACTTCTCTGGCTGATCATAAAACCAAGGAATTTGCCTGAAGCCACCCCAAATGCACACTTGGTGGGGTTGAACATCATTCTATACGTCTTCAAGATGGTGCACATAGCAGAGAGGTGAGGGATGTGCTAGTCAGAAGTGCGACTCTTGACGAGCATGTCATCAACATAAATCTCCATGGTGTTGCCAATCAGTGGAGCGAAGAGGCTGTTTATTAAGCGCTGATAAGTAGCCCCAGTATTCTTGAGCCTGAAAGGCATCACCTTGTAGCAGTATAAACCACGATATGTAATGAATGAGGTGTGGGCTTGGTCAGCAGGGTGCATGAAGATCTAGTTGTACCCAGAGTAAACATCCATGAAGCTAAGGAGGGCGTGGCCAGCTGTGGTGTCCACCAGCTGGTCAATGCGGGGTAAAGGGAAGCTATCATTCGAGCAGGCTCGATTAAGATTGGTGTAGTCCACACACATACGCCAGCCCTTCTGTGGTTTATGTACCATCACCACATTGGCTAGCCAGGTGGGATAGTCCACCTCTTTGATGAATCCAATGCTACTCAACTTATCTACCTCTGCATTCATGGCCTCGTACCTCTTTGGGTCATATGCACGATGCTTCTACCAAACGAGTCGAACGGCATGACTAATGCTTAGTCGATAGGAGATGATGTCTGGTGATATGCCAGACATGTCATTGTAAGACCAGGCGAAGACCTCAGAGTTGAGGTGAAGGAAGGCAATGAGATCAAAGCAAAGCTCTGGTAGGAAGGAGGTGCTGATCCGGACCTACCAATCCAGGATGTCATCATAGAGAATGACGAGCTGCTGGATGACAGATTCCTCCATGGGGTCTTCAGGTCGTTCAGTGCCAGCTCGAGGAGGGCTAAGGCCTGGGTTACTATGAGGGCCTCACCCCTATGTTGGCAATTGGTGGATTTGACTGCTGAAGCATAACAGCTTCGGGCACCAAGTTGGTCGCAGCGCACCGTGCATGTGCCATATGTGTGGAAATGAAAACCTTCATTTGGGCCATGGCAGGGCTCCCAAGGATGACGTTGTAGGCTGTTGGGCAGTCAATAATGAGGAAGGGAGTGGTGACCGTCCCCCCTGGGGTGCTGCTCCAATAGAGACAGGGAGGTGGATGCTTCCAATGGGCTGGACAACATCACCAGAGAAGCTCACTAGGGGTGTGATGCTTCGGTCAAGCAAGTGAGGTGGGATTTGGAGCTCGTTGAAAGCATCAGCAAACATCACACTAACCGAGCTGCTAGTGTCCACCAAGATATGCCCAATATCAAAGTTAGAAATGTCAGCACGGATAATGATTGGGTCATCGTGGGGGAGAATGACACCACGCTCTTCCTCGCAGAAGGTAATGGGAGCCCAGCCTAATTTTTGTGTCTTCAGTAGGCGTCCCTGCTTAGTGTTGAAGACCTAGTGCGCATAGGTGGAGCGGACATAATGTTTGATGGAGTTGTTGGAGGTTCCAGCCATAGTAGGACCACCATTGATGGTTGAGATCATGTTGATCTGCCGTTGGTGAGGATTAGGTGGAGGCGGTGGGAGATGGTGCATATATTTGTCCAATTTGCCCTCACGGATAAGGCCTTTAATGATGTTGCGCAATGCAACATAAGATTCGGTATCGTGACCACCGAACTGATGAAAGCAACAGAAGACACCCATGTTGGGAATAGGCTTGCTACCTTGTCTCCTGGAGGGAGGCTTGGGTATGATAGGTGCCTCGTGCACCAGGACATTCTCGTAGGTGGTGAAGACCTCAAACCTAGGTTTGGGTGTGAAGGGGAGTGGCTCCCGATCACTTGTCCTGGGAGGGTTGTTTCCACTAGATTGGTGCTGGTTGTCATGTCTGCCACACTTGCTATTGCTGAAGGTATACTGCTAGCTATCTTTCCCTTTTGGGTGTGGGGTACCTTGGGTACTTAGGGCGAGAGTAGAATGTTGAGGTGGGGCTAGGGTGGGTACTGAAGAAGGTGGAGGATCAGCAAAAGTGTTCCGTGCCGGGGTGGTTGGGCCACGCTTGGAATTGAAGTACTCAGCCTTGGCGTGAATTGATGTCTGTTTCATTAATTTAGCATATGTGTTCCAAGGGTTGCTATGAACTAGGTACTGGAAGTTGGACTCGCATAGGCCACTTTTGAAAGCACCGAAGGCAGCGCGGTCATCAGTCTCTAGGCAGCGGGAGTATTCGTGGCTGAACCGGGCTGCATACTCCCGAAGTGGCTTGTCCTCACCCTGCCGAAACATGTACAAGTCATCGGCGGAGTACAAGCGATCAGTTTGGATCATGAAATGGTCCAGGAAGGTCTGCTTCCGACTGTCAAATGAGTTAATGGTGCGGGGGTTCAGCCTGTAAAACCAATTCAGGGCCATGCCACTTAGGGTGGAAGAGAAGATGAAGCATATGTCAGTGAGGCCCTTTCACCTCAAGACAGACTGGAAAGAATGTATGTGGGCGAGAGGATCCTCCATGCCAGTGTAGAAGGCGATGCGGAGTGGCTGGATGTCTTTCTTGTGGTGGTAATTAAAGATGCGTTCGGTAAAGGGCCCAGGTCGTGGCTTCTCCTAGAGGGGTTGGTGGCTGCGGTGCTGCTTGTTCTCTAGACGCTGAACCTTCTCAAAGAGAAGCCTCATGGCCAGGTCGGCATGTGGGAAGGGCTCAGGTGCTAAAGGCCTGAGGTGCGGGTGGCCAGGGGTTGGGTAAGGTTCATGTTCTTCGAACGCCTCGGTGTGATAAGACTCGTAGTCTTCTGAATAGTACTGCCTCCTGTTCTTTGAGTCACCTACACCTTCTCCAACTAGTAGGTGGGTGGGCTTTGGTGGGGGGCCTAGGTGTACCACCCTTGGGTCTTTGAGCTTAACAGATATATGGATAGGGTTCGTCTGACGGTCCAAGATACAGTCCCTGCAATCCTTGTAGACCTTCACCGGTTCATGGGGCCGATCATTCGGTGGGGAGATGTGAAGGAGCCGCGACTTAGTTGTCTCTGGGTAAAAAGGGCATTTACCCTTGCCGAGCCTAGACTGGATCGGGGCATTGTGGTAAGAGGGCACTGGCTGGTCTAGCTGGGTGTTGTTAACATCCTGGGTAAACTCATGTTGGGAGCCTGAGACCCTAGACTTCTCCCAATTACGCTTCAGGGTGCGGTAGTCATGCTCGAGCTCAACGTTCTTAGCATGAAGATGGTCGTATTTCTCGGACATCTTTGTGACACTGGCTCGGAGGAGCTCCACCTCGGCCTGAAGATTGACCTATGCCGACAGTTTCTTTCAAAAGGTACTCTCGCAGAAGGTATGGTACTGAGTATCGTGGCTATCCTCGATCGGCATAGCAGAGTACGGGGTAAAGAAGAGGCGACGAGGCCTGATGAGAGTATGAGCTAGCTGGGTTGGTAGAGAGAATGAGATTCAAGTATCAATTCCCACAGACGGCGCCAAACTGTTGATACTCTTTTTCAGAGATGGTCAACTTAGAAAAAAAGGGTTTGTCTTCAATAATGGAGAACGTGAGAAGCTTCAGCACGGGAAGAACCTGCAGAAGACAAAGTGGGAGAAGCAGTCGTTAAGCTTCGGACACCGGTGTGGTGCCGGCCGAAGGCTCTCCGATGCTTGAGTCAGCTAAGAGTAGTAACTTTGACAGAGTAACAGTAAAAGTGAGAAAGTAGTTACCCTTTTTACTAGGGTATTGTTCCCTATTTATAGGGAAGTGAAAGTGGGAGGTTTATGTAGAATTTCGATGTGGTGACACGTGTCTTGGAGATTAGGTTTAGCAGTTTGAGAATTTCGGCAGTCGAGAGCTTCGGCAGGTGTCCGGCACCTTGGAAGAGTGTTCCTTCGGCAAGGGAGAAGGCGTGTCTGCCTTGATTCTAGTTGTTTTGAAGCTGGATATGCTCGGTTGATTATGGTGTAAACAACATGCATCAAACTCCAAAATACCAATATTCAAACTCGAAACCTTGAAATGTCAAAATCAACATCGCATGCCAAAATTCAACTCCGAACCACCAAAATGCCAAAAATCACACCCATAATCCTAAAATGTCAAAATTTACTCTCCAAATCCCAAAATATAAAATTCATGCTCGCAACGCAACTTACAAAATGCCAAAAAATTTACACTCCAACTTCCAAAGTGTCAAAATTTACACTCTAAATTCCTTTCTTTTTTTTTTTTTTTTTTTTTTTTTTTTTTTTTTTTTTTTGGGGTATGAAAACCCTTAGTATTAAAGCACGCAGTATCACTTGCAAATTTAGAACAGAGAGAAGAAACAAGCGAGTTTTTATCAAAAATAGCCAAAATTTAATCCTCAAATTCATAAATGTCAATTTTTTAAAAAACTTTCCAACATAGCCAAAAAAACTCACTTAAATTGACCCAAATGCCCTCTAAATTAAAACCTAACCAAAAAGCATGCTCTTCCAAGCCGTAAGCTACTGAACACAAGCCTCACTCTCCACCAAGCCTACCCTCAAACACAAGGAGACTACCCCTCGCCAATCACCCTTAATGGAAAGCAAAGTTAATATAGGCAAGTTTGTGTTGTGGGAAGATAGTCTATGAACAACGAGGGCCTTGCAATTTTTCTAGACCTCTTGTGCTGAGGGAAGGCAGCAGCACATATGATGGTTTGCAAGAAAGTTTAATCCCCATATCATATGCAGAGTAGCAGTATTTATTATACGAATTTTGCAAGAAAGTTCAACTTTTTTTCTCAATTAAAAATTATCATGTCAAGAAACTGACTTTAACTTTTTTATTGTAAAAAACTCTCAAACCCATGAATCAAGCCATAGTCGCAGAGATGATTTTTATTGCTTGGATTTATGAAAACATCGGCTGTTACTTTTCTTCTTCCTTTTGGTAATTACATTGTCATTTTTATAATAGGATTCATAGGCATGATTAAGTTGACGAAGCCAATCTTGTTTTTGTGCTCCTGTTATTTTGGGTTTTAGCTTTTAGGTGTAATTGAGTTATAATTTAGAGGGCATTTAGGTCAATTTAAGTGAGTTTTTTGCTATATTTGAAAGTATTTTAAAAAACTGACATTTATGAATTTGGAGATTAAATTTTGGCTATTTTTTATAACAACTCGAAACAAGCAGCCCAACCTGTCCTCTTTCTTTTTCAGTAGTTTTTTTGTTCATTTTTCCTCCCAGCCCAGCAGCCCAATAAACAAACTTTACTGCCGTGTTCCTTATTCAACATCAAATTTACTTCAGATAGGAACGAAGAAAATGGGAAGCAGAGCTTTGCTTCTGGTCAAGGGAGTGTCTTCTTCGCCGCTACCCAAGAACCAGCTTTTCTGCAACTTTAACTGCAAAAGCAACTTTCCTCGTCCTAACAACAACTGGGTTCGAACAAATTGCTCAACAACCCAAAGCAGCGGGCCTTCTCTGGAGCCTCCAGACTTGCCTCGTTTGGCTCAGACTGCTCGAATTTCTCTGACCCCTCATGAGGTGTCTTACCCTTATCTGTTTTCTTTTGAATTGATGCCTCATCATAGTCATACATTTCTTTGACTAAATTTCCATTCTTTTTATTTCTTAATTTTTTTATATAATTATTTTCACTCTTATAAAGGTTGAAGAATTTGCTCCCAAAATTGGACTTGTTATAGATTGGTAAGCTTAATCTTTTCCTTTAATTAACATCACGTTGAAGTATTTTATGCTTTTTGTTTGTTGTTATGATGAGTTATGGTTGGCTGGTTCTTTTGCAGGTTTGGGCAGCTTCAAGATGTTGATCTTCAAAGTGTGGAGCCCTCAATCAGAGCAGGTGCTTCAAAACCATTCATAAACACTCATTTTTAGTTCACATTTCACTCTTGTTTTCAGTTATTATTTTTCTTTTTGAAAATAAATTAATGGGATTGAAAACCCAACCACATGGCTTTAGCTGCATTGCTTTTCCTGTTCGTAATTATTATTATTATTTTTAAAAATTTAACAAATGCAGGAGGTTGAATCTTACTTGTATTTCTCTCTGTGCTAACTACAGATACTGAAAGTGATAGTTTCCGGGCCGATATTCCTGAAACATTTGAGAACAGGTGTGATGGTTGTGTTCACTCTATTCATGCATCCAAATTTGGGTTCACATTTATTCGATTGATAAAGCCATCGAAACTTATTTTTGTGTTTCAACAGGGAGGCCATGATTGCAGCTGTTCCAAACTATGAGGAGCCGTATATTAAAGTTCCCAAGGTCTTGAACAAGGAGTAGAGATAGCTTTTTCCTTCTCTCTTGGAGTCCTTAAGCTATGTGTGGGCTCAAGGGAATAACATGAAACCTATCATTCAAAACCAAAAAAAATCTTTTTGTTTCCTGATTTCAAATGTGTCCTCGTTCAATCTTTTGTTTCAATATAACAGTGCTTTTGTGGTGAAATCAAGATATGGACATGCGCTTTCTGTTGTGGCGCAAGCCGATTTTACCTTTCGTAGTTTAGAAATGCGTCTGCTTCATTTTGATCATTAGAAATGTGTCCGATTTTACCAATCATTTGCTGCTTACTGACTGAGGCTTAGAGGATGCATTTTTAGCTTAAAAATATGAGACATCATGCACGATCCAAGCATTTGACACTGAGACGTTAAAAATAAGTTGCTGAAAAGAAAGCTTTTGAACTTAGGTTTTCAGTTTCATCATACTTTCTAATCAAATTCTGCTATCTTGTGAAACACTGGGGTGGGTATCTGCTGCCAGCTGCAATATAGTTATAACAAAAAACAGAGTGCAACTTGGACGAACAGGATTTTCCTCCCAAAACCGAAAACCAGCTGCAGTCTGTAACTTGGCAGAGAACTTAGACTCAAAGAAGACACCAGACTATTCTAGAAAAGTTGTGCATACCAATTGGTCCAATCGAATAACAATAATGAAAATAAATAAAATGGACCAAGAAAGTCCTGATTATATATATAAGTGGGGCAGGCCCCAAGTATTACAGGAAAATGTAGGCAATGAAGACTCAAATCCACTAAAGAGTGGGTATAATATATGCCCCAATTACTATTTACAGAAAACAAACTTCACATTTTCCAAAAGTGGTTACAGAATAAATCATTGCCTCTCAACTTTTGCTCTCTTCTATTTCTTTTTTACTTTCCTGAATTCATATTTCAACACTTTTTTTTCCCCTAACCTAAGTCAATCACTCACCTACTGTCAAAATAACATACAAGCGGAAAGTATTACAAAATAGGAATAAAGCAAAAAATACATGTTAATTGTGGAGAATATCTTGTTAAATATGGTCACGACTGCCAGAACAGCTCAACATCATTGCTGTACAATGAACGGTCTTGAATCTCCAGATTGGCAACATGCCAGTTGATTAGCTGGGATTGAAAAATTTTACAAAGCAGCAGTCCAGCAGGAAAAATCCACCATTCACTTTCATCCCTGCATCGACAGCCACGGATAAAGAAAAACAACCTGTTAGTTCAGTATTGTGCCAAGAACAGAACTTACTATTTGGACTAACGGTGTTTTTGGTAGCTAGAGATCTTCTCACATGCTAATATTCCAGGGTTGAAATTGAGGTATTTTATTTGATGACTGAGTGTTATAATGAACATATCCACAAACAAAAGCAACCACCTGGCAAAAGAATACAGCATCAATATATAATACAAATTAGCGAATTCAGATTCCAGTAAAGAAATAGAAAATTTCTGAACTTGAAGCAATTGTACCAAAATATTTATTTCTTTTTGTAAGCCTTCCTCATATCTTATTGGGAGAGGGAAGACTTACAAAGCAAAGGATAAAAAGTAGAAACTCACGACATTAATTAGGGATGTAAGGTTCCACAAAGCATGTACACGTGCAAGGCCAGCAGAACGTCTGGGTCCATGACTGAATAGAGCATTGATACCAGCAGGAAATGGAAGAAGAATGCCAAGCGGTAAAATAAATAGAACCAGAAAGACATCCGCTAATGAAATTGAATACAACTGGAGCAATGTAAGCAAAACTAAGCTAAAATCTCCTAAGAGGAGCATCGAGATGACTAAACCAACGAGATCCTGCAGTTCATATAAAAAATTGTTAATAATGAGAGATTTGAAATCTCCAGCTAACATATATTATATATGTACTGTTATATAAGCATGAGAGATACCTGGTGTCCAACAGGTTTAGTATTATGAAGTATAAAAGAGAGAAGATAAAATAAATCTCTCTTTTCTTCAAGCAT